CCAAGTACATGTATTGAACCCTGCATATAAAATTACTTTACGAGGTACGCGGTAGTGTGCCAATTAGGATGAATTGCCACATACTTATCTGCACTTAAAGTACATGTATACCACAACACATGCATTTGACCTTCAACCATACATATTCTCTGTATCAAAGTGCGGCCGCGGTAGTACGCGCATACGTAGGGAAATAACCCACACAAATAAAGCAAATCACTTATTACTTCCCCTCTATCTCACAATGCAATTAATGAATTAAACAAAACAAAAAAATCCCCTCTATCTCATTATTATCGTCACGGTAGGCGCACAAGTTCTGGTTTCCTGCCATGGTCCCAACCAGGCTTGAAGCACAAAATATCACTCGTATTACCGGTTCGCACCTCGGTGCTGGACTATGAAGCGAAATCCTCCCAGACGCCTCAATCACAGTCCCTATATATATTAAAAACTCTACACCCTAGTCCAAAACTGAAGAAAAGGAAATTCCTCTAATATAAACATCCCCAGAAAAAAAAGTAATTACTTTTGGATCCCTAACCCTTATTACACCCCCTACAGTTAAATCAGGTAAACAGCTCGCCAAACCAACCGGCCTCAAAAAGAATATTCCCCAAACATGCAAACCGTGGAAAATAAAAGGGTAAGAAAAAATAAACAATTACACACCAAGCAAGCAAACCCAACAGATTACAACCAACCGGCCAACCCACACAACGACCACATCAATTCGTATGTCAAAAAAGAACCCCGGGAGAGAAAAAAAAGAGAGAAAAGGGAGCCCCAGAAATAATTAACCTTCCTGCAATGTCCTTATCTCAATATCGGTGTCCCACTTCTGCTAGTCAATCCATTCGGCCTCACTACCTTCCCTCTTGCAGCCTCCAGTAGCGCTCCTCCAGAATCCCCGAATCCATCCAACTTGCTCAAGCGATCATTGAAAGTCTGCGCATCCCTCAAAATCCTACGGAAAGTTAGTATTTGCAGTGCATATTAGAAGAGGAACGCTCATACCTCTGCTTGCCCGCCTCGCTCCTAACCACAACCTCTGCCCACCCCTCTCGTAGTCGCCACTTGTAATCTTGAAACACTGGCTCCATGATGCTCAACAGAGTCTCATTCGGCAAGTGCTTGCTCAATACCTTATGAAGTACGGTTGTCTCGCGGCACAACGTATCCATGTAGTATTTTTCTGGGTCTCCTCCCTGGTCTATCCAGTCACGCTCCCAGTCCATTTTGATCAAATTATTAACATGCACCCTAGCGCGATCCGACATGATCGAGGTGAGTTTGGAGTGTATCTCAGTTTGGTATTGTTGATACGTCTAATGGATATCGTGAGCGGGTAATAAACCATGATGAGGAAGATAGAGTACATACCCGTTTTACTTTATCAAAATCAGCTAACACCCCGCCAGCGTTAGTGCCTGCTCGTCTTCGGACACATTCTCTTATATACGGAATGAGCGCAACTACAACGCTCAACCCTTGGCTTGCCATTGCTAGATGTTTCGTAGTAATACTCTTGAGCCCCGCTGTCTTTGTTGCCCCTGCCCCAAGGATCAATTGATAGGTGCGGCTATTATGAACCTTTAGAAAGCTCAGTAGGTTCTGTGCAATCTCGGCCGCCATACCAGGCATCACTACTACTAGCCTCAAGTACATTTCAAGCTCTCTTAATACCATAAGACCGGACTCTGGAAGGATGAAAGACGATTCATCAACCGTTGCGTATGCCTTCTTTGGGGGCTCGCCATTTGTTTGTGGATTGCCGTTTTCCACAGGCACAACGGGAGTACCGTTTGTGGTCGGGGGCCCATTTGTAGGTGAGGGGCCATTTGTGGGCGAGGGACCATTTGTGGTCGGGGGCCCATTCCCATTTGTTATAGGAGCAGTTGGGCTATTTTCCTCCTCCCGCAATTCCCAAATCCTCCCGCTCTTTACCCACTCCTCTGGGTCTCTTGTCGCACTCTCACAAATCCGATTCACCCCCGCCTGTCGGGACTCGTCCCATTCTTTTGGCGCCCATCGATCCTTTTCAAGCCCTTCTGCCAAAGTCCGAATCCTTTCTTTCTGCCATTTCTCAAGAAATTCTCTAATCTGGTTACTCACCGCATTCTGCAATCCGCTCCCAACCCTGACTGACACAGCCTCACACTCCTGCGTAAATAGTCTATTGAGCATAAAATATCGCAGGAACCATTCGGGCGAGTAGGATGTCACTTGCTCAGTTCGGACTTTTACGATCTTGACGATTTGTGACTGCGCGATTTCCACAGCGGAGGAGATGAGATCGGAAATATCCATATTGATTGCATCCCCACCTACGGGGCCAGGGTGATGTGGGAAGCCGTTGCTACGCTCTAAACCGGGTGAGGTAGCCCTCGAGTCACCATTTGTGACAGCCCCAAATCCATTTTGCTCTAATCGAGGACTCAACATGCCTCCAACTCCTGTCTCCCCCATTCGCATTGTCACATCCAGTAACATCTTCTGCTGTGTCCCAAGCCTGCGTATCAACTCAGACACTCCAGTGTAGATTCTTACCAATAGATCCTCTGCATCCGCTGGGCCAAGGCTTCGTAATGAGCGCGCAAGGAGCATAGATTTATCTTGCGAGCTCCGAACGCCCCCTGAGCGAGAATTGGTCATTGAGGACATTATCGATTCATTGTCATCATCGCTGGGCATGTTACGCCGTATGAGTGACTTTGCTTCTTTTATAACGGAGTCGCGATATGCCTGTACAGCTTCATTGACATGCTTAGCACGCTGCAATCCATTGAGGTGTCGCATTAGCAATGCACGGAGATTATCAGAGAGCTGTGTGTATTCGGGGGGTAGCGACGAAGAACGTGGCGGGGGCTGAAGGTTGTTTTGTTGTTTGGCTGATACAAACCGCTGGTACTGGTCGCGCTGAAAGGATTGCGCGAAACGACGAAGCGTTTCAGCAGAAGGTACACGACCAACGTGCTTCCGTATATCGGAGAGGAGAGATTCAACAAATCGGGCTTCAAAAGCCTTTCCGATACGCCAGCGGAGATGGTGGAGGTCTGAATTAACCGCCTCAAGAGATTTAACGGGGCGAAGGTCAATTGCATCCGCTTCACCTTCACCGGAGATGAGGCGCTCAGTCTCGACGACCCCTGCAAGAGCAGCCTCTATTTCCGACTGTTCGAGGGAACGCTCGACCCCCTGGCAGGATGCAAGTACCCGCTCCATTTGTTTTGCGGCACGTTCAAGGCGAGCTATATTATCGCGACGTCGTCGCAGCCGGATAATCTCTAAACCTTTAACAGCTTGTTCTTCGTCGAGCTGAACTAGTTGTTTCCGGAGACCTTGAATCTTGTGAACAGATGCTGTAGCCTCACTGTGGAGTTCTCTGAGATCGCCGAGGGCGGCGAAGAAGGAGGATGAGGCAGTGGAAATCGAGGATATAAGGTGGACTTCAACAGTGTCCATGTACCAGGATAGCTTCTCTTGTAGGATTGCATTTGTAGCGAGGGCCCTACGCTGAGACAAAGAAGAAGTGGAAGCGGCCGAAGACTCTGCTTGACTTTCTGCGGAGGCAGTGGGACGGACTACGTCGGAGCGCTCACTAACCACATCAAATGTCCGTGGGTTTTCGAGATGGAAGTTTTCTTCAAAATAGACCGGCGGAACAGTAGACAATGGTGTCACTGCTAGCGATGCCCTCCTAGCCCTCCCCGGCTTCTTTGGGGATCCGTTCGGCGAAGCATCCTTTGATCCCGTACCCTCTCCAAGCCCTACCACAGACTCTGCAACACTTGGAGCTGGTGATATCCCAGGACCTCCAGACAGCTGTCGCTGTGGAACACTGCTCAGACGAATATGCTCCTCCAGCCCCAGATCTTTCGCACGCCGGTATTTTTCGTACTCTGTCGATATAGCTAAGTAAGGTGTGAATTCGCTCGGCTTTACCTTTGGAATAGAGGAAAGTGTAACCGGAGGTATGTCTCCAGGTCTTGGTCGAACGGAGCTACTCGTACGGGCAATGGGGTGGTCGAGAAGAGCGGCAATCGCTGGAAGGAATCATTCAGCTAACACGGGATTTACGCATGGAAGAAGAGGAGAAGCAGCTTGACACATACATGAGCTGTTGGCACCACCCCCGAGATAGTCCTTTGAGGCTCGCCAGTCGACTACGGTACCTATGGTCGAACCAAGGGAGATTATGGAGCTTGCTGTGGAGCCGCGGCGATCCCTGGGGGAGCGGGCTGAACGAGGAGGACCAAAGGCTGCAGAGAGGTCCGTCATTGAAGCGGATGGCGAGAGAATCGGCGAGAGAAGTCCGACCGAGTCCAAAGAAGGTCGACCGCGGGAAGGAGACGGGGAGGCCATCGTGGCGTTTATGGGATAAAGAAAACGCTGGGAGATATTGTATCTGGGGGGGGGGGGAGGCGGAGGGGAAGGTTTGGTTAAAGATAATGAGTGACAGGATATATATTGAGGGATGGTATTATATTTGGAGGGGAGGTCGGGAGAGGTGTAGTCAACTTACACCTCCTACAACGGACCCTGCTACCTAGCGGATATTTAGAGGCTGAGTGCTGAAGCTACGAGTGAAGCTACATACTGTATCCTTGCGCACTAACGGAAATCTTGAGCGCTAAGCCTTTTAAGCCACGGTGCCACAGTTCCCCAGTCGGTCCAAGATCCTTGATTACGTAAGGAAAGACTATGGCGGTGCGTAGGCTGGACCCTTTCGGGACTGTAATTGGAACGCGCCCAAACGCGAAACCTCCCACCCCCAGAAGTTTTAGCTGTGTTGTTTGTAGCCATTCGCTACCAAAGAAACGACAACCGCTTCTTTCTCAACCCCTAGTCAATCGCTTTGTCCCCCTCCACCCTCAACATTCCCCAAGACACTTGTTCTCTATCTAAAACCGCCGGTACACCTTTTTTTTTACAAATAACCATTTTGGTCGTCAAACTTCGATAAAAGGAAGAGTTCTTTCCAAAGCTGTTTGGTCGCCATGGATCGTGCTTCTGTGTTCACAATCGATACTGGTCTACCCAAAGATGACAGCCAGCCCGATGATCAGCCAGGTGAAATCCAAAAGGCCTTCAGGTCATTTATTCTGGAGTTCCGGCTTGACAACACATTTATATACCGGTGAGCATTGACGTTCAATTGCGTTACAAGACGTTCCTCTTTTTGTCGACTCAAATTGCTGACGCAGAATGTGTTTACAAGAGATGCCTTACGAACAAACATTCTCGTGAAGCTATACATGCTTGATGTCGACATTGGCCATCTGATTTCTTTCAATGAAGAGCTCGCTCACAAGCTTTCCAACGAGCCAGCAGACATTATCCCCATTGTAGGCGCTCCCACCTTAGCTAAGATCTTATCTTTACCGAATCACTAATGGTCTCCAGTTCGAAATGGCCATCAAAGACTGCGCCCGCCGTATGTTCTTCCCCGGTGCCGATAATTCCCGTAGTTTCCCCGAATGCCAACTTATTCTTCATTCGTCCGCAAACCTCATTTCAATTCGAGATCTCAATGCCTCCTACATTTCTAAGCTTGTCCGCATCCCCGGAATTGTTATTGGCGCCTCTACTCTATCCTCAAAAGTCACACTTATGTCAATAATGTGTCGCAACTGCAGAAATTCGAAAACCATCCCAGTTGCTGGCGGTTTCGCTGGTGTCTCTCTACCTCGTACCTGTGATCGTCCCTCAAACCCTGCCGATGAAGGCGAGCGCTGTCCGATGGATCCATACTTTGTGGTCCACGAAAAGTGCACATTTATCGACCAGCAAGTGCTCAAACTTCAAGAAGCGCCGGATATGGTTCCAGTGGGTGAACTTCCCCGTCATATTCTTGTATCGGCCGATCGCTACCTCACAAATAAGGTAGTCCCCGGTTCCCGTTGCACGGTGATGGGTGTTTTCAGTATCTACCAATCCAAGGGTGCGAAGGGCCCCGGGAGTGCCGTAGCAATTCGAAACCCTTATATCCGTCTCACTGGTATACAGTCGAGTGTTGACCATTCCTCCAAAGGCGGAATGGTATTTTCTGAAGCTGAGGAACAGGAATTTCTTGAAATGTCCCGTGACCCTCAGCTATATGAGAAATTCTCCCGGAGTATCGCACCATCCATTTTCGGCTTCCAAGATATCAAAAAAGCAATTGCCCTTCTCCTTTTCGGCGGTTCTAAGAAAATTCTTCCCGATGGCATGAAGCTTCGTGGTGATATCAACGTCCTCCTCCTTGGTGACCCCGGAACTGCCAAATCTCAGCTTCTCAAATTTGTTGAGAAGGTTGCTCCCATTGCCATCTACACCTCTGGAAAAGGTTCATCCGCCGCCGGTCTCACAGCGTCTGTCCAGCGTGACTCCCAATCCCGTGAATTCTACCTTGAAGGGGGTGCCATGGTGCTCGCTGATGGTGGTGTCGTATGTATCGATGAATTCGACAAGATGCGAGATGAAGATCGAGTCGCCATCCACGAAGCAATGGAACAGCAAACTATCTCTATTGCAAAGGCCGGTATCACCACGATCCTTAATGCGAGGACCTCTGTACTCGCCGCTGCAAACCCTATCTTCGGCCGTTACGATGACATGAAGTCGCCTGGCGAGAATATTGATTTCCAGACAACAATTCTTTCCAGATTCGATATGATCTTCATTGTTAAAGACGAACACAACGCAGCTCGCGACGAAACCATGGCGCGCCACGTTATGTCATTACACATGAACCGCACCCCCGCAGGTGTCGCCCCCGAAGATGCGGCAGCAGACATCAGCATAGAACGTATGAAGCGCTATATCACATACTGCAAGACACGATGTGCGCCACGTCTGTCCCCCGACGCTGCTGAAAAGCTTTCATCCCACTTTGTTGGAATCCGGAAGAAGGTTCACCAGGTCGAAGTTGATGCGAACGAGCGCTCCTCTATCCCGATCACTGTGAGACAGCTAGAGGCTATCATCCGTATCACCGAAGCACTCGCAAAACTGTCATTGCAGCCCATCGCAACGGAGGAGCACGTTGATGAGGCGATCAGACTATTCTTGGCGAGTACAATGGACGCGGTTGGGCAGGGTGCTGGTACAAGCGCAGAGTTGCTAGAAGAGGTTGGAAAAGTGGAGGCTGAACTGAGAAGGAGATTGCCCATTGGATGGAGTACAAGTTTGGCTACGTTGAAGAGAGAGCTGTGCGCGGGTAGGGGATACAGTGAAAACGCACTTGGAAGAGCGTTGGTGGTCATGAGTAGGAGAGAAACCATACAGTTTAGAAACGGTGGTGGAAGTGTGTTCAGGAGCGGTGTTTAAGGGGAATTTTATGTAATTAGGGTTTTTCTTTTTTTGTCCTTTTCGTGCTTATACCCATGATAGTAGGTTGGGGTGTGGGATGATGATGAGAAATGAAGTTGTAATTATGATTATGGAATCTTACGACTTTTATTTTGGAGATTTTTCTGATATCTCCGACAGCATCGAGCATAGTACATATACAAAATAGTTAATTTAAGTTCATGTCATGAGTCATCACTCGATGCAAAAATGTCTTCTAACAAGGGTTTAGGCATAGATATTTGGATAGACCAACACCATTTTACGGAGCAATTGGTAAACTACATGTATTGAGGATAGATAGTACTACGAATTGCAGTATCCGTACTGTAATCGCTCTACCTTAATACTATTTTAAGCACAGTAATCCTGATCTCCACAGGAATCAATTTCAGTCCTTCACAACACGCGAGAGAAAATATCTTTATATGGCAGTTTTTATTGTATGTTTTTATGATACGAGATAGTTGTCAGTGATCCGAATCAACATTTTGGCGCAGGAAGCGGATATCAGTGCGTAGGCGGGGCGTTCAGGTCTTGGGTTATAGTAAATACATAGCGGCGTTCAAGGGCCTACTGTTCCCATTTGGCTAAGTGACTATATATAGGGGAGCCCTTCAAAACCCAGCGTGACCGGCATCTGGGGATGGGGGACACGGGATTCGAACCCTTAAACGATTCCCCCTCTATATTCTCCAAGTAGAGGAGGGTCAAGAACATTAACTGCTTTATCTTGATAAGTAGGGTGCTGTCTTCGCGACAGAAGGAGATAATAATTGAGTTCTGGATATATGGGTTATGTTTAGGCTTATCCGCCATAACCATAAGGTTCAGATATGCGTGCTCGTTCAGCCCGTGCCGACTTCACTATGGACCAAGGAGTGATTACCAGCTTTCACCGCGGCCACAAGGGATGGGAGTTGGGAACTTTTGTGTTTTTTTAGCAACGAGAATTAATTATAAATCATTCCTCAAGTGGCATCTCGAAATATCAGACGGCAAATATAAGCTCTTGCATTTATAATTAACTGCGTAGGTATGCTTCATACGCCATCACTCGACCCGATACTACTGTCTTGGCACCATAGAGAGGTGGGTAGGTACACCGCCCAATAGGCCTCTAACGACATAATTCCCAAATCTTAGGATAGAGCTAGCTATTGGTAACAGGCGAGCTCTCTACTAAAGTGTCTACTCCCATCCCATCTTTTCACTAACCCACCTCACCTGCGTGATCTACGAGCCCCAAATCAGTAGAAACCCCGCCAAGAAACGCTCGCCAAGGCCCGCCTAACGACAGGGTAACACCCGCCCAAACAGTGTCGTCGTCGACAACGAACCCACAGCCCAACAACTCCCCCCAACCTCTCCCCCACACACCTATCACCACACACCCCCCCCATACACGCCCATCATGAAGCTCGTCAGGTACCTCCCCCCCTCCCCTTCCGCATTGCCCACCTCCCCACCTCCCCACCCCCCTCCCGCACAAAGATGGAAGCAAAAGAAAGAAAGAAAGAAAGCTAAGCTAACCTTCCTCCCCTCCCCCAACCAGGTTCCTCATGAAGTGCCAAAACGAAACAGTCACCGTTGAGCTCAAGAACGGTACCCCCCGCTTCCCCCCGCTTCCCCCTTCGCTTCCACAGGAAGCTTCCAACAGAGACATAGACACAGAATTGACCACGGTGCGTGTGTGTTGCAGGCACAATCCTCCACGGCACGATCCTCTCCGTCGACGTGAAGATGAACACCTCCCTGCGCACCGTCAAGATGACGATCCGCAACCGCGACCCCATCTCTCTGGACACCATCAACATCCGCGGCTCCACCATCCGCTACTTCATCCTCCCCGACTCGCTCCCGCTCGACACCCTCCTCATCGACGACGCGCCCAAGCCCAAGAACAAGGCGCGCAAGGAGACCGACAAGGCCGCCGGCGGACGGGGCGGTGGCGGCGGTGGTCGCGGCGGTGGCAGGGGCGGGCCCCCGAGGGGTGGTAGGGGTGGCGGTAGGGGTGGTGGAAGGGGGAGGGGCGGTGGAAGGGGGTTTTGAATGTAATTATTCTTCTCTTCTGTTTTTTTGCTGCTTTCGGTTTTTCTTTTCTTTTCTTTTCTCTTCTTTCGGAGGGTGCGGGGGTTGGGGGGGGGGGGCATACCCTGGAGTGGAATGGACAAAGTGTTTACGGTCTGGTGGTAGGTAGCTTCTAGGAATTTGGTATATATAATCGCTTTGTTTTGCCGGTTTTCTAGCTCCTGGGGGTACCGAGAAGGATAAGTATCAAAAAAAGAAATTGGGGCACGATAAAAACTACTTATACTAAACTTGCATATTCTTTCTTCCTTTTTACGCTGTACAAATACAGAAAAATGAAACAACTTTTCTTGACAACGCTTGAAAATGACAGTGAAATCTGGGTTTCTTTTACGAGCAGCTACACCACACCCAACCATACAACCATACTAACCAGAGCCAGAAACCGCGCCAACCCAAACCCCCAATTACCAAACTAACCATCTAGCTACCCCCCCCCCCACCTACTTAGTCGACTCCCACTGCGCGCCCACCCACTCCTCCACATACCCCACCCCCTGCGCATCCAGCACCGCAGGCACACACACACACGTCGCCACAACGACCGTCCCCCACTCCATCCCGTCCAGCCCCGCCTCATCGCGCTCCAACATACTGATCGCATACGGCATCATCTGGAACTCAAACACGCGCTGCTTGCGGCACGCGCCGCACGGCGGCACCCGCTTCACACTGACCTCGCCGTCGGCCGCCAGCAAGAGCTTACCCGTCTCGTCGTCCTTGGAGTATAGGAGGGGCGTGCCCTTCCGCTCATACCTACACACCTGTCAGCTCACACCACATCACACTAACCAGAGCGGGAGAGGGAAAGAAGACGGACCGTAGCACTTGTTCAGGATTCTGCTCAACGCGGTCCGCAAACTTCCGGAACGTCTTATCGACGCTGCTCTCGCCGCCCTCCGCGCTATTGCTCATGGGCGTGTCAGCGTACTCGTCCGTGTCGACGATCTGGACGTTCTTCGGGAGGGCCGGCGCGCGGGTGTCGAGGTGCTCGTGCTCGGCGTCGAGGTGGTAGGAGGGGTATGTGTGCGGCAGGGGCTCGGGCCAGGGTTCGGGGGGCCCGTAGAATTGCGGCGTGGGTTGGGGGGCGGCGGCGGCGGCGGCGGCGGGGAGGTTGTGGGAGAGGGCGGAGGCGAAGGTCTTGAGTGGTTCGGACTTGGGGGCTGGGGCCGCGGGTGGGGGGCTGGTGGCGGTGGTGGTGTTGGTGGAGAATGGGTTTGCTGTAGTGGTGGTGGAGAAGGGGTTTGCTGTGGGAGTGGAGGAGGATGAAGACGGGGAAGCGAACGGGTTAACGCCCCCCTGCGCGAACGGTCCAGTCCCGAACAGGAAGGCGCCGGTGTTGACGGGCTCTTTCTTCTTTTCCGCGGGCGGCGGCAGTGGCGAGGCGTCGGTCTTCTTCTTGTTGTCGGCCTCGGCGGGCGCGGGCGTATTTACGACACGGACGCCGCGGAAGGCGCGGATGGAGCCTTTCTTGCGCCAGCAGGGCTTGTGGCGGCAGGCCCAGACGTAGAAGACGCGCTCGTGCGGCGTTTCGGGGATGTCGCCGTTGAGCTGCAGGAGCAGGGACATGAGCTTGTTGCAGTTTGAGCATTTGGCGAGGCGGGAGTCGGCGGGGGAGGAGGGGTGCATCCATTTCTGTGTGGGGAAAGTGGTTAGTGGGTGTAGAGAGAGAGGGGGGGGGGGGGGGGGGAGAGAAGAGGTTACAGGTGTGCCGCCGAGCTGCGAGATTGGGTCTTCTGTTGGCTGCTCTTCGGCGTAGCCCAGCAGCACGGAGGTGCTGATTATGCTGTCTGCGTCGCCGACGTCTGAGTCTGTGTCTGACATGTTTGGAGTGTTATGTTATGCTGTGATATGTAGATCTCTGTGTAGAGTGCTCAATTCGAGATCCGTAGATGGCGGTTAGTGCCCAACATCCGCCGACGTGCTGTCATGCACCGTCTCGCAGGGTACTTCTTGTGATGGCGGGGTAGTTCTGGCGGGGTGTGGCCGCACTTCACTTTCCTCCCTTTCTGCATCGGAAATCTTATCAGCGCCAAGCAATGAGGCTATCTGCCTGCCTGATCCCTGCACAGTTACTTAGCGGGGGCTTGGCAGGCCATGACCTAGCAACCGTGCAACACCAACGCGGGCGGGCAGGCAGGCAGGCAGGCCACCTCTCCCGCTGAGCTCTGGCACCACACACTTGCCAGCCAGCAGCTTCACCATCAATCACTCACCGCCCACCACCACCACCACCACCACCACAACAACAACCAAGCACAAGCACAAGCATACACAAACGAGCACTGCAATGTCGGCTGCCGCCAACGCATCGTCGAAAGACCGCCAGTTCATTGCCGTTATCGGTGATGAGGTTTGTCCCTCTCCTCTTACTAGTTCTAGGTGGATTCGTGAATGGGCTAGAGCTGATTTGACTGTTATTGCCATTACTAGGACTCGGTGACGGGCCTCCTCCTCGCGGGCGTCGGCCATGTCACGCCGCCGCCAAACGCGTCAAAGAACTTCCTAGTCGTGGATGCAAAGACGGGCACGGACAAGATTGAGGCTGCGTTTGACGACTTTATCAACAGGAAGGACATCGGCATTTTGCTGATCAACCAGCATGTGAGTCCCTTTTCTCTGTGTGTGTGTGTCTGTGTCTATGTATGTGGTGGTGGTACATATGAGAAGAGGGATGGCGGCTAATTGGGAGTGGATGGATGGGGTGTGCAGATTGCGGAGAAGATCAGATACAGGATTGATACGTATACGGCTGCGTTCCCGGCGGTGCTGGAGATCCCGAGTAAGGACCATCCGTATGACCCGGAGAAGGATAGTGTGTTGAGGAGGGTCAGGAGGTTGTTTGGTGAATAGATGCGTGTGGGTTGGGTCTCGTGGGGTGGGATCGTATGGGATGGGGGATGGAGGGGCTTTTGTGAATAGTAGTAGTTGCTTGGTAGTTACTTAGATAAAATACCTTAAATACCATTATTGGTTAAAATCTGTTTGCGGTCTAATAATTTAGTGGGGCTAGTCTTGAGCTTCAGTTATTGGGAAATGATTTTTATTTAATATTTCTTTTATTTAACCATTTGGGACACCAATAACTCCTCACCTAGGCCCATGTTTAGGCAATGCTATTGATTAATAGCCACTATAGTATTAAGAAAAGGACCATCCTAGTCAAACCATATCAATACGTATAGTTTTTTTTCATATGAAAAAGCGAGAACAAGAAAGCGAAAAGATTAAAATCCACCAAACGGACATACCCCCAGCACCCCTCCCAATTTTTCCCATCCCCCCACTAATACCCCTCCTCCTCCATCTCCATCAACCTCTCCCTCTCCCTCTCCTCCCTCTCCCTCCTCTCCTTCTCCTCAAACTCATCATACGCCTCACGACTATCCACCCACCTCTCCTGCACATCCCCCGCACTCATCCCCACGCCCCACCCCCCCCTCATCGCCATCGTCCACACATTATCCCCCGCGCCCTCCGCCTCGCCAAACACATACCCTCCCGCACGGTCCACACTCTGCAGCAGGCTCGTCATACTCATCTTATCCTCCACCGCCAGCGTCTCAAACGAGACCAATCCAAACCCATCAACAACATCCACAATCGCCTGGTTGAGCTTCGCATACTTCTTGAGGCGCGCGTCGCCCTCCAGCAGCGGCAGCAGATGCGACAGATCCTGCACCTCCGTGTAGAAGTCGAGGTTGAACGCCAGTGGGCCGTACTGTTTGAGCAGGTCGATCTTGGAGAGGACGTTGATGTGCGGGAGGTCCAGCTGGAGCATGGAGCGCAGGCAGAGGAGGAGGATGGAGATGTATTTGGACGGGTCGGTGATGTAGTGGGCGTCGACGAGGTGGATCACGACTAGCTGCGGCGTGTTAGTCGGTGTTAGTCGGAAAGAAATGGGGGGGGGGGGGGACGCACTCGATACCCCATCTTCTCAAGACGTAGAAATATATTCCTCAAGCTCCCATGGTGCGTAAAGAGCTCCACCTGCCCCGGACAATCAAAGATCACATAGTCCTCTACCACCCCCACCCACACCCATATATATTAGCCCTAACCTAACCTAACCTCTCCTACTATCTTCCCTACCCCTACCAGAGAGAAGACAACTCACGCCCCAGCCTCGATAACCCCTCCTCCAGCCACTCAATATTCTGCTCCAGCTCCTCGAGCGCATACATGACGCCGCCATTCGGGCCCAGGCCCTCCTCGTCCATGATCTCGTCGAGCGTGACGAGCTTGCGCACGTCGAGCGCGCACGGGTACGTCGTGCTCTCGTTTGCCGGGTCCAGGTTCACGATGGAGCACTTGCGCCCGATGGCCGACATGAATTGGTGCATGCCGTTGCAGTAGGTTGATTTTCCGGAGCCGGGGGGGCCGATTACGAGCTGTGGGTGGGTTAGTTGGGGTTTTTGGCGGGGGAGGAGGGGATGGGGGGTACTTGGGCGAATGGCATGGTTGAAAGGGGGTGGGGGGGGGGTTGGGGGGGAGGTCGAGGTGGGTTTAAATTGTTGATTTTGGAGATATGGATATCAATATGGGTGGTGGGGTGTTTTGGAGGGTGCTTGGGGAATGCGTGGGATGGGGTGTTATCGGGGTGTCTTACCCGGATTTGTAAGGGCCTTATCGTCATGGGGTGTCACTCGGGGGGAATGATCGGTTGTGAGGGAAATTGGATGGGGGGTCTGATGGCTCGAGTAATTATAACACTGGGTCTATTGTTTATTAAAACGAGCAATCCAATCCTGTCTCTTTGGTAATAGTGTTGGTGCCCCGTTTTGTTTATTGCTAATTAATTGACTGTCGCCTACTCTAAAATGCAGCACGCTCTACCTACAAACACAGACTTCTCATGTTTCGATATATATATATCGGCACCACTCTCTAGTAAGGAATTGATTACTCCTAGCCGCTTGTACGCTTGACGCTCCAAGATACAATGGAAAATTATCATATTTATAATTTTGATTCTAGCTTATACCCTGTGCTTGGTACCGGCGCCTTTTGAGCTATGTAGTAGTTTTTTTTTGGCCATTGCCTTGTGCCCGTTATTTGCAAAAGTGTGTGCCTGTCCGGCGCCTCAAAATTGGCTGTAATTGTTTGGTCACAGTGGTGTGCTCTGGTAACGTAACCTCCATTCCGGTGTTAATTGGTGCCCTTCCCGGCGGCAAAACCAGCAGCTTGCCCCTTTTCGACACATATTAGCTGCTGTTACCCCGCCGTATCATGCATGCTGTAGTACAATAGTTGCACTGTACCTCTATCAGCACCGCCCTCAGCTTGTTAAAACTCTGGCTATGTACTCTTTCTTAGGCGTACAGTGCGATATTCTCCGCCCTGGTTGGTGCAGCAATCATTGCAATTAATATTGACATCGGCACCAGACTTAAGTATTGATAGATGTGGCCGATAAGTGATACCCACCACGTATCACTACAGCTCGTCATAGTAATACTACTCCATGATTATCACCCTTCAAGGGATATACCCTGCTCTTGGTCAATCGTGCTGTTTGTATTCGAGTACAAATATGACAACCGCGTACTAATCTTCGTACCGAAGGCCACCATCCGGTATATCGATTGAAAGGTATATATATCCAACAGTCGTTGGAGAGTCTCAATCCGTACATGTATATTAGGGCCGCCTGACACCCCATATACGATACTCCTGCAGCTGGAGCGTGAAGTGTGCCAACTAGCCAGATCCGGACAGTGTTACTATTTTCCCCAACCGTCACCAAACCACATTAAATAGCTACAGCTATCTGATAGGTTCAAAGGGTTAGTCACGTATTAATTTGAGTTGGTGAAGACTGCCCAGAAATCATGATGTTGGGAGGGTGAGTACCATGCTCAATCACCCGCTACATGCACAGAGCCCCCTGACAGCTTAATCACCCATAACACTTTTGAGCAAGTTCATACCATCCACCGACGTAGCTCAATGGTTATGGCGTAGCCCGAAAGGGCCAAGGTCGATCGTCCGATCCACCTCCCAGGCTGGTGGAAATAGTGACTGGGTGAGGAGCGGCTCTCCCTTTGCTGCTCTCCCCTTTTGCGCAGAAGCATGCATGCACAGGAATATTAATTATCATGGGTACAATACCCCAAAAAGCTAGTAATGCGGTAAGAATACAACATTGCTACGGTATTCGTTTTATAATGCCGGTTTAATTCCGTATTATTCACTGAATCCCGTAGTCATACGGTACTGATTTCGCCCCGTTTTTCCGTACTGTATGTATGTACTGGTGATATCTTTTTTGCACTCGCTATAGCTTGATAACCGTCAGACCATCAAATTGTAGGGGAATACATAATAAGAATATAAACCGACAACAGTATGTACAAAACACAACGCCAAAGTCCAAAGTTCAAAATACCCACCAACTTCACATATATACCTACCTCCCCGACGCTACAATCTCCTCATCCGTCCACTCCTCCTGATCCCCATCCCTAGCACCCACCAACAACCTCATAATCTCCCTCGCCCCGCCCCTCACCGCCATCGCAAACACCTCACCTCCCGCACCATTTACCGTCTCCAAGTCCGCACCAGCCGTCACCAACATCTCCACAATCTTTACCCGCTCCTCCTCCTCCACCCCATCCCTACACCCACACACCGCCGCCATCAACGCCGTCTCTCCATCCCTCGTCGCAAGGTTCACATCCGCCCCCGCCTCCACCAGCGCCCTCGCAACGCCCCATACCCCCGCCCGTGCCGCCCAGAACAGCGCCGTTCGCCCAAAAAAGTCCTGGTTATCGACCTTTGCGCCTGCGGCCAGCAGACGCCGCGCAATCTCTTCATACGCCTGCTCGCCATGCCAAATGTGCCAGCGGTCCACTGGCTTACGGTCGCCGCAAGACTGGTAGGAAGGGAAGCGGCGGAGGAGGTCAAAGCGGTCCTGGGGCGCGAAGGAGGGTGCGTGGTCTAGTGGGGCGGCTCCAATATAGTCGCGCTGCTTTGGGTCGGCGCCGTGGTCGAGGAGGAGGGTGATAGCATCAGGGAGGCCTTGGGCAGCGGCGTAGTGGAGTGGGGTCCAGCCGTCAGAGGTGGTGGTGTTGACGAGGGTTGGTTTTGTGGTGAGGAGGTACTTTGTGAGGAGGGGGTAGTTGCGGACAATGGACCAGTGGAGAGCGGGGAGGTTTCCTTTGCGGTCATGGGTGAGGACGAGGAGCTGGGGGAGATAGAGGGAGTGGTAGCGGCGGCAGGTGAGAGTTACGGAGAGAAGGGAGTTCGGGGGGAGGTAGGTGGATATTAGTAGGTGTAGTTCTGCGGGGAGGCTCTTGAGTGACATCTTTGTGGTGAGTCTATTTACTGATTAGTGAACTCTAGTTGGAGTCTTGGTTGAAAGCTTGTTAGCAGCACTGGCTATGTATGCGTGCGATATCAAGGTGATATCTAGTATTTATATGGATAGGAGTCCTCGGAGGCCTTGGCGCCCAGGCTCTAATTATCCAGGTTCCAGAATGCCGGCTACTTTGCGAGATGCCGTTGTTTAAGATTGACGATGCTTGTCATCGTCAATGCCCAATGTGCCTGACTCAAATTGTATTGGTGGTACGGATGTGGTTTGAATTTATCAGTTGAACTTTACTCCAAGTCCTAAGGGGGAAAGGCTCCGATAGACAAATCGCGAGGAAATAGAGCCCGAGATCTAGCCCAGTTGTTGTTGTTGTTGTTCTTAGTAGAAAGGATAAAATGACATAATCCTTACTCTCGGACAGAGGTTGTCATTAAAACCTTTCATATTATCATTGGCTATGAATGTCATGATCCATCACTCGGGCTATAAGTCCTAGCGCGAAACGAGCGGCTAGACTAGAGGCTGGGAAGCGAAGCTTAAATCTAGCGATATATGCAGTGCCCCCGGTATCGAGCTCCTCGTCCACGAACCATTTGGATAATGCCGTACTATCTCGTCTCCAGTTTGAGGTCAAGGTCGATCGAGTCCATTAGAGTATATATAATAGAGCCACCCATAATACTATTAATTTGTGCACCGATCGGTTCTGTTTCGAGTTGAAGCAACAAAGATGCTCGGGTTGTGCATTGTGCAAGGCCCCCAGTCTGCTGAATCCTTATCCCGAATGTTTGGTGTTTGGTGTGTGTAGTAAATCCGGGTATGCACATGCCGAGCTCAAGTGCATGAATCTTGCCAAACAGCAGCCAATATCCAACCACAGACGCAATCAAAACTCCCAGTCAACAGTCCAGAGTAAAGACTTCCCCTCACTACAGCTTCACAAGATACAAACACACCCAGTTTGTCACTGTCGCTCATGTCGTTAGTTGTAAAAAAGAAATAGAAATTCTAAATTTACCTGCAACCCCGCCGAAACTGAACCCCTGCAAAAATGACGTCGCATCGGTAAACATCAAAGGGAAAGGCGGCGAAGCTCCGTGCAGATAAGCAGCAAGTCTCCTCTCTCCCACCAACCCTCTTTCCCTTCATCATCCACCCGTCACTGGAAATTTCTAGTTAATCTTGGTTTCTTGTGCCTAGCTTTCTTTCCGTGCCAAACCCAAAGACCAAGAAACCCCTGCCCTGTTTTGATTTTTTAAATTCTTCACGATGATATCGATATCTCGACTCGCAGCACTTCGAGTCCGCTTCGCAAGGGCAGTAAATACCCACTACATCTGTGGCACCATAGTAAGTATTTCCACAAAAACTCTCTTCCGCCACCCCGCCACCTACCTTCACATAAAACCTCCCTTAAAAAAACACTCACTAATACTGCTACTACTCACCCAAAAGCCACTCCTCCATCTTCTCGTTCTCCTCGCAGAAATGGCCCTCATCGGTAGCATCGCCCGTCGCTACGACGCCTACTTCGAAGCCCGCCCCATCGTCACCATGATGGTGACTAACAGCATCCTCAACGGCATCGCCGACACCGTCGCCCAATCCGTCACCGCCATCCGCGAGCGCGCCGTCCGCCAGCCCGGCGGCGTCCACAGCGACGACCACCTCGCTATCCAGCTCCACAACCTCGACACAAAGTCGCCACTACCACGCTATGGAGAGGAGCTCATCCCACCCTCCCGCCTTCTCCCGCCGCCGTTCGACTTTCCGAGACTGGCGAGGTTCGCAGCGTGGGGATTTATCGTCGCGCCATTCCAGTTTAAGTGGTTCCAGTTCTTGTCGAGGAGCTTCCCGCTCACGAAGCAGGCGAGCACGGTGCCGGCTCTTAAGAGGGTTGTGATGGATCAGCTGTGTTTTGCGCCCGTGGGCTTGGCGGCGTTCTTTACGTATATGACGCGAGCGGAGGGCGGTGGGGGAAGGGAGATTAGGAAGAAGTTGGACCATGTTTATATCCCAGCCTTGTGAGTTTTACCTGTAGTTCCATGGATTTATTTGGGAGGAGATAAGCTAACACACTTGTTACAGGAAATCGAACTATATACTATGGCCGGCAGTGCAGATGCTGAACTTTAGAGTTATCCCGTTGCAATTCCAGTTGCCGTTTGCGAGCACGTGGGGTATTGCCTGGGGTACATATTTGAGCTTGACCAATTCTGCATCGGTTGCTTAGATGTGATAGATGGAGTTTAGAGGTGTATTTCAGTTTCTTTCTTTGGGTTGTCTTTTTTTCTTTTTTAGGGTCGGGCACTGTGCTGTGGGTTATAATCTGTAGATTCTATTGTCATAAATTTTTAAGAGTCCTCTTCTTTTTTTTCTCTTTCTTTTCCTTTTTCCCCCCTTCCATTATGGTCCTTATGAGTTAAACACCAAAGGTTGCGGTATTAGTCTAAGGCCTAGACCGGCCGAGTGAGAAATAGTGATCCACACTTACAGTCGTGGGAGACCGGGGTGTACTGTCTGTGTCACAACATGTGATGTGAAGCTAATCTCGGGCAGGCGTCCTTTTCGTCGACAACATTAGTCTCAGGTGCTAGTAACTACATGTACTTGTGTAGATATAGGAAACTACTCGGCTACTCGGTCGTGCCGGCCTATTATAAGTCTACCATATAGTCTACATACTAATGCATTGACATTTAGTAAGGCGATATATCCCCACCTCAGGCTTTTCAAGAGGCGTATGCATGTCTTCTACTTCGGCATCCCAAAAGCTGTGGCCCCCACAGGAAGGGCCCAGGGTCTCGCAGAGGTTAGCAACAATCAATAACAGAAAAGTGGAGAGAGATGGAGGAGGTTTTGGAAGAGAGGGGAGGGGAAGAGATTTAATCTTCCTATAAAATAACCAGCAGCTTTAACCAGAAAATCATCAGTTACTAAAGAGGGTTGTAAGAGCATCTTCGGTGGCCCACCGCTGCCAGATCACCTGAGAGTAGCCAACGCAATATGGGGTTCTTGGGACTCATAGGTGCCTAAAAATAGGCCAAGTATAGGCAGTGTAGGAAGTACTGATGACAAAGTTGATAGGATTGATGATGCTCACGGTGGTCGTTGTTTCTGCTACTGATAGTAGTTAAGTGGGGGAGCGGGAGAGGGGGGGAAGAGGCCACACCTATCTCCATGCGTAAGAAGGGATTAATGGCAAGTCCACCTCTCCGGCCACATTTAGGTAAAGTCGAGGCCAACGCAGCACCTTCACAAGCAGGTACTGGAACATTTCTTGTCCTGTGATCGGATTCAAGGCCAATACAGTGAGGTTAGGGAGGGAGTAGAAAGTTTACAGAAAGATGGAGAAAAATTAAGCATGATTACATGTAATATTGGAAAAAATTAAGCGTATGACCGTCTTCTATTTGCATCGATCCAGTCATTTTGTAATTGTATTATTTCAACCAAGAGCAAGCAAGAACAAGAATCAAGTAAGGTCTAGAAACTGCTTACATGGTTCTACATCTCAGCATCAGCTGCAGAGTTCACAATCACAATTCACACGCGACCAGCCAGTCAATCATTAGTATAATTCATGTCTATAACATGAAAATAATTTTTTTAAACTATATATATAATTTTTTAACTTGTTTTTTTCTTTCCAAAATAGAGTTTCCCCCCACGTTACGTATCTGCCCTCTCTTTTTCTATTCTCACCCTCATCTCATCCGCCCATTTTTTTACCGCCTCTGGCGAGAACTCCACCTGCTCCAGGTGCTCCTTGAACTCTCTTTTCCTCTTTGCCCATTCCTCATCCTGTGTGGAATCCTGAAAGCTCGTTCTCCTGTAGATCCATCCAAGCTCTTCATCAAACACCTGTCGGAGCATCGTTTTCTCCCAATTGTCCAGGCGCTCTTGTATCTTGTCCTTATCCTTGTCCTTATCCTCTTCACTCAGTGGCAAGGGCGGTGGCTTCTCCTCAACGACTGGGCCAGTGAGAAATTGTGGGTATGTCTTCTCTTCCCAGCGAGGGTGGATATTCACCGACTCCCAATCCACAAGACCGGTGATCCTAAAGCGGTCTGGATCTACCATGATGTTGGTAAGTGATAGGTCGGCGTGGTGTAATATGTATTGATGATCAAAATCCACGCTTATCTCTCCGGTCCTGTTGGGACCATTATGAAACACAGCCTCAGTGACTGGAGGCTCAGGTGGAAAGATGTATGGGAGGAGGGAATTAAGTGAAGAGCAGGCCTCCAAGATTTCGGGAACATCCGCGGCCAGACGTTCGTCGAACTCAATGATGCTGTTTACTTCCTCGTCCCCCTCTCCCGCCGACGCCGCCCGGCTCTTTAATAGAAACTCCATATCATCCACCTGCACCTGCATCTGCGCCATCATATATTCGTGATCCGAATGAAAAGGGCCCCTATTCCTCTGCATCCTTGCGCGCCGCCCCGTAAAAAAGAACGGCGCAACAATTGGCCCAATAACGACATGCGAAAACTCGCCCACAGACTCATATCGAATGTCGATATCCTCTTTGGCAGCCTTTTCCATCGCCCGTCGATAATACAGGTTCCCCTCCGATGCGAACCTCAACTTCTCCCGCAGCTGCGCAACATACCCTGCCACCTCTCTCACCACGGATGCCTTTTCATCTTGGCCCCATTCCCGCCAGACCTCCCGTAATGTGCACCCAGGCAGCTTATCCATCAATATCCATTCGAACCCGAGTTCGTTCTCCGTTGACGAATTGTATGCCAGGATGCGAGGAACAGGGATGGTAGTGCTGTAACGGACGTAGCGCATAGTAGCGACTTCGCTCTCCGTTTTGTAGAATGGTTCTACTGGGAGAGAGACGCGGAAAACATAACTTTTGGGCTGACCCTCCCAAGAAACCGTATATAACTTATTGGTCACTCCCGCTGACAGGAATGTTATATCAATTGCCTGCTCCTCCGATACGGGGAGATGCTGTCGAGAGACACGGCGGATTATGTCGAGTGAAGGTTCTTTTGTCCATTTAGGGGTCGGGGGTACAAGGCCGCCCTTCCAATATAGGCCGGGCTGCTCGAGGTTCCAAAAGGCTGGAGTGGGGGACATCGTGAGATTCAGGGAGGGGAGGGGGATTCAGGGAGGGGAGAAGTGGGTTGCATGTAGTTGAAAGGGCTAGGGCTGATGGGATTAAAGGATCGTGAAGCAACACTAGCGGAATTACCCGGTACTGAGCACTTCATGCAAGAATCCTACTGAATTAGATTATTACGTGCATGGGTCTGCAGTACAACTCTTCTTATATAATTGTAGGAAATGATTGTACTACCGGTAGTTTTGAAATCCTGGAACTGTAGCACCAGAATTTCTTCGAACCTTGGTGAAGGCATGTACCTGTCCATGATGCGGCGGCGTCCAGTATCGTGCTTTGAGGCGTTGACAACTCAGAGAAGTACCAGTATTGATGTATGGGTACATGTTCCTTGTTTATGTCTCTGCAATCACTATTATTGATGTCAGTAATCAGGCAACAGCCAATGGGTTGTCTCATTCCAAGACGGTTTCGTCAAGCTACTTTACTAACTAGTCGGCACGATACCCGATTGAGAAATCTGTCGTCAACAAATTGCGGGAGAGGTTTCTCGCGAGGTCCACCCGATCATAAGAGGAAATGATCGTCCATAGGAAAAATTCTTAAAAGGGTCTATAAGACGGGCGCTATACCAATTCCAGTGTAACAAGTCGCACAAGCAGTCTAGGCTTTAACCTCAGAGGTCTCAGTCTGGTAGGGCTGTTTTTCCAGAATCAGAATTCTGCAGCACCCGACTGACTCTGATTTCGTGCGCAGGGTTCTTTCTTGATCATGAGCCACACATGTGATGATCATGGTTCTGTCGCTGCCATTACAGGCCCTAATTTCCCCACCCATTCCGATATCCGTATTTCACCCGGCGGTTTAAGAGCAGAGCTTTGGAAGGACCTTTCCTTCCAGGGACTAGGGAATACTCATGCTCACCAAGCCAGCCGTCTGTTCCCAAGAGCTAGCTGACAATAGACTTGGGTCAGCAGCCAGCTGATGGAAAGACCCCCATTTTCGAGCATAAATTGCGCATTTTCGCCAGAAACACTGGCGAAACTGGGAAAATCTTCTTCCACATGCTGATCAAATCCAGTCGTAGAGTTGAAGCAGACATGTGAAATACTCAATCAAGTCCGGTCAGCAGACAGGAAGCTCCGTAATCGAAATGGGTGCTTTGTAGAGATATGTACTCTCTTATATCCCGGTGGCCTAATCTGGCAAAGGGTGCATACACATCTGCTTTCCGATAAAACAGAGTAACGGTAGCGACTGTAATCTCACCGAATGTAGTGGTATGACTACTATAGTTTGAGAATATGCGGTGGATGGCTTCTCGAGAAGAGGACATCATAGTTTCGTTCCGCAGGCCGCCCTAAATCCATTCTCGAGAGTTAGCTTAAGTTTGTCAATATCGTTAATCATCCATCTCTGTCCACTGTAAGGCATTGATTTTGATGCTCCATTTGCAAATCCACCATCATCCCCATAGCTGTGTCTGGTGGTTGGGTGGTGGTTAGTGACGGTGACAGTGACGCCGTGTGAAATCAGAACACAGAAAAGCATTACGCAAGGCCTGGGTAAAGAGAAAAGGCCACCTAGTATTTATACTCCCCCACGACGTAATTGTCACACATTGCACCACACACAACGCTAAACAAAACAAAAAAAGAGCCGTCACGAAATTTAAAGACTCATGTATCCTCGTGTACAGGAAAGCTAAAAGCACACCTCTGCTGCTGCAACCACCACCACCACTTGTACAACCACCACCACAACTACAACCACCACTCCCATAATCGCAATTACCACTGCAAGTACAGAAGAATAAACCTATTACATAATCTTTCAACTAAACATAATTACCAAAAATAATGAGCTGGTGGATTACTGTACGCACTGCTCCTTCTCCACACGCTGAGAATACTACTCTAAGCTGACTGAACCACTCAGATTCCCGCCTACATGGCCGCCGATCTTGTAACTGCATATGTCTTTAGTCAATTCATTGACATGAGTCGATTTGAGCGGTCCCGCGACGGGATCGATGGGTGGTGGTACGCAGAGTAGATTGAAGTTATCACTAGAGGAAAGGTGTGCACCAAGTGTGGGACTCCGTACCAGTGTCGGATACCACACAATGATTTGCGATTTCAAAAAAAATGATGTAACTAGCTTTAAGTAGGAGATCTATAGCGGCCAGGATATGGATTAAAAATAATAAGAAAAAAGAAGGAAAGAAGGAAGAAAAAAGAAAAAAAAGGAATAATATAAAAAGTGGAATACAAGTCACAATCATAACTGGGCCCTGCCATCACCACCATCTGCATCATCGCACATCAGGGCTGGTATTTGCCATATCACCAGCAAGCTATCGTACATGAACTACATACAAACAGCGCACACGAGAAGAGAAAAGCCACTATTAGTATTATTCAAAGTCAGTAACTCTAGTCCATCCCTCCGTCCCATCGACCCACCGGAACTCTGCCCCCTCATCAAAGAACCCGTGCTGATTCCAGCTCGCCATCTCAGCTGTCCCATACGGCCCATGCACGCCGCCATCGTCGCGGCCGTCCGTCCACCGGAACTCCCAGGTCTTTGATACCGGTGCTCCATTGTCTTGGGCCGCCGGGGCTTTTGGCTCAACCCAGTCCTCACCGCTCTCACGGCGGTACTGGCGGATCAGCGACTCGCGGGTCTCGTCGTATATCTCGTTCTGACCGCGGGTGAGGAGGCGGTCAGCGGCGCCGGTGATACGCTCCACTGCTTCCTTTCTGCGGGCTTCCACAGGGTCTTCAGGCTCTTTGCCCTTGTCGACTTCCATCTCGTCGCCGCCGGCCGCCTTCTTCTTCTTATCGCGCCACGAGATCTTATGGGCGGCCTTCTTTTTCTTTCCTGCGTTTCCAAGGCGCGCCAGGGCCTCCAGGACCGTTTCGCCCTTCTCCAGGTACCCAATGAGTTCTGCCAGCACCCCGCTAGTCGAGATGGCATCGTCCTCCTTCATCTTCTCCCTCAATTCCTTGTCCCGCTTCTCCCGCGCCTCTTTCGCGCGCTTCATGTCCTTCCTGCTAACGCCCTGCAACCAGCTATCATGGATCGCGTCCTTTTCCGCCGCCTTCCTAATGAAGTTCCCAGCGTCATCGAAGCGCCCCTCGTCCATCTCGCTCGTCATATTGAACGCATCGATCTTGGGCGCCTTCTTCTTCTTCCCACCCTCACCCACCTCCGAATCGACCTCCTCCGGCTCCTCGTCCTCATCTCCGCTGTCATCGCCTTTACCCTTATCCTCATCAATGATATCCGCAAACTCACGCCTACTCGCAAAGTCCTGCCCTCAATCTGCTCCAGCTCCATAAATTTGACACTCCTCTTCGTTTTATCACCCTTCTCTGCGCCCTTCACCTGCGGCTTCGCGCCCTCATCGCCACTATCCCTCAAGTCCGCAAACATATCCTCATCTTCCTCCTCCTCCCCGCCCTTCCCTGCGGCGGCGGCGCCTTCCTCCTCGTCAGCCTTCCACGCCTTATGCGTCTCGTCGAAGCCATCGCCCGACGAGTCGCTCTCATAGCCCTCGATATCGACGCGATTCCTGCGGACACGGCGCTTGCCGACGGCGCCCTCGTCGACCTCGAGGAAGACGTCGTCGTCGTCGGGCGCGTCCGGGGCGAGCTCGAAGGGGTTGCGCACGTCGAATTTGGGGCGCTTGGAGTCGGGGAGGCCGGCGCCGGAGCGGACGGCGGCGTCGAGGGTGGCGCCGGGGCGCTTGGGGCGTTGTGGGCGTGAGCTGGACATGTTTGTGTGTGTGGAGGGAGTGTTTGTGTTTGTGTAGTGGAGACACTGGAGAGAGAGAGTGGATGGATGAGCGCTGGTTACCCTGGGATGAGTGAGGGCTTGGCGGTGACGACAATGTTGCACCGAGTGAGTGGTTGTGATTGGAGCGTTGCGTTGCGTTGGTTTGGTTTGTCGCTGTTCAGGGTTTCAGAATATTGACAAACGTCTTAAGCAGATATTTTACGAGAGCAGCTACCCATTAAATAAAGTGAACAGATAGTTGACGAACTCGAATTCGAAAAGAAGAAGCAGCTTCGACTAATAAAGACAAGCCCAAAAGGACACAATTTAATACCCGGAAATAACGCGAAAGAGAAGTACGCCGGCATGTTATCTATATATATAAAATAACAAAGATTTCTGTAACACTAGCCCTCCGCCAGGTGCAATCACTATTGAATAGAGTTTATATAAGGTGGTCTTGGAAGGGCACAGGCTCTAGAAGAAAGAGAAAGTGCATGTAGTTTCGGCAATGGAAGGACCCTGAGCGGTGACCCCCGCGGGGTGCAACACTAGGTACATACCTACATACTATAAATAAGAAAACGCAATAGAAAACCTTATGAATACTAGGAGTATTAAATATCTACAAAAAGCTACATACAAAAAACAACTACCTATAAAAACCACAAATTACTCCCACCGAAGCTTGACCAACCCCGCATCCTCCGACACACTACACATATATACGATAGAAGGCAGGACTGCGATAGCTCTTCACATAATATCTTCAAAGAGTTCCACCATCCGGTTGTTTCTGAAACCCTAGCACTCTCCGGAAATCCTCTTTCAATGCGTTCAAGAGAAGCAAGAACCCGGCCACTCTCAAACCTCCTTCAACCAACATTCCCATAATCCAAGCGCCATAGTCCCGACCCGATGGCGTATTCCAGGCTCGAACACTTCTCTCAACCCACCCGTCCTCCTTCACGTCTAAGGCTAGCTTCCTATCTACAACAAGAGGGACGTGCTTCCTTCCACCACCTCCCATTACTTTCTCATAATAAGGCACGGCTAGTTGTGGTTGAGCGTCTCATACTCTCTTAAGCTCTAGATAGAAACCCGCAAAACTAGTGAGAGAAGAGAGGTGCCGGTGTGGGAGACGAGAGATGCGGCGCAGGAGAGGAGAGGTACCACTACATATACTTGTTTTAAGATGCCTTACCAAGGGGGGCTCAATGAGATGGGCTCAAAACCAACTCTGGCATACAAATATGCATGCCCTGGTAGTGTAGTGGTTAACACACCAGAAACTCAGCACGTAGGTTCAGAGCTGTGAGGAGATCTTGGGTTCGAATCCCAATCGAGGCAATATCAATTCTTTTTTTTTGTAACTTCTCTCACTAGCTTTTTTATCTTCATCCCCGATAGGCAGACTGTCTCTTCCGTGCTGCCTTTCTGCAGGAGGGCCTACTGTGTAGTTGGTGGGGTATGTATGTATGTGTGTGTGTGATATCGATACATAGATCAGAGCTCTCTCTGCAGCTAGCTGGCCTACAATACAATCGCAGATAGAACTATGGTGCTGGTCGCCCTAAACTACATGTTGAAGTTTGTAGTGTGGGAGAAAATGACTTGAATGTGGTTTGAACACGTGACCTTGAGGGAGGATGTGTTTGTAGTGCGAAGAAGATACTATTGCGCCGCTGAAGTTCCAGCGACAATGTGGGTGTTTGAGCGCCCTATATATACAGATATTCTAATACCACGTGATCCCCTGATTACATAATCCCTGACACTAAGCCTTGTCTGAATCCCTGTTCCTTCTATGAGTCATCCCTTATACATGAGTAATTCCGTACATAACTGATGTCGCAATGCCCTATTTCTACACTTCCCCTCACTTGCCACATCGTATCAATTCTGACAATTTTTGGTGAGCTGGTTTCGGTAGTCCTTTGGTCATTATGTCTGCAACATTGTCTTCGGTTGGGACATAGAGGAGTTTGAAGGTTTCGGCTTCGAGTTGTTCACGTGTGTAGTGATAGTGAACGTCGATGTGTTTGGACCGGTCGTGGATACGTGGGTTCCGACAGAGTTCGATGGACCCTGTGTTGTCGGCGTGGATGTTGTATTGGTATTGTTGTTGGAGTTCGCATAAGGCGTTGCGAATCCATACCAGTTGTCGAGCTGTTAGGGACAGAGCCATATATTCGGCTTCTGTTGTTGAGACTGCGACTGATTTCTGCTTCCGGCTTCTCCAGCTTATGGCTGATTTTCCTAGTCTGAACACGTATCCTGAGAACGATTTTCTGTCATCTAAGTCTGAAGCGTAGGAACTGTCTGAGAAACCATCGAGTGTTCTAGTGTTTCCTTTCGGGTAGAACAGGTTCCAGTCTTTGGTTCCGTTGAGGTATCGGAGAGTTCGTTTGGCTGCTCGTAGGTGGTCCTCAGTTGGGCATGAGGAGTACTGAGAGAGGGCAGTAACGGTATGGGTGATATCAGGTCTGGTTGCTATGCTGGCGTACATGAGTGATCCAATTATGGATTGATACTCAGTTGGTTTCTCGATTTGATCTTCTGGTTCTCCTTTACGAAGACTCAGATTTGGTTCGAGTGGTGTCCCAACTGGTTTGCAGTTATTCATTCCAAATTTGTCTAGGATTTTGTTGATGTATGCTAGTTGTGACAGCGTGATACCGTTCTTTGTTACCGTTATTTCTATTCCCAGTAGGAATTTCGCATTACCGAGATCCGTACATTCGAAATCTGCCTTAAGTAGTTGTCTGATTTCGTTTCTGAATGGGGAGTCGGGTCCGAATATCATGATGTCGTCAACATACACCGATATGTATAGTTGGTGTTTCTTATGTATGAAGACACATGGGTCGAATTTGGCTGGGACAAATCCTTTCCGTTGAAGGGAGTCTGCTAGGCAAGCGTACCATTCACGGGGTGATTGTTTTAGTCCATATATGCATTTTCGAAGTTTACAAACCTTGTGGTCCTGTCTGTAGCCTTCAGGTAGTTCCATGTAGATTTCCTCCTTAAGTATACCATATAGGAAGGCTGACTTGACGTCCATTTGTTGTGGTATCCAACCGTTGTGTGCGGCTAGTGCAAGTAGGAGTCTTAGGGAATCGTATCGGGCAACGGGGGCGAAGGTTTCATCATAGTCTTGATACTGTACTTGGGTGAAGCCTTTGGCGACGTATCTAGCTTTGTATCTTTCGATTGTTCCGTCCGCGTTGTGTTTTACCTTAAATACCCATTTTCCTCTGACTACTGCTCGGTTGGTTGGTCTGTCGACAATGTCCCAGGTGTGGGCCTTGTCGAGGGCGTCTTTCTCTGTCTGTATTGCCTTCTTCCATAGGTGTTGATCATCGCTTTTCATTGCTTGATTGAAGGTGGTAGGTTCAGTTACTAGGTGTACCCGATGTATGGTGGAATCCAGGTTGTCGTACTGGCTTTGGAGCTTTGCTTTGTCCTTTTTGTGGTCTAGACTGGCTGCTACCATTGCTAGTTGCTTGGTTTGTTCGTCCATATCTTCATCGGCCAGTATCTCTGATACCTCCTTGTCATAGGTGGTTCCTAATTCCGATATTTTCAGTCGGATTTCCTTCCTTTTCCCTTCGATATCAAGTGCTGCTTGTTTCTCCGTTCTTTCACGGATGCGATTCGATCTTCTTGTTGTGACAGGATGCAGGACTTCAGATTCTTTCTCCTTTTCGGTTGTTGGTTTCCAAGGTTTCGATTTCCTTGGTGGTTCCGGGAGAGGTATTTCTGTGTTTTCCTGATTAGCTTCCTGTTTATTACTTTGTTCGAGGTGACGTCCAGGAGTGGGCCTCGTAAGCCCGGCCCCCAGTCTACTTGCGTCTGTTTCAAGGTCTTCTTCGAGTGCTGACGATTCGGGTTCTTGATCAGGCCTGTCTTCTGATTCATATCCGTCGTCTGTCGGTGCAGGTGCCGCTTCTGGTTTCAGGATAGGGGTGTAGTCGAGTTCCACGGAGACTTCCCCTGATTCAGGAGGGGGGAATGTGACATCTCGACTTACAACTAACCTATTTTGTGATCCTATCCAGGTGCGGTAATGTTTGGTACTGTCTGAGTATCCGACGATGATTCCTTCGTGTGCTCGGGGTGCTAGTTTGCTTCCTGCTGGCCTAGAGTTTTCTGGGATGTGGACATAGCATTTCTTTCCGAATGGTTGAAGGTGTTGGATACTCGGCTTTGAACCTTTCAGGGCTTCGAAGGGGGTCTTTCCCTTTAGCGTACTGTGGGGTAGCCTATTTTTGAGGTAGACAGCTGTTGAGTATGCTTCACCCCATAACGATTTAGGATGGTCCATGATCATGCACCTGACCATTGTTGTTATCGTCCTGTTGAATCGTTCTGCAACTCCATTTGATTCAGGAGTGTATGGGGGAGTCTGTTCGTGGACTATTCCTTGTAGGTTGAAGTAATCCATTGTGTCTTTGTTGACGTATTCACCACCACCGTCCGTTCTAAATCTCAGTATTGTTGTATTGTACTGTTTCTCGATTTTCGTGACGTAGTCTTTGATGGCTTTTATCGCATCGTCTTTCTGTTTTAGCAGATATATCCAGGCGAAGCGGGTATAGTCGTCAATGAAGGACATATAGTACAGGGCTTTTCCTTGCGATTGTGTGCCGAATTTTCCAGATAGGTCAGAGTGGATTAGTTCGAATGCTCGCTGGGATCTTGTACTAATTGGTGCAGGTTTCTTGTGCACACTTTTTGATAGTGCGCATTGACTGCAGTGGAATGTTTCTGGTTTGGGGGGTAGCTTATGGATGTCTTCGTACAAGTTTTCTAGTGTCGCAGGGTGGCCTAGTGCTTGATGCCATTCAGAGTAAGTGGTCAAGCGAACTGTATTGCTAACTACTTGTACATTCCAAAGTCCCTTATCCAATTTCGCCCAAATTATTCCTTTCTTTTCTTTCGTGACCAATTTGTTTCCTCCTCCTGACTCTGTTCTAAACCCCTTTTCGTCGAGTATTGTTTCTGAGACCAATCCCACATTTCCCAAGGTTGGGACCAGCAGCACGTCGGTGAGGACAACGGTGGATCTATCTCCATTGGGAAGGTAGCATTCGAAACTAGCGCTTCCCAATCCGGTGACAGCGTGGATGGTGCCGTCGGCTGTTCGGACTGTGCTGGTGTGAGAACGGATGTTGAAGAGTTGGTCTTTGAAAGGTGTTACGTGAGAAGTAGCTCCAGAATCAAGGATCCAGGTAAGGGGCAGAGAGGGTGAAGTATCGGTGCGTACCATGCATACTGTTGTGGATGATTCGTTGATAACTACCGACGCTGAGTTATCTCTGCCTGGTCTCCTTCTGTTTGAATCCCTTGTCTTGTTCTGTTCTTTGAGCTTTCTACACTCCTTGTACTCGTGGCCCTGGTACGGGTTATTCCGTTTCTTGCACCAGGTGCATTCCTTGCCGTTTGGTGTTGGGGTACTCCTGGTATGAAGTACCCTGTTGTTGCCAGTGAGAGGGGTTTCCTCTTGTAGGTTTTGTAGCCGTTGGCGTACATCTTCGTATGTAACATCCTGTTTAGTCTGGATGTTATCGACGACGTTGCTCATCGACTTCGGCAGTGAGGCAAGTAGGAATGCTGCCATTGCTTCGTTGGATTTGGTGAGGGGTAGCAGGGCCTGAGCGAGTTTGTGGTCGCCGCTCTGACACCTGGTTTTGAGAGTGTTCCAGTTCGTGTTGAAGATCTCAAGATGCTCGGTTAAGTTACCGTTGTCTTGCATCTTCGTGTCTAGAACACGGCTGAGGAGGGTGATCGTCGTGTTTGGTGATACGCGATCGTAGAGGTCTTTGAGCGCCTTCCATGCGTGGTATGCATTTTCGGCGGAGACGACTGTTGGTTGTATGTCTTCGGCTACAGCTCCAATGAGAAGGCTGTGCATTTGTTTTCGGGCCTTTTTGATTTCGGCCTTGGTGAGGTCTGTGTCATCTTCTGAGGGGTTTTCGATGCTCAATGCTTCCCACCAGTCTGCTGCATCGAATGTAATCCTCCAGGCAGACGCCCAAGTTTGGTAGTTGGATTGTCCCTTTAATTTTGGGAGTCCATCAAACTTGATGCGAATGTTACTGGGACTCGTGTTGTCTGAGGACTTAACCTCCACGGCCTTGGATGATTCACCAGCGTCAGACATGATGTTGTATGAAGTGTAATTGAGTTAACCGAATGTGGCGAGTGTTGTGCGGATTTTATTTGGCAAAACCCGGGCTCATAACCTGAAGTTTGTAGTGTGGGAGAAAATGACTTGAATGTGGTTTGAACACGTGACCTTGAGGGAGGATGTGTTTGTAGTGCGAAGAAGATACTATTGCGCCGCTGAAGTTCCAGCGACAATGTGGGTGTTTGAGCGCCCTATATATACAGATATTCTAATACCACGTGATCCCCTGATTACATAATCCCTGACACTAAGCCTTGTCTGAATCCCTGTTCCTTCTATGAGTCATCCCTTATACATGAGTAATTCCGTACATAACTGATGTCGCAATGCCCTATTTCTACACATGTACATGTACATTGTACCCCATTCCCTCAATTACGCCCAAGATTGATTACTATTACATGTAGTTTAGGTTAACGGTGGGTCTTTGTAATTGGGGGTGTTTTGGTTTAGGCTGTTTATGAGATATATCTGGATGTAAGTAGTCGAAATAAATACATGCAAAACGTGCTATACTCCGGCCAGGGCGGGCTAGATAAAGCTGAGAGATTGGGTATATATGCGGGATGTGGAGACACGATCGGGTCCCTTTGAGTTTCCAATATTCTGCCCACAATCCCGTTCGACCCAAGTTCATTTATTCATTACCCATCTACCCATCTACTATCTATCTATGCACTCCCCCACCCACCCACCCCCAGGCCGGACTACCGCTTCATAACCTCCACCCCCTTCCTCACTACCCCCGCCAACGCCCCCGTCTGCACCGTCTCCCCCCCGCCACTCCCAACCCTCCACTCCACCTCCGCCAACCCCTCCATCCACACCACCCTCGTCTGGGCCGGCACCTCCAACACCGCCAACTCCTCCCCCAAACACGCCAGCAGGTCCGCCAGCGCCAGCCCCTTCCGCCGCTTCACCTCCACAATAGTCCTCAGCGCCGTCGTGACATCGCAGCGCAGCAGCGTCTCCACAATCAGGCTCACATCCTCCGGGTGCGGCGCCGCAATGCACTCGTAGATGTGCGTCTCTGTGATTGTCTCGCGCTGCGCGGTGGGGTCCGGGTGCCCGCGGGAGTCGATGGGCGTGGTGGAGGCGTGGCAGGCTTGTAGCACGTTGAGGGAGCGGCGCATGTCGCCGCGGGAGAGCTTGAGGAGGGCGTCGCGCGCGGGGTCGGTCATGAGCACGGACTCGGCGGCGATGACGTGGTCGACGCGCTTGCGCAGGGCGGCGAGCGGGAGGGGCGAGAAGCGGAAGCGCGTGCAGCGGGAGAGGAGGGCGGCGTTGAGCTTGTGGGTGTAGTTTGCGATGATGCAGAAGCGGGTGTTGGCCGTGTACCTATCACCTCATACCATCCATCCATCCATCAGCCCTCTTCATCCTCTCACCCCTCAGGGTAGGTCAATTGGCCAGGGGGGGGGGGGGGGGGGTTGAAGGGCATCATACTTCTCCATAATCCTCCTCAGCGCATTCTGCGCCGCACTCGTCATGGCATCCGCCTCGTCAAGGATAATCAGCTTGAACGCGCCGAGCCCATCCTTCTTCCCCGCCACGCCGCCAAAGATCTGCTTCGTCGACGCGAACGTCTTGATCTGCTCGCGCACCACCTCGATGCCGCGGTCGTCCGAGGCGTTGAGCTCGAGCACCTGCTGCCGGATGTTGTGCGCGCCGTAGATGTGGCGCGCGAGCGCCAGGATCGTCGATGTCTTGCCCGTGCCCGGGGGCCCGTAGAAGAGCAGGTGCGGGAGACGGTTGGTGGCGACGAAGCGGTTGACTGTGGGTGTGGGTGTTAGCTATGGTACGATTGGGAGGGGGGATGTGGGGTTGGGAGTGGGGGGGGGGGGGTGAAGTACTGGTCTGCAGGATGTCTTCATGGCCAGAGACATCGTCGAGTGTGTCGGGACGATACTTCTCAACCCTGTAGGAGGGCAATATCAGCTCAATTCATCACCACCACCACACTGGACTGGACTGGACTGGACTGGAGGGGAGAAACGCACCAAGGAAGAGTGTCACCAGCGCTGACGGGCAGGTTGGCTTTACTAAGCTTCTTCCCCTTCGAGCCGCTGTCAAAGGTTCGTTCCGGCTCCGCTATGCGCTCGTCGTCAAGCTCCATTTCGTCGATGTCAGACATTGCGGCTGGTGTGTGCGGGTGGTGGTGGTGAGTGTGAAGAGACCGTCACCAGCTGTAGCAATAATAATCCAATCTGTGGAGTTGAGGTTCAAGGCTCGGGTCGACGCGACGGTGTGCGCGTAGAGTGAGTGAGTGTCTTGGCGGATTACTAACAGGGGTAATGATTGGCCGGGCAGGTATTTGTGAGGCTGCGGAGTGTGCGCGGGCAGCGGTGCGGTGATGTGGAGTTCGGGTCCAGAGGGTCTGGGAAAGGCTGCAGTGATGGTTGGGTGTTGCGGGTTGGGGCTGGCGGGGAAGGGTTTCGTGGGTCACAGTAAATCACTCGGTGGGAAAGCTTCCTGAATTGCACCTCTGCTCTGCGTTCCATCAGTGGCACGCAGGAAGCTATGGCTACAAGTATACATGTATGAACGTGTTGGTAATATTAATAGGTGGGAAGGGGCACCCGTTTATCATTGTAGAGGCGCGCGGCTCGTCACATTAGCGGGTACTTCTGTATTGTGCTGTGGGTGGCTTCCACAGACTCGAGAAACATTTCAACACATCAAAAGGCATCAAAAAAACCACCCCGAGAAAGTATACACAGAGGTCTGCGCTACATGTAATATATATAGGAAAAACATCGGCCTAATCAAGAACGACAGCAAGAGCCAGCCTGCCGGGGAGCAAGAGAAAAAAAAAGAATTGATACTGCCCCGATTGGGATTCGAACCCAAGATCTCCTCACAGCTCTGAACCTACGTGCTGAGTTTCTGGTATGTTAACCACTACACTACCAGGGCATGTCTCTTTGCACGGCAGAGTTGGCTTTGAGCTCATCTCCTTGAGCCCCCCTTGGTAAGGCAGGGTGCAAGTAGAGCATTACGTGTACGAAAAAGCGCAGTCTGTAGCAGTATTCTACATCCTTTCCTTCCTTATTCATCCTTACACTACTATACGGGCTACATTTCCCGGTATATAATATACACCCCACAACACACCCCCCCCCCCCCTTCCCGGAGTTGTTAAACCCATGACCTACTGGTGGCCATGGGGGCTCAACCCACTCGGCGCAGCGAGACGAGCTGTCTACCACTAGACTACACTCGCCCACATGGTAACTGCCAATATATGGCCCGGAAGTAATACTTAACGGGCGGGGCGAGGGCAAAACGAAGGAGCTAGGGAAACCAAACCCACTAGCCATTCTCTTCTTATACCTGAGCCACCCGCAACCAAACTCGGAATCAGCACACAAAAGAACCCTGACCTAAAGCCCCATCTCGTATAAATTAACAAAGTAACCAAAAGCAGAGAGGTTTCTCAATGAGTATTAAATACGTGTACATATACCGCACTGCAAGTGCCTGTGTATTGCGATTGGAGGTAGGACACCGTGGTAGGGAAGAGCAACCGGGGATCTTCCCCACTTAGTACGTAAAATACCAGGCTAAATTCACTGTTAACCAAATTAAAACATACAGACTTCTGGCCAGGCTTCTGTTAGTAACTGCGAACTCCAATCTGAAGTAGTACGTTTTAAAGTCCCCACCGGTCGCCAATATATTACATACACCTATCACACCACAGAAACCTAGCTCATACCACACTTCCTCTTGAATCTAGTAACCCTACCCAACCTCAAATTATCCAGTGCGAAACCAGCTCTCTAAATATCAACCAACCAAGCCCTCTACGAGTGACGCCAGTCACACCCTCTCACTCGCATCCTCCAGGCTCTTGGCACCCACCACCCCTGTCACCAGTTACCCGGGCGCCCCACCACGCCGTCGCACAAACATTTTTTTCCCCTACACACAAAAAAAACCCAAACCCAAAACCCCAAAACTAAACGCAAAGCCATTCCACTCCACAACACCCAATGGCACGCAGCAAACCCGGCCCCAATGGCGCGCACGCCACCCCAGAGCCCATAAAACAGCTCGTCGACGACTTCGTCATGACCATCTCCGACAGCGAGGAGGACATCCCCGACCTCGACGAAGACGACGACGCCATCACCGCCGAGAAGGCGCTCACCAAAGAGCCGTCGTCGCCGGAGCCCGAAGCGCTGAGCGAGAAGCAGAAGCGCGGCAAGAAGCGCAAGCGGGAGAAGGAGCGCATTGCCGCCGAGGAGGCACAGGCTAATGAGAACGACGGCGGCCTCGACTCGGACTTTGAGTTTATGGCGGGCGACGGCGGCGCGGGCGTGGGTGAGTATGAAGGGTGGGGGTTTGAGGGTGCGAAGAGCGCCATGAAGGATGGGAAGAAGGGGGTTGATATTGACGACATTATTCGGCGGAGGAAGGGCGCTGAGGCTGTGAGCAAAGAAGACGACGAGGATGCGGACACGGAGGAGGAGGAAGATGATGAGGAAGATGAGGAGGAAGGCGAGGAGGAAGAAGCTAGTGACGATGAAGACGGCGTCGAGTTTACAGGCTTCGACGAGAACGACGAGGATCTTGCGGAGGACGGTTTTGGAGCTGGCGCGGACTCGGAAGCTGAGGAGGACGATGATGAAGGGGAGAAGGCATCGAAAGAGAAGGGCTCCGACGACGAGGAAGCTCCCGCTGGCGATGATGATTCCGACGCCGAGTCTGTAGCCTCTGCCGTCCCGCACCCCGACGATGAGGATTCCGACGACGATAGCGACGCCGGCGCAGCAGCCAGCGATGCCGAGTCACCCGAGGAGGCGGCCAAGAAGGCCGCCTTCTTCGCACCCGAGGAGGAGGGCGAGGACATGAAGCAGCGCACGTCCGCAAACTTCCAGACCATGAACCTCTCGCGGCCGATCCTGCGCGGGCTTGCCAATGTCGGCTTCACCACGCCCACGCTCATCCAGCAGAAGACCATTCCCGTTGCGCTGCTTGGAAAAGACGTCGTCGGAGGTGCCGTCACGGGTTCCGGTAAGACGGCGGCCTTCATCGTCCCGATCCTCGAACGTCTGCTCTTCCGCCCCAAGAAAGTCCCCACGTCCCGCGTCGTGATCCTCTGCCCGACCCGTGAGCTGGCCATGCAAGCGCACAGCGTCGCGGTCAAGCTCGCGGCATTCACAGACATCAAGTTTGCGCTCGCCGTCGGAGGTCTCTCCCTCAAGGTGCAGGAGCAGGAGCTGAAGCAGCGCCCCGACGTGATCATTGCCACGCCTGGACGTTTCATCGACCACATGCGCAACTCCAGCGGCTTCTCCGTCGAGAGCATCGAGATCGTCGTCATGGACGAGGCCGACCGAATGCTCGAGGACGGGTTCGCCGACGAGCTCAACGAGATCATCAACACCATCCCCAAGAGCCGGCAGACCATGCTCTTCTCCGCCACCATGACCGACTCCGTCGACAAGCTCATCCGACTCTCCCTCCAGCGCCCCGTCCGCATCATGGTCGACACAAAGCACAGCACCGTCAAAACCCTCGTACAAGAGTTCGTTCGCATCCGTCCCCAGCGCGACCACCTCCGCCTCGCCATGCTCGTCCTCCTCTGCAAGGACTACTTCCACCAACGTGTGATTGTCTTCTTCCGCAGCAAAGTCTTCGCCCACCGCGCCCGCGTCGTATTCGGTCTCTTTGGTCTCAAAGCTGCCGAGCTCCACGGCTCCCTCTCCCAGGAGCAGCGTGTGAAGGCCGTCGAGGTCTTCCGTGACGGAAAAGCCGACTTCCTCCTCGCCACCGATCTCGCCTCCCGTGGTCTCGACATCAAGGGCGTCGACGTCGTGATCAACTACGAGGCGCCCCAGTCCCACGAGATCTACCTCCACAGAGTCGGACGTACCGCTCGTGCCGGTCGCCAGGGTCGCGCAATCACGCTCGCCGCAGAGCCCGACCGCAAGGTCGTCAAAGCGGCCGTCAAGGCCGCACAGGACCAGAGCGTCAAGGTCGTATCCCGCGTTCTCGACCAGACCAAGGTCGACGAGCTGGGCAAGAAGATCGACGAACTGCAGGAGGAGATCGAGGAGATCCTGAAGGAGGAGAAGCAGGAGAAGCAGATGCAGAGCCTGGAGATGCAGGTGCGCCGCGGCGAGAACCTCATCAAATACGAGGACGAGATCAAGGCGCGGCCGCGCCGGACCTGGTTCGAGACTCAACAGGAGAAGGATGCGCGCGGGAAGGTGTCGCGGGCGCAGCTGAACGGCGTGGAGCTGCCCGAGAAGAAGGAGAAGTTGTCAAATAAGAAGAGGAAGAGGATGGAGGGGCGTGAGGAGCAGGACGAGGCAAGGGCGTATAAGAAGACGAGGGCCGACCGCGGCAGTAAGCTGAAGGGCAAAGGCAAGGGGAAGACACTCCCTGGTGGCGCCTCAAAGGGCGCGAAGAAGTTTGACAACAAGATGTCGAAATCAAAGCCAAAGAGCAGGGGGAAGCCAAAGGGTAGGAGGTGAGCTTAGACAAAAACGGTTGTAATTTAGTTTAGTTGTAGTAAATGGGGGTGAAAAAGTCATTTTGTCTTTTGTGCGGGGCAATAGCGAAAAACCCGCACTTTTTGTATTCTAATTGATAAAGTTGAATAGAAGAGTTCCGGTGGCGTGGTGTTGCTTATTTGTGGGAGAAAAAGCTGTTTGTTATTGCGTCAGTAAATTACCCAGAATATCCGAGTGATATCCTATGGATAACGGTTACTGAATGCATCCCTAATTTATCCTCTCCTTCTGTGGGTAATTAAAGCAGAATCGTTCAGTGAAAGTATTGGTGATCGCGGTTTTAAGTTAACGAACTACACCGCACCATTCATATGAAATACTATACTCAGTGAGGTTAAGACATAGAAGTCAGAAGAGACATTTTGTAGGAATAATTCCGGCTTTCGTAAGGCATTTTCATGATCTTGTACTAATGATGGATTTGTCAGAGGGGTTACCAACCTGTACCAAAGGTACTGGGAAATTGTCAGAGTCTTGAAAAAACTCTCTCAAATCATCACTTGTCGGGAGTAGAAAGGCTTCCTCAGAATCCTCATCGGTGTATATATCTGGTTTACAATTGTGGTCTGCGTGGACACATAGTAATAAGTGTGCCAAAGTCAAATAGGACTTTGTACCAATATATTCTTCTTATTAGCTCACACACCAATATAAAAAGTGTCAGACTGATTCGGGTTGTCTCAAATCCACCGACCAGCGCAGTATGAGCGAAGCAATTCGTTATTGATGGGGATGGTGATGAAGTGGGGGAGGATAGACTCCCCATAGGACGCAGTAAATACACTCTAAATCCTAACGGCACATGTGCTCTAGCTAAGGACAACAACCTCCTTAGTGGTCTAGGTCCACTCTACAGTTGATTTCCCGTACCGCAGGTAGAGTTAGTGGCTACATGTAGGATATCATGTTCATCTAAAGGCATACTTAAAAAATCAAGAGCCCAGAAATTATTCTCTCGTAGCCCAGTTTATATATTCAATTCCAAGAATTAGGTCACCCAGCCCTTGGCTCGCTGAAGAATAAATGCTTTACTCAGTCAAAGCTCACTCACTCACAAACCACAGCACCGAAACGAACGCAAGTCCATAACAAAATCTATATAAAATTACACATTACCGCCCTCTACCCCGCTGTCATCCCCCCAAACGCGGATTCCACCCCGCTCCCCCTCTCGGCACAAACGTACTCCCCACCAGCAACGCCGCCACAACACTAACCTGCACGCCCCCTACCCACACCACCGTCACCCTCGCATCCCCGCCTTTATCTGCCACCATCCCCAGCACCGGCGCCAGTACCGCAAAAAGTACAATATACACCGAATACAGAAACGCCATCACGGCGCCTAGATTCGAAATATTCTCATCCCTCTGCTCATCGCGGTCCCCGGCCAGCGCGCTCTGGATATACGCCGCCAGGCTTACATCCCCCGCCGCCCACCCAAACGAGATGGGTATAAAAAGTGGTGCAAGGCGCCATAGCGCCCCCGTACTGGTGTCCTGAGCGGGGTAGAACGGCAGCACCCAGACGAGGAGGAGAAGTAGTGCGTCGGCCCTAATCCATGGCATAGGCGTCGGTATCCTATCGCCCAGCACAAACACCAACGCTGCACCGATCAGCTCGCCGAGGTTGGAGCCCGAGACGAGGATGCGGCTTGCGGCCGGGTTGTGGAAGATGTCCTGTGCTATGAATGGGATGAGGCCGTTCTCGATGTAGCGGTGTGTGTAGAGGGCTATCGAGTATCCAACGGGCAGCCACATGAAGGCCCGCTTCGTAAAGATCACGCAAAACCCCTTCGATATGGACTGGAAGAAGTACTTCACGCCATACAGGAGCTGCACCGCATATGACGCTCTTGAGGTACTCTTCGGGGGAGACGGCAGGGCGAGAAAATGCCATGCCATAGCCGCACATGCAAAGAACCCCGGCGTCGCCACAAGCCCATACACACTCCCCAGTCGTGAGACCAGCAGCCATGAGAGCAGCGCGCTGAGGGTGCCTGAGACCTCGTAGAGGATGTGGACCAGCGCATCCATTTTGCGCAGCTTTGTGATGTTGCCGCCGACAATGTCGCGCGGGATGATACGGCGGATAAGCTCGATCATGCCATAGACGAGGCCGCTAGAACACATTATTGGGAAGAGTGTATTTGGATCGAAGCTCCCTAGGTATGGTGGGGCTTTGGATTCGTCGGTGGGGTCTGTGGAGATTGAGGTCTTGATCCGGCCATGGGTACCAAAATCAATGATCATTAGAAGGGCGCTGAGGACAGCAAAGATCAGAGAGGTGAATAAGAGGATATTGCGAGTAGCGAACCGGCGAATTAGTGGTGCGATAAGAATGCTGCCCACGCACTGAAGATTTTAGTCGTTTATAGTACATATATCTCTTAGAGCAAGTCAGGCATACCTGAAAGAGCTGATCAAGCCCTCTAAGAAGGCCATATTTCCGGTGCTTTTCATCTCCCCATTTCTCCAGCGCGATAATTCTTTCAAACTGTTAGATTGTCTGCGAACGGTGACATTGGGGGCGTACATTATCAATTGACACGATCATAAGTGGTGGTGCTATATTACGTTATTGATCCCTGGAAAGTCTCGAGGCCGAGCTTGTAAAACATTATCCCAATGATCCATATTGCCATATTTCTCTATAACCAGAACGCGTAGTAAGTAACAGAGCTTTTCTTGTTATCGGGACACGATTTGGCCCACCTTTTCAATATAGGAGTAGCTTCTCTTTTCCTCCTCCTCCTCTTCGGCGCATATCAAGATATCTAGCGTGGATAAGGGTTTCGGAGGAGCCATTTCTGGAATTCGAGGACGTATCTTTTCGTAACCTGGACGAATGCAGATACGCTCCAGAGCATGAGAAGATGAAGCTCTCAAAGGCTTTGGAGAGGCATAATATCACTTGGCAGTACGAATTGAGTTAGAAAACTAACTAAAGAACGTTAAGTTGATGATAGATGACGTTATTGGACTAAGTCAACTGTTTTTCAGCTTTGGTGCCATTTTGAAAATGTGTCTTTTTACTGGTACTAGGCTTTCAAACGGCCATAGTGTTGGTAGGTGTTTTGTATAAATGTAGCTACATGCGTCTGAATGAGCGGCACAATTGTATATATAAAAATGCCTATTATTATAATTTAGAATTCAGAATCAGCGCTCGCTACAAGTAACGTAGAGAGTGGAAGTTTAGTTCGAGAAGTTTATTTTTACTCACAGGTATTAGCCCTGCTATCAAGTAGATAGCGGTCTAGATAAGCGATCCTGAAAGTACCAGATCATTTGTGAGAAAGCCGAGTGGAGCGGTTATTGGAACATACGAAAGAGGACATCGTGGAGACATCGACTCTACACGTAGCTAGCACTGGTTTCATCAAATTAAGATATCATATTTACTCTAGGCCACAGTAAACGTCCAGAATATGCGCACAACTGAGGCACATACTCTCGTGGTTGTGCTCCTAGCCTACCTACGTCATCGGAGATGCCCTGCATCAAGCGAATCCCCGCCATCTGTCTTCGGTTAGGGTCACATCATCCCTGCTACTAAAGACGGTGCCCTGATATTTTGTTCCTCTCCTCCGCTCCTTACTCCCCCATACCTCTCCATTCATCTCAACACACAAAAACAACAAACAACAATCCACTGAAACATGTCTTCATCACTCCGCCCACGCCTCGAACGATTACGAAAGTCTCTACGACACTGGCAGATCTACACAAACGAGTACGAAGCGCTGCGGCGGGGGCTCTCATCCCTGCCGCTGGCGGCGACGCGCGAGGACATGGTATTTACTTGATGCCCTTCATACGCGAAGGAAGGGAGCGACGCTGATTGAGTGGTGAAAAAAAAAAGCTAGAACTGGCTTCCAAAGCAACCAGGAAAGTTGTTGATGAGCAAGGTGAGCTCATCACGACTCAATCCACGCTGTCAATGCTGATGGAATTTCAACATTAGAGGTAGAGGAACTTCTCGGGGATGGGCTAGAAACCAAGCGGAATGTTATTGAGGTCATCACAGAGATCACCCACCGGCTTGACGGTGAGTCCACCCCCGCTCTATCCCACCACGTCAGAACTTCAAGCTAATCCAATCACCTCTAGATTCCACCGAGAACGTGGCCCAACTCGAAGAACAGATTGAGGCCGCCGAGAACGAGATTGACCCTGATGAAGAAGACGAGGAAGACGAGTACGAGCCCGTAGATGACGCCAAGTACAGGCCTACGGTGGAAGGGCTAGCCACGCCTGAGGTGCAGAAAGAGATTGAAGAGTTCCGGAAGCGGCTTCACGAGCGAGGCGAGGCATCTAGAGCCGAGGCAGCAAAGGTGGCAGCTGAAGATCTAGAAAAATCGATAAAGAAGAGAAGGGGAGGGGGTGTTCGATTCGCCCAGGAGACGGATGAAGAAGAGTCAGGGGAGGAGGATACTGCCAACGCAAAAGACCCAGCAGAAACAAATCTTGGGCCTGGGAAAAAAACAGATACTGTGGACACTCCAGATTCTGTCAGATTAGATCCTGTGGACAAGGAAGATCCTGCGGAGAATGAAGATCTTCTGGACAAGGCAGATTCTGCAGACAAACCAGAGTCTGTCGTCAGGTCAGGCGCTGTGGATAAGCAAGTCTCTGTGGGGGATTGTCCATCTTTCTCCAGGAAGCATGCGAGTGATACAGAAGATGAATATTCAATATCGGAGTCTTCAGCTGCCGAAGGAGAGCGCCAGCCACCAAAAAGAGTTATGCTTACGACAGTTACTCGATCAGTAGCACGTTCGAACCCGCCAGATTCAAGCACACAGGATTGAAGAGGCGTCACTTTTGACGCGTACACTACACGTCATTCATGCATTGAAACGTCAACTAAGATGTATCCAACCCACTCTGGTTCGGGAACTTATCTATCACTAAGAAGCTTTTATCCCCTCAAGCTGACCGAGTATGGTGGAGGTGAGGTGGGCAGGTTCGTAAAATACATATACATAGTGGACGAATTCCTTAGGTTGTGAAAATACCCAATCAAAAATAATATAATATTTAAGCCAGGGACCCCCTCCTCTCCTTTCCTTGTACAATTCCCTTGTATGTTTTCGTTTTACTTCCGGATCGTCATTCTACGGATGTCTGGCGGCTTATTCCTACCTGATCAGACATACCACGACGAAATCCAAGATTGATAGTCATAATACTCGGGCTCTCTGATGTGCGTTCTATAATCCTATGGAATGCGACTATTCGTTTCACCCGAAACATCTATTTATCATTTTAGTAGCAGAATTGATTAATTTAGCCCACCTATCCTCATATCCCCTTCCAGTAATATTACCAAGATTTTTTTCCCATAGCATACGTATGCACGCACATTCCAACTCACGTCATCCCGTGTAGGCACATGAAGTAGAGTACCGTATCCAATTGCGGGGGTAGAGCCTCAACCACAACTCCACCACCACCAAATAAAATACAATCCACAATGGCGAACCCAACCCCCACAACCACAGACCCTACACACTTCAACTTCATGAACCTTGCGCTGCAGGAGGCGCACAAATGCACCGGCACGCCGACCGCCTACTGTGTGGGCGCTCTCCTCACCACCCCCGATGGCAAGATCCTCTCAACCGGCTACTCGCGCGAGCTCCCGGGAAACACCCACGCCGAGCAGTGCTGCTTCGATAAGCTCACCGCTGCAGGGCAGGCCATACCTACTGATGCAATCCTGTACACGACCATGGAGCCGTGCAGTGAGCGACTGTCTGGTAACGTACCCTGTGTGCAGAGGGTACTCGACGCAGGGATCAAGACGGTCTATGTGGGTGTTGAGGAACCGGTATTCTTTGTGGTCAATACTGGGAGAGAGCAGCTAGCGAAGGGAGGAGTAAATGTAGTGAAGGTTTTGGGGCTAGAGCAGGAAATTGGGGAGGTCGCAATAAAGGGACATCAGGAGGCGGCAAGGGCGTCAATATCGGATTTTGGGGCCGATGATGCTATTGAAACTATTGAGGGTAACTGAGAAAGAGAGCAAGAAAGAAAAAGCAATTATGCTTTGATTATATGGTACATATGGACCACCGATTGGGATTAATAGGGAATGAATAAGACTAGACTCAATGAGCCAACACAAGATAGACAAAAACACCTCTGTGGCTACTTTTCAGCGTTTGAAGGCTGAACTATCAATACGACAACCAGAGTTACGGTTATGAGCTAATGATTGAAATGCAGCCAGTCAGCAAGGTATAACTGCCAGCCTAAAGAGAGCACACTCTTTACATACCAAAGCCACAACTCCAGTCAAGAAGTACACACTTCCTCTGCTGGCCGGAAACTTCCCCCTCAATAGCCAACCCTGCGATTCATAGTATCTAGATATTCATGTTAATACCATGCAATTGAATTGGAAAAACGCGATGAACCTATGAACACCGATCAAGAGCACGGCTATTGCTGTTGCAAGAAAGGTTATGCCAAGAGGTTTTCCCAAGTGGCGAAGCGTTATTATGCCCTCTGTTTATTATTAGATGGGGTGATAAACCATGAAAGAAAGGACAGAAATACCAGAAAGGTCGGAGGACTGTACAGCAGCATTGAGGCGAAATAGTTGTGATATCCCAACGCCTGTACGGCTGATTAGCTACAGACGAGTCTATGGATGGGGTAATGATTGTTTTGTGAATTACCTATTGACGCAAACGCAAGGGATGTCCTTAACCACGCCAGGAAGGTCCGTTCTAACAAAACACGCTCTAGATCAGTAACATATCACATCGCATCACCATCTAGCTAGGTAAGCAACCACCCACCCAGAGCTAGATGATCCCTCGCGGTAGAGCCCTCATTCTCCAACTCCACAGCTCTCAACCTCCAGAACCAACCCCTCTTCCCCGGCTCCGGTGTATCTCGACCCGAGTGTTTATCCGTTTTCCTGTGGTCCATGCTCTCTGTTATCGACGTACTCGCATAGTTTAGTACTTCTCTAGACCCTGCGCCGGTCATAGCAGTAGTTTCGTCAGCCGAGCTATCCTCGGAGGATTGGTGGAGCGACATCATTTTTTTATTTTTTTTATTTTTTATTTTTCGATCCGTGTGATGGAGTCTAGGAGGGTGAGTAGGATGGGTAGCTCAGAAGGAGCTTGAGAATTAAAGCCCGCTCTTCCCCATTTTTATGGTGAATGGTATTTCAACCAATTCACGACGGACTTGATACGCACGTGCGGGTACTGTCTGCGTGAAATGGGATGACACAAGAACCATGGGCGGTTGCGTGCTATCCCCCTGCAGGCTAGTTACATACCAGTACACTAGGTAGAGTAGGTGCTCTACCCAGAAGGAGGTGATCGACATTGTTGAACTCTGTCAATGGTTGGCTCAGACACTGCGGCTACTTAGACTCGGATAGTACTCGAAGAATGATGGATTTATAGATACGACGGTATAGCTATATCGGAAATAGCTACATGTACAGCGGTAGGTAATAAGTGATGGAACAGAGCAATACCTGTTTTTGGTAAAACGCCACCAACATTTGGTGTTTGTACTCTCAGGGCGTTCCATCACTTATTACCTGTCGCTGTACATAGCACCTCCAAGTTCTCTCTTTTGACGGTGTTTACAAAACATCTTGACATGGCTTGACGCGTATTTATGTACGAACAGTATCACGTGCATAGATAAAACGGGGGTTGATAATATGGCAACAGCGGGAAGCCTAAACCAACGAACCAATAATCGTAAGACCTAGGTACTTATATATTGGGGGATAGCTTTATTCGGACCTGTAGGGATGCTTGCTTGGGTCGGGAAACAATACACATACGGCAAATAGTTATTCTACCGCCATCTTGGCATGTCACCAAGTACAAGCTTTTTGCCTGTTTGGAATATGCAGGGCACTTAAATTCCCTACTCTACTAAAGTCATGTTTTATCACTCGAACATAATTCCGCAGTGCTATGACTTATTTTGCGGCTCAAAAGATGTATATAGCTATATGCAATTAAAACAAACCCGATATTTTTTTTCGATTCCTTTCCCAACGCCTGGCCTTTTGAACAGGGCCAAATAAACAAATATGAAATAACATAGAAAAGAATTATGCAATGTTATATAACTCTAGAAATACCTCCCTTTCCACGAAATATTTATACCATGCCCTGCATGTTTTAGCTAATTACAATACTAATTTCAGTTAGTACATGTAGGTCCTATATTATATGATAAAGTCAGTCGCAAGAGTTAGCTGGCCGCACCTTTTGTGACTGCGAGAAAACAGCCTTTTCCACCACCTCTTTCGTTTCGGAGCTGCGATCGGTACTGGTGGCTTTGCCAGTCCTGTAGCCGGAGTAAATGAGGAAGGCCTTTCTACCGGTGCCGGCATATTCGGTCTTTGATAGCTCCTCGAGTCCAGTGACTAGTATCTATTAGTTGCGATTTAAAACAAATCATAGGGAGGACCTACAAGAGCCCTAATGGGTTGTTCCTGATTCTTGAGCTCAGATCCTAATGTGTCATGCCTCTCCACTGGGCTAATGTTGTGTTTCTGTCTTTATTTAGTAACCAAAGAACTTGAAATAGCTATATAGATATAGACTTACAGGAGGTATGGGCGGAGGAACCGCGGATGAAGATATGGGTGGAGTTATTGGAGGAGAGTACAAGCTTGCTGTGCGCAGAGATATCGGCTAAACCGTAAAGCTTGTGTTAGTTATATGTCTCAATGGAGGCAAGCAAATCAAAGGTACTCTACTTGAACTCTCCTTTCAGGACTCATCGCATCGACATAAGCGATCTGCTGAGGAATAGGAGGGACAGGGGGAATCTGTTCTCGGTCAAAGTATCCATAGCTAATAGAGCTGTCCATGGTTTGTGACTATATCAAAATATTAGTTAAACACTCAAAACTCCATGGTCAATCTAAGGCAACCCACTCGAGAATTACTTCCTGGGCTTTTTGGGACCGGTTTCCTCAGAACAGGCCGGCAGCTAGTTTCATCCCCGGATTTCTATCATAATTTAGCAATCAATGTTTTAACTGGTGACTATCTGGAACCTTACTTGGCTTGATCCTGGAGACATGGGCTAATTTTTTATTTTATTTTCAGTTAGCCCAGATTGCAAATCCAAATTCAGAGTGGCAGATGCTCATACAGTGATTTTTCCTTGATCAAAATCTTGCCTGTCTGCAGCGTACCAACTATTTCCCCGGTAAGGGTTTACAATGTTGTTGTATGAGTATGGTCTTTCAGACTCCTCCTGGGGACTTAGAGGTAAAGTAGGTCTGTAAGGGACATAAACCTGGGTTGTTCGATTCAGCTGGGGCCCAAGGGGTAGTTGGGATGCGTATGGATTTTCTGCTTGCTCGGGCTCAGTTGGCTAAGCATAATTCGTAACAAAATTTCAGTTAGCCAAGGTTCAAATTAAATCGCCATCCATTAGAGCTCCGCTCACTAACAGAGAATAAATCTTCTTCATAGCTATAGTCCGGGCCGAGGAAAGGGAACCGTTCGTTCGGCAGGTAATAATCGTCTAGGAGGGATATGTCTGGTCCGACAGGCATGTATGCGCTTTCGAGGTCAGTCGGCCACGGAAGTTTTTTTTCTTCATAACTAATAGGTCCTAAAGGCTACATCAAAAGTATTACAGTTAACCATAATGTCCGGATCGATACATACTGGACGGCAATACCTTAGAGCTATCCGGTGATCCTGGGGTCAAAGAAGCTATGCGTTTCGGCGGGGCCCTGCCGCCCTTTTTCCAACTCGGAGAGTCGACTATATCTGAATGGTGGTAACTTTTAGGCGGCTATCGCAACAACTTAGTCTATTATTCAAGGGGTGGGGTGGAAACGTACCAGGGACCCGTACAGTATTACTATCTCTTGAAATTGGGTTTGCCTTCTGTACTTCAACTACCTTAGGAAAGTCTCGATCCATAGCCCTAAAATCTTCTTCTTGCTTTTAGAAATAAATACACTGTCAATAAAAACGGCGATTACGGGTATCTTACGGGCATTGCAAGAGGCATATTATTTGCATGCTCGTTCCCGAAAAACACATTAGGTACATCGGTGGGATAGTTCAGACCCCGGACAGACATCTCAGCAACGGGCATGCAGAAATATCCATTTTCCTATCTTGTCAGTAATAATATCACAGCACGAGATAGGTACCAATGTAACTTACAGCACCGTCAAAATAGGGGTTGATGTTATGCCTAAAAGTTTCCCCGACGTAACCCATTTCCACCATTTCCACCCCCACCAGTACGGTTTGCTGATGTTTGCTGACTGGTCAAAATTTACCCGACCCAAACAGCCTGACCGAGTTGAAAAGCTCGCTGAAGTTACCGCCTTAGTATCAAGTTCTAGGGAAACGGAAAACGTGGATATAAGTATGATTTCCCCGGATCTTGGGGACGGATTCATGAGACACAGGGCCAATTCCACGTACCAAATTTCAGCCTCGCGCTGACATCTTTTGATTCTGCGTTGCACAAGCTTTCATTGGTTAAGTGCCGAAGAAGCACTCACCATTGGCAGTGGTAAATTTAGGAGGGCTGAGCAGAGACAGGATAAAAGGCTTGAGAGCTTTTGATTGACATCCCCACTAAACTATTCCGGGCGACAACATACTTCTCTCAACACACAAGACCTTGCAAAGCAGAAATTGCTGCAGAATTGAAACCATCCAAGGACCATATTAGTCCCTGTGACTCAATCGAGATTCCCTTGATTTTTTTTTGGCATGGCCGGTCCTGTGTGGCTTTTCGCTTCATCCCGTAAACGGTCCATCAATAGCAGATGTACATGTAGGCTTACAGTCAGGTCGCGCGGGATCTCCAATGGCTCTAATTTGCCAGACATTCTGTGTGAGTACATGTAGAGCAGGTATTACAAGCATGTTGTGGTTCCACCTGTTCAAACCCTTGTGTAACCACCCTTATATCAACATCAAGTGCCGGCTGATACTTTACGGCATAGTCCTTGTGCCTTCTGTATGAGGGTGCATACATACACCAGCCATCCCAGCGTGTAACGGTTTCTGGAACTATCTCATTAGATCTCTATCTGCTTCGTGATGTCTACGAGCACTAACCCCACAATCCAACCCACCCCCCAACCAACACCAACAACACCTTCCATCGCCTCGCCTCGGCAAAGCGCGCAAAACAGCAGAAATGATTCTCAGATCAGTATTCAATCGCCTGAAACTGAACCTCGTAAGATAAACGCTATGTTAGTAGTATATACCTAAAATAACTTACCAAATTAACCGTACAAAGTTTTTCGATACCCTCGCGGTTATCCCAACCTATCCGCAACGATGAATAGCGACCCTAGTCTTGCAATGTTCCGAAGATTCGGTAAAATACGAATACGCAGTCTCCTCTATAAACAAGACCATCTAGCAGAATTAGAGAGAAGGCTATATGTACTAGATTTGAAGGAGGATGATCAGGTCAATCTTTCGAGTAGGAGATTTGACAATAATGCAGAACGAAAGGAAATAATGGCGGAGATCGATATAGCCCTAAAAGACTATGGTATTTCTTCTCCAATGTTAGCATTCGATTACGACGAAAATTTAACCGTCCTACGCATACGAGATAGACAAAGCACTGTTCAACTGCAGCAAAATATTCGGTTTTCCAGCTGCGAGTGCAAAGAACATCGAACAGTTAAGCCAGTGGATTGATGATTCACAGCCTTTGGAGGCGGAAGAACAGCGATTTCTAGAAGATCGATCAGATGTTATTACCCTTAGGGAAGATCTTCTCGAGCGAGGGACACAGCTAAAACTAGCGGGTTTCTTAGCAAAGAAAGTGAGCTTTAAAACCAGATCGTTTAGGACCTTTGATAGACCATACTCACGATTTTTTGTCGTAATAGTATCTTACCTCAGATGTAATCTCATCCAAATACCAAGAATACATGGTTTTCTCTGACTAGTTGAAACAGAGCGACCCTCGAAATCATTTAAATTCTGATCCAAACGTGTACTATATTCCCGACGATGGAGTTTTAAAAATTGCAGGATTTCTCAAGATTGTGGTGCGAGTCGTTGTTACTATCACAGCTGCAGCAACACTCCTCGTTCCAATTGTCATCCTATGTTTTGTAAAGGTCTTTCGATGGCAAATGTTCACAATTGTGATTTCTACCCTTACCTTCTCTGCGGCTGTAGCTTCAACTCGTGCTTCAAACGGAGAGATATTTGGCGCTACCGCCGCGTACGATATATATCCTATCCTTTGTAGAAATCTATTCAATTGAAGCTAACTCGGATCCCAGGTATGCTGCTGTTATGACTGTGTTTCTCGGAAGTGTTGTCAATTCTTCAGACAATTGAAAGACGGTCGTTATTGGGGTCCCCTGGCATTTCCTTTTCCATATCTCGTTCTCTTTAGCTATTTTGGGGCTGTTAAGCATGGGAAAAGTAATTGGATTCAATATTTAAAAGTGTAAACCAAAGAGTTACCCTGGATCCCAATTATTGTCTTGGCAAATTTACCCCAGTAAACACGCAAATAATATCAAAAAGTTTTTCGGGGATTGGAACCTAGTTGCACCTAGATTCACACACTAACCTCTAGCTTTTGGGTTAGGTCGGTATAGTCGAGCTTGATTACATGTAGTTGATAATTCAGGCCTAGGTACCTACATGTAGGTATAGTCGAGCTTAGGCTGCAGGGAATTAACTGTGCATGTGAAGACATTTGTTTCTCCCTTTTGAATGTAAAGTTATAGTAATGCGACTTAGATACGAGACTTAAGAGGGTTTTAATAAACTAAATTCATTCTAGAACCCTCATACTGAGCCAATAATATTGCATCATGAATTATCACTCAGTTTTCAGAGGTGATTACAACACTTTCCTCAATCATGACTTGCACAAATGATTTTCTTTGAGGTATACTCGCTCGTTAATTAAAAGGTCAGAAGTCACAGCCAGATCCACACACAAAACCCGACCTTTTGATTAATGCGCGAGTATTAAGTCTCGGATGTCGAAGGGGTTTGGTATTTTAAGAAATTTACAGAGGGAATGCGTTAAAAGATGAATACACGTACGCTTTTACGCAAACAGAAAGTATCTATTGAAAAACTACTTTTTATCCTATAGGGCCTATTTCAAGGCAAGGGCAGCAAAAGTAGGCAAAACAAAGCTGGCCTCGTGAATGTGCTTGTTATAGTACCTGAAGAGCTTCTGCTCCTCCTCATCGGTCTGGGTCCTGACCGGCTTCTTAACGTTCCTGGTGGCATCTTTGGTACAAACCATGAAACCAATCTGCCCAGAGGGGTATGTTGGGATAGTGGTGTAGGCGTACTCGACAACGGGGAAGACCTCGCGGCAAGACTTCTTAAGTTCGGTGATAAGCTTCAAGTGAAGCCATTGGTTCTCGGCTGTAGGGCAGTGAAACTGGTTAGTCACATGAATTTGCCGACCAGTGAGGGAGGGGGTGTCTTGTATCAAGCTGAGGGCGAGAAGAACAAAAAGAATAGAGAGGAGTAGGAGATGTATCAGTCTCTGCAGCACAGGGTGAAAAATAGTAAGCGGACTGTCTCCCCACGTCATAAAGATAGCCCCCAGTTTTCTTGAAGTTAAGCGTAAAGAAAGCAAAAGGGGAAACCGACAACCTTGTGTGGTGATAACACCACCCTCCTTCAAAGCACCAAACAAAAGCTCAAAATAGGGCTTTTGGAACAAAGACTCAGCGGGACCTTCTGGGTCGGAGGAGTCGGTGATAATGACGTCGAATTCGTTCTTGTAGTCTTCGAGAAACTTGAAGCCATCACCGACGTGGACCTTGCTCTTAGGGTGCTTGAATCCCTCGGCCATGTGGGGAAGGTACTGCTTGGAGAGACGAATGACAGCCTATAGCCCCAGGGTTAAAACCGCAGCTTTGATCTAAACCAACTCGATATTGGATAGTTACCTCGTCAATGTCGCAGAGGATAGCCTCCTCAACACATTCGTGCTTGACAACCTCACGGAGGACACCCCCGTCGCCACCACCGATGACAAGAACTTTCTTGGGGTTGAGGTGGGAGTTCATGGCCAAGTGAGTGATCATCTCTTGGTAGCTGTGACATTTCGTGAATAATCTAAGATTTCGCATTTTCGCAAACTCATGCGTCAAGGAAACTTACGCGAACTCGTCACGCTCGGTGCACTGAATGACGTTGTCCAGGACCAAAACATTACCATAGTCACTGCTCTCAAAGATCAAGACGTCCTGGTATTGAGATTTCTCGTGGTGCAGGACCTTGTTGACCTTCAAAGTCATCGCCTGGCCGGGCCACATGTCCGAGATCTCGCGGAACCAGCCATCTACCAATACATGTCAGCCAGTCATATTCGTTGACCTTTTAGTTTTCACTCAATTCGTCGAGAGGCGCTTTAGATCTCTTGAAAGGCCAATTTTAGGGATAACTAGGTAAAATAGACTAACCCTTGATAGTTGCGTGTACGATTTCACTCATCTTTTCGGAATAGGGTTTTTTATGAAGAGAACCTGGTTTGCCTGTCAGTAGAACGTCGAAGGAGCAAATTTGTTGTTAGAGCATATATTTACCAAGATTGCGATCAGGCGCGAGAATTTCCGTAGAGCAGGAGTGCTTTTGTCTGTGGTGAGATTACGGAGAATTGGAGAGAGTGTCGTCGTGGTGGGGTAAAAAGCTGCCAAGACTTGGAGGGATGGAAATTTTTTTTTTTTTGACGTAGGCGAAACATCCTCTATATTTAAATTCTACATATGTACTCTCGTTCTAACTACATGCAGTACAAGGCAGCCAGTCAACAAACATAGGAAACGATCTTTTGTGTGCTTTGCTTTTGACTGTGCAGCCAGGAATGTGTTTGTTCCGGGAAACACCTTCCTTTCTCTTGTGGTGATCGAAAATTCTTACATGGATTTTTTTTTCCCCTTGACCCTTCACTCAGTGAAAAATTCGCGCACATTTGACATCTGGTGGAAGCTTCTTGCTGGCGAAAGACTTCTCGCTGGGATTACACATAGGGTAATTACGTAAGGATACGTATAGTAAATTTGTGGCGAGTGCGATTCTGTGATTTTTCAATATATTTTTATCATGTCAGAATTTATAGAACCAAGGTGTTTCTCTGATTACATGTATTTCTTCAACACGGCGCACAATATACAAAAAGGATTACAGTACAATCTCGCTATAAGGATATGGAAATGTGACATAGCGAAATCGAGATATATCCTTATATACAGTATCCGGTAGAATTATTGCAAAAGTCAGAGCTAAAAGAGTAGATTTGTTAGTCTGTGCTCGCAGCAAAAAACCTTTTAAGGGCCAATAGGACTATCGGGTCACGGAGAACCCACTTTCGCAATAATTTTACCAGATACTGTATCCTTACGTCACTAGGAGAGGTGAGTGATAGTTCGTGACCTTCGGATGGTGGACACAGATGGACGGTGTGGCGCAGGCTAGGCGGTTGTGTAACTACGGGGTGACCTCAGGTCACCAAAAGCAACCGTGTCGGAAGTAGCTACATGTAGTTTCTTGTAGTCTACAGTCTCGCCTCTTCTGTCTTCTCTTATCTAATTTGAGCTTTGTTTTTGTTATTAGAGCTTGAGCTTCTGTAAATCACGTAGGGTCTATTGGGCTCCTGTTTCGCTCCAAAACGGGTGAAGGTAGGCGGGAGTTAGAATGGGTTCATACTAAGTGTCCATGAAAACATGGGGTCTGAAAAGGTGGAGGTAACTCAGGGTGGTGAAATGCAATCTCTGCTGGGTGGGATGGATGAGCAAAGAATGGAAGAGCGAGCCTTGGAGAAGCATATAAACCTAACCTACTCCATTTAAAATGTTGTCTATAGAAATATTTTCCAAATCTTTAGAATAGGTATCTTAATAGTGAAATAGAGCGTATTTGACAACTGTCGATTCCGACAATTGACAGTTCGCCGGCTGCAATAGCGGTTTGCCGAACCGTCAATTTTGATTGACGAGGGTATCGGCACAGGGTACCGGAACTCTATCAATACGCAAAAGGCCTTATGTCTCGATCTCGTCACCACTGATAATGATCGAGATCTAGTAAATAATTTGAGAGTTCGTGAAGTATAATGTCAATTTTGCGACCCGCAACTGTCAAAGCCGAACTGTCAATTGTCGAAATCGACAGTTGTCAAATACGCTCTAATATCCTTATTTTCTCACCAAAAAAAGCCAGCGTCCCAACGGGGATCCTTATAGGCAGTATATCCTTATAGATGATATCCTTATAGCGAGATTGTACTGTGTAGAAGACTTACATATACACATACGTATACATGTAGTTAAAGTGGCCAAATATTGTACTGTAAGTTTTATGCGCCTAAGATGATTAAGTAGAATAATTGACTGTATACGCTAGATGTATCGTACGTACAGTATCCGGTAGAATTATTGCAAAAGTCAGAGCTAAAAGAGTGGATTTGTTGGTCTGTGCTCGCAGCAAAAAACCTTTTAAGGGCCAATAGGACTATCGGGTCACGGAGAACCCACTTTCGCAATAATATTACCAGATACTGTATATACATATCTTCGGCCCTCCCCTTCAATATATATGTTCATAGGTACTCGAAAATTTTAGTACATGATTTGGTTAAGCACAATTTGGTATATTCCCTTGCCTTGACCGCTAATTATTGGAAGGGTAGAGACGGATATATGTGGAATCGATTTCCACTGCATATTCTAATTTATATCAAACTGTCACTGTTATTGTCTTGTGAATAATCGATACTTACACTATCCCCAAATCTCCAAATCTAACGAAAGCGAACTAAAAAAAATCACACCCACAACCTAGTCCAAACGGTCCAGTTTCCACCCGCTTTCTTAACACTCTGCACGCTCGCTGTCTGGTCCTTTCCATTCACCGTCAACTGCCACCCATCCTTCACAACATCCGGCACAACCAATTCCCCGCCATTCAACGTGATCTCTCCCATGGCCTCGCCCTTATCATCCACAAGTTTGACTGGTGCCCTCGCGCGCCTTCCATCAATCGGCTGTACAACCATGACCTGTACATCCTCAAAATAATCATACACAACCCTCTTCTCGCCCACCTTCCCAAGCACAAGGATGGATCCTTCTCGGATATAGATAGGACATGTAAGGTACCCATGATTCTCCTTGACCCATCTTGGCCCTGACTTGACTTCACCGGTGAACCAATTTGTCCACTTACCCTCAGGAAGATAGAAGTCGACATCGCCAGATTCAGTGAAGACAGGCGCAATGAGAAGTGAGTCGCCCAACATGTATTGGCGGTCAAGAAACCATACTGTGGGGTCTTCTGGAAACTCGAGGAACATGGCACGGAGTGATACTGGGAGGCCTGAGGTTGTCGAAGAAATTGCCTGGCTGTAAAGATATGGCATGAGCCTGCACTTCAGATCCGTAAATGTGCGGAGAACGTCTGTAGATTCTTCATCAATGGCCCATGGAACACGGTATGAATTGCTTCCGTGTAACCTCGAGTGCGAACATAGAAGACCAAATGCGACCCATCTCTTGTAAACACTCGCATCTGGGGTTCCCTCGAAGCCTCCGATATCAACACTCCAGTACGCAAATCCGCTGACACCTAAGCTCAACCCGCCGCGCAAACTCTCTGCCATAGCTTCGAATGTACTCTCACAGTCACCACCCCACTGTAGCGGGAATCGTTGGGTTCCGGCAGTTGCGGTCCTAGCAAATAACACAGCCTGGTCTTTCCCGTACCGCTTCTGCAATGCCTTATATACAACCTCGTTATAAATGAATGCATAGTAATTGTGCATCTTTGCCGGGTCAAGACTCTTGTCAAACCATTGTACATCCTTATCGGGGATTCTCTCGCCAAAATCGGTTTTCAGGCAATCGATTCCGACATCAAAAAGACTTTCCAACTTTGAAACATACCACTCGCAGGCCGCAGGGTTTGTAAAGTCGACCAGCCCCATACCAGCTTGCCAAAGATCCCACTGCCACACATCCCCGTTCTTGCGCTTAAGCAAGTAACCCTTCTCTGCAGCCTCTGCAAAAACCGGAGATGCGTCGCCAAGGTATGGATTGATCCACACACAAAACTTTAGCCCTGGTCTTTCTTTCCTCAAACGGGACATCATAGATTTTGGATCTGGGAAATGCTCCTTCGAGAACTCAAAGTCACACCAATGAAATTCGCGCAGCCAGAAGCAATCATAGTGGAACACATGCACCGGAATTTCCCTCTGCTTCATTCCGTCTAGGAAGCTGCCTACAGTCTTCTCATCGTAAGATGTAGTGAAGGATGTGCTGAGCCACAACCCAAAACTCCATGATGGGACCTTTCCAGGCTTCCCAGTGAGAGCAGTGTACTTGCGTAAAATCTCCTTCGGGTTAGGTCCGTAGATGACATACCATTTCAATCTCTGGCCCAAAACGCTGGCCTGCAGTCTGCAGGACCTTTCAGACCCAATCTCGAGGTCCACCGGTTCTGCGTGGTCAATGAAGACCCCATAACCGTTTGAAGATATGTAAAATGGGATATTCTTGTACGCCTGTTCAGATGAGGTTCCACCGTCGGCGTTGTAAAGCGTGAGCGATTGCCCGACTTTATTAAACGCTGTAAACCGCTCTCCAAGACCGTAGATAGACTCGCCAACAGCAAGCTGGTGTTGAGTGAAGATATGGTGTCCAATTTTTGTCATGTCACCGGTCTGCATGGGGGAGGATGGTGCAGGAGTGTACGCGAATCCGACGGAACGGTTAAGAAGGGAGGTTACGCTTTTGCCGGTAGTAGTATCATGGAAGCTTATATTGAATGTGTGAGGCTATGGTAATTGTTAAAAACTCATCTGGTAGTACAGGTATCCGGATTTCTCACCTTGGAAGAAACAGTACACGATAAGTTTCCGGAGGTAAGCGTAGTCCCATTCGCTGAGGTAGAAATTTTTGCCAAACACGAAGGCTTTCCTTCGGGATACAGTTCATAGTGAGGCCCTGGGTTTTGAGCGCCCTTCCAATGTTGGGTAGTGATGGAAATGACATCTTCAAATTCTGCTTGGATTTCCTAGTGTATCACGATTGTTAGTTGTATTGCTATAATTAACAAAGAGGTGATTTCTAGACATACAAGGCTCAATGTAGGTAGATTGAGGGTATCGCCCCGAGACCTAATGTGTCTGGTTGGGCATAGCAAGCTCAAAGAGTCGCCCTTTGGTCCTTCTGTAATTTTGTGAACGTCCTCGGCATACTCGATTCTCACACCTTCCTTCACGAGCCACATACCTGTCCATGGTCAATCAGTATAATTCCTAACTTTCAAACGCTAATTTTCTCACCATCTCGGAACTTCATTTTTGCAACAGCAATTCAATAATTTTGTTGTATATTCTTGAGAGACACACAGCGCGAGAGTTAGTACTCAATTAAAAACGTAGACCCTCCTCCCAATCACTCTTTATTTAAACCTCAAAACTTACAAGTCCATCGGTCATCGGACAAATTCAACATCTTACCCCACTGCGCATCGCAACTAGATGTGCTGCAGTTTAGCCTTTTCTTATGTGCTTTAATTCTGCCGGCGGAATATCTGGGATGACCGCGGGGGCGAATTGCGGGGGCTATGCAGAAACCGGGTGTTAGTTTAGTTTATAGAGTATCTTTGATCAATGCGGTGCCTACGTCAAGTTGAAGGCGGGGTGTTTTTTTTGTTTCTGTAAATCTTTCGGACCCCCGAAGGTAGATGTTCCGAATAGCCATTATTGTAACAACTGCGGGCGACTTGATATGTGGGCCAATTAAAGTAGGTACACATATGTAGGTACGTAGTTGGCATATTGGCAAAATACAGATTAACCTGAATTAATATGTGTGACAATGGAATAACTCGGATAAGTGTAGCTACATACATGTAGTAGCTGTCACGTCACACTATGTGTTTAACTTTAGGATGTAGGTACTCTATGCATTTTCTAGCTAGCACGGCATTTAGGATAATAATCCTGGTCTGAAGAGCATATACACACTACCAATACCTGGCTCCATGATCCCAGTAGCACAATAACGATTATCGAAAAATCACTTTGTTGACGGGCTACATAATATAGGTAATCGCGCACTCATGCCTATTACACCGGTTAAAGTAAAAACCTCTGAGGCAATGCTAGAAATCTTCATAGGGTACGATTATGAGTGCTGTATGCACTGGCTCTAACGATATCATTCATGACATATACGTACTCTCAATTAAAAAAGGAGGTATAATTACATTTTGCTTAACAGCGTACCTGAATAGTACATCTTGGATCTACTCTATGCGTCTAATTATATATATCTTGTCGAGTCAAATACTCGTAGGTTCATGACGTTTCCGAACACGACTGCTATTGCATGCCATACAAAAAAGCGCCAAATCCACCTTTTTGTATGTCATGCAATATTGGTCGTGTTCGGAAACGTGATGAATCTACGAGTATGTTCTCTGGATATTTGTGCTGACAACTAGTTCAATACCCGAAAGTTGGCCTAAAGAACCTTCTCAATGAGACATGTACGTACAGTCGATCACCCAGACCGTCGGTTAGAGTACAACCTCGAGCTTCATGTTGGATTGAAAGATGGAAATCGTCATCTTTTGAGACATTGTGGCGGGCTGCCACGTTGCATTCATATTGATTTCCTTGGAGATCTGCATGAAAGTGGGTAGAGCTCTTATGGCCTCGTTACAATTCCTTAGGATTTAAATTTTCTAGATAAACCAGCTTGGCTATATATAGGAAGGTCTGGTTTTCAATTAAAGTACTTAGCTTGTAGTTGGTAGAAATTCAAATACAGTCGTTCACGGGGTTAATTGGGGGGTACGTACTGAAGCTGTCGATCAATGTATATATGAGAAGGACCTTGGCTATGTACCCTTTTTTCCTGCTTTTTCTTAGGTGGGGGTTTCCTTAGTCATCAACCTTGTAAGAGGAGTGTGGTTGGTAGCATACCATAGCTACTATAACTGGGGGAACTGGCATAGGGGATAGGTCTTTATGCCATAGGCTATGCCTGCATGCAGTAATTGTACCTAGAATCAATTTATATGATTTAAAAAAAAAAAAAAAAAATACCCTTTTTTCCTGGCCATGATCTACTCTAGAGTAGCTCGGAGTAGGAACATGTAGAGCTGGATCGAGCTCGAGGCACATGATATAAATACACCATATATAGATAGCTACATAAGATCAGCTGCAGTAGATATAAATTAGAGTAGAGTACCTACAAACATGCGCCTATTCTACTACCAATTTCATGACGTTTCCGAACACGACTGCTATTGCATGCCATACAAAAAAGCGCCAAATCCACCTTTTTGTATGTCATGCAATATTGATCGTGTTCGGAAACGCTATGAAGCTACTGATCTCGAGTAGAGTGGAGTAGAGTACTTATATGTGTTGAAGTTATGTATGTACTGCATGGTGTACCTAGAGTAAAGTAAGCTGAGTTTCCCGGTTAGGTCATGCCAGTGCTTTAGGTTTAAATTCAACTCGATATCTTCTGATCATGATATAGCTGCACTGGGATATCGATTACTGTCCCAGCGCGGCCCCATGACCTGGCCAGCTCCATTGAAATCCTATGCACGCCACTATCGAGAGAAAAAGAGCTTGTCGAATCTCGCGCCCGCAGTTGCAGAGTTGCGACGCATTTTGATAGTTCCAATTGGCGTGGTCAATTGCGGTTATCATCGGGCATAACCATTCAGAAGCTGAGTGCACCGTCTACACTTACTATATGTAGTCTAAGGAACCTTGCACTATCTAAAAGGGGTTAAGCACTGGCATTACCCGGCATTCTCGAAAGTGAAGCTTTAGAAAAGGCGGAGCGCTAAGACTAATTCGGATCGGGTTGAGTAAAGGACGAGTCTGAGAGTCACTCATGATCCATTACCTGTTCGCAGCATTGATAGCCAACTCATTCTATCCACTTCGCAATCCCATAACCTGTCTTTATATTTCATACTCTTCGAATTCCCCCTTCAACCCTCTCTTTTACCTTCAACATCATTAATATTGTTTAGCTTTGCAATCAACCTTGGCAATTGCGCAATTCAGAATCTTTATTTGCAATTGTTATCGATAACTATTCAATAACCAACCATGCTGGTAAGTTTTCCATTCCAATATTTTAACAAAACTGTCTCTAACACATTTATACAGTTAGAATACAGTGTCGAAAAACCTCTCAACCGAGAGCCACCTGTCGAAGAGCTTGTGAAGTCATTTATCACCAAAGCGAGCACTGCGTACGATAGGAATCATGGGTATGAATCAGTGCCTTTGTTCTCAAACCCACTTTGATCTCTAACCCCGCCCCCTCTCTTTTTCCCTTTTTCTTTCTCTGACTCATATCGCCTTATTTGAATAGACCTCTTCCCCATATCAATGCCGACAGTCACTATGTTCGTCTTGATGGCGCAGTTTCCAATGTCCTCGAGCTTTCGATTGCTTCACTCAGAAATGATTTTAAACAATACGAAGTGATTTCCGCTCTTCAGGTAATTCCCCGGTGTCTTCATACACTCTTTTTCCAATCCTAATTTTATAAACAGTGCGCTGGAAATCGTCGCCACACAATGCGCACCGAGCTGAAAGAAGTCGATGGGATTGACTGGAACGATGGTGCCGTATGTAACTGCACATGGGGTGGACCGCTCCTGGCCGATGTTCTCACCAAAGCTGGGGTTACCATCGAGGGTGATGCCCATGTCGCGTTTTCATGTATGCAAACAGATTGCCAAGAGGATAGGTATTACGGTAGCTCTATATCGCTCGCGCGATGCATGGATCCCAAAAGTAGGGTTATGCTAGCCTTAGATGTATGCACCCCTATTTTTACTCTATAATCTCTCGTAGGATTGGTCTAATTCTTCGATAGATGAATGGCTCTCCACTCAACATAAATCACGGTGCACCTGTTCGTATAGTTATGCCAGGTATCCCTGGTGCGCGTTGGACAAAATGGCTTGATCGTATCACAGTCCAGCGCCAGGAAAGCAATAATTTCTATATGCAACATGACTACAAGATTCTCCCCCCATTTATTGAAACTCGAGCGCAAGCTAAGTCGTACTGGCACTTGGTTCCGCCACTTCAATCAATGCCAATCAACTCTGTCATTGCATATCCGGCACGCAACGAAGTCATTAAACTCGATAATCTCATCAACGGAGAACTTGAAGTAGCTGGATATGCACTCCCTGATGGTGACAGTGGACCAGTGGTGAAAGTCGAAATATCAATAGACCAAGGCAAGAGTTGGAAGGAAGCAAAAATCATGTATCCCGACGCTGCTGAAGTTGCGGAGGACGACGGAGTGGATAAATATAAATGGGGTTGGTCAATTTGGAAGTACCGAATGAACGCCGATGATACAAGGCGTATAAAGAAGGACACTAAAATTTGGTCAAGAGCGCTCGATAGAGGTGGAAACCTACAAAAGGGGGATATCGAGTGGAACTTGAGAGGAGTAGGTTATAACGGATATGGTGAAGTGAAAGGGCTAGAGGTGATCGATCACGCCATCAGTGAATGTGAAGAACCTACAAGAAGGATGGCAGAGCTAAGCGTGAGTGCTTAAAAGTTGTTTTAGAGTTGCTTTGAGGTTTTATCTAGGGGTTTCCAGGTTATTTCTAGTTCTTGTTTAAAATTCTGCTCTTCAGCAATTGCAATTTGCAATGCTTTCATTTGTATTTCTATTTTAGATCTGGGGTTTAGAATAGGGAGGATTAGCAACTAGCACGATTGATGTCTCACGTTCAGTTTCAATCTTTGCTATCTCAAAACTTCGCCCGTTTATTAAACTACGGTTTTAAAATGAGAATAACTCGTTCTAAACAACCTCCAGTACCCGGGGAAGTGGTTTGTAATATTACTGCGAGTGATTTCTCATGATTGATATTATGTTAGGTAGTAATTCGCGATCGCATTTTTGCTATTAACTGCAATTATCTCACTTTCGTAGAACACATACCTTCCGAAAAAGGTGTGAGTGAGAAGAAGATACTACATCATGCAGTATTACATATTGTGTGTAAATATGGACTGGTATAGGTGGGTTGTGGATTCAGCAAAACGTCAATGTTTGATAACTACACGTGCACACTGCGCCCAATTGGACCCACTGTCTTCAGCATGCATGGTATTAATAGTGAAATCTGTGATGGTTCTCCCACCTATCTTAGTATATTCTAGCTACATAGTAGCTACATGTAGTAGATCTACTATGTTTTTAAGGGCACCGTTTTAGTATCACGGCGCGTTTTTAGTTCATTTGCAATCTCTAGATCTTTACCCATGTAACTCACATCATATATAACATATGATTACAATATTAAACTACATGTACTCGCCTAATTGGCTAGCTCGGATCTAGAGAAGTAAACCCTCTGTAGTTGATGTATGATGAGATGTAGTGAGTATGTAGGGCCTAGGGGGCGAGAGGGCTCGAGTAGTACTATATATATTATAAAAATACATGTATCGAATAACGTGGTATAGGCTAACTGTGCGACTTGGGTTCTCAAAGTAGGAGTATTCCTTGTAGATCTGTGAGGTATTTTATTCCCTTGATCAATCGATTGCATTTATATTCTGGCCTTTTACCAACCTCGTTATAATCAAAAGCTGGCCGGTCGATACATGTATGCATGTATCCTTCTCCGCAACCCCACAGACACGTACACTAAATCGTATCACGCGCAGTACGCCAAGTACCTACATGCGCAGAATCAATGCGCAGAATCAATGCGCAGCCAGCACAAGCACTCCTCTAGCTCGACTTACTGCAGCTAGCTAGGGCTTTGATCACGCCATATACAGTGCAGTTGATAAGACCATGAGATAAGGTCAATTGCATACTAGCTTATGTATGCATGTATGCAGTTGTGTGGGGTGGCCAGACAGGAGTATGCAGAGCTGCGCATGCCAATACATATCTACTAGATCTCGTGAATGTAGATATAATCTGTACCCCAGAAGTGAAACGCTATATTGTTGATCATTCCAGTTGGGGTGAGAAATAAATGAAAAGCTGGAATTTCGATCCTCGTCACGAATGAAGTATGTACATATGTAGCCCAGTCATCGGAACATCTAAGGGTGCACCGTGATTGTGTAGTTCAGTGTTGATTGCACATTGCAATCATATATTATCACTCGATCTACGTAACATGCACTTTCTCTCTAGCAATATTTTCCACATTCAGTGAATTTGTCTTTATATTATGAGTTCTGGAGTACTATTTGGCCCAGAAGAAGTTGGGGCTGATAGCGGGCTTTGGAATCTTCCATATAATATTATTAATCGATATGCATTGTATTTCATGATCCGGCTACATGTATATATCTACTCACCGGTGATACATATATGATTCAATACTTGGCCAATCCAGAGAATACGAAGATTAAGAAAATGTTCTAAGCTCTGATTATTTGGTTATTTAAGAAACTCACCAGGTCCTGAAGCTGGAAAGGAGTCCGCAGCGGGAATATATCGGATTGTTTCAAGTCAATCGTGGGCTAGGAAGCACGGAAGCTCTCCCCAACCTCTAATCGATAGTTATGACTACCGAATTTGCCCTTAAACAATCGAAACAGGTTTCACAATCGTGCTTCAAATAGGCATGGGGATCTAAGGTAATTATGTAGCTATACACGTAATCACATTAGTGAAGTGGCGCTCTTTACTTATCATTCATTGGAAATCCCCCCATCAGTATATACTACTTGCTAGTAGCTGTAGCCCGTACAATGAAACGTTCAAGTTGACTATACGCTTTTATCCCATATAGTCTTCTGTCCTTAGGCAGGCTAACTGTGTCGTGGCGATGATTATTGGAAGAGTACTAGACGAGTGGTGTTAGATTGCGACATGTTGATCTTGGATTATATTTTTCATACGTATCTCCAGTAATTTGCACAGTACATGAGCCGCGCCGCAGCCGAAAACAAGATAAGAGGGTCGCATCAAGCAGTCTATGGCTTTGGTGCATCCAAGTAGTAATTGAATAGAGTTAATTAGCCATGTGTGGATTGAACTGTTTGTTATCATGCATTACACGGGTCCCCCAGACCCCGGTGAACCGAATATCATAATTTCTGTATTAAATTAGTTAGTTTTACAATCCTAAACAGCTTTTTGACACTAGCAAGATTCCATACTTGCTGTTCTTTGTAGTAAAGCCTATCATATAAAAGGTGTTCAGCCGATTTGATGTTGACTTGCATAGACATGCATATTGAGGGGGGGGAAAGGTTTCTAGAGAAAGCTAGATATCACCATGTCGACCGCCAGAGTCGACGTTTGAAAGATAGGCTTGGGGATACATGCCGGGAGATCTGTGTGAAAACGTGAGTTGTACGTTGTAGACGGTATACTCGTTATCGAAGTTTTAAGTGCACCACAATGATTAAATAAAAATGAAGAAATCTAGAGTTGACTGATCATACCTCAGTGCACACAATGAATTATCAATCGATTAATCAATCATATCTCGATCTCTGCATTGGAGAGATTGCTGGAGCTAGCGTATTGTAGCTACATATACATGTAGTTTCCAAATTTGCCCCGATTGCTGGCCGTGATTTCCATTGACACGTCGTTGTACTTACTTTTTTATTTTATTTTTGTTATCACTTGCAATTAAAAAAAAATTAGCTCTAGCCCGGTGCCCCTTCGAAAGAGATGGGCGAAAGCTAGACGGCCGTTAATGGAAATACGTGTATACATACTTTGCGTCTTCAAATTGCTCAGCTAGGAGCACAAGGACTAACGAATTGGTGGCGAGTATATGCGAGTGACTTCTTGTGATCAAAGTTTACTCAGGTGCGCATGACATGTGGTTGCGGTATACTGAGTTATCCGGTTAATTTTTGCTGCCTTGTTTAATTTAGTTGAGCCTTCTTGTATACATGTACGTATTACTTTAGGCTCGCGTATGCGTTGACCGCGGATGACTCATGTTTGTGTTGAGTCCGAAGAATTAAAAGCACAACTCATTAGCTGTAGCCAGCCGCGGTTCACAGCTCGGAATAAAGCTCCGGAAATGACTTATTGTGATCAATGGCAAGGCTATGCCGACCGTAAATTTAAACCACGGAGGCGTTAGATAGAAGAAGGAATTCTGAACGTTCCGGACCGGGCGACAAATAGCTGAAGTAGTAGTTGAAGTCTGTAAGAAGTTACTGTGGACGATAGCGATCAATACGAATGTAGACAATGTTGGGGCTGATAGGTATGCGTGCCAAGCATAGTTATCATAAAGTACATCTATGGCCCCCGACCGCGTTTTCTCGGTAGACTCTCCACGACGGCTTTGAGTACCCACCAGAAGCCTCTAGCTTCTTTCAGGCTATCCGCACCCTTCCCTTCTCCCTCCTGTATCGTAACGATTAGCAAAGTGTCTTGTCGCTTGTCAGACATCTAACCATTCTCAACGCCCTCCCAGAGATCTGGCATCGACAACGCAAGAGGCAAGAAGTAAAATTCGCGTCGTGCAGCGTCCTTATTCACGTGAGCCACTTTGCCTGCACCGCAAACTCTTGTTAACTCGGAACCCCCATAAAGGCGCGCCATTTTGTTGCGACAGCAGAATAGAAACTTTAGACGTTGAAGAGGAGGATCCACAACTATGGCTGGGGGAACACCCCATGCGGACGTTTATGCTGCAAGGCTGGGTGACAGCACTCTAGGTCTGTTTTGCGCTGCAAACGATGAAAACCGGTGTGCGGTGGCTAATGAAATGGAGAATAGATGTCAAACTCAAGCTTCAGATAGCAGGCGAGCTTCGGGATTCAATCGACGTATTCACCCATGTCCCTACGGAATACACAAAATTTCTTCAAAAGCTTATGCCCGTGTTTTTCACGATACTTAATGGGCAACCGGTGTTTATATCTACATCACCTGACCAGGTTAGCAATTGACACTTTGTACCTGATTCGCACATTTCATCTGACAAAAATAAAATACAGAAACTACGAAATATCATACTAGATACAATTCATCGATTTCCATTCTCGCCGATAGAAGCTCTGGAGCCATACGCGGTCGATTTAATGACCCTTTTAATGAATCTTGTCAAGACAGAAAATGAAGACAACGCCGTTCTTTGCATGAAGACAATCATTGACTTTCAACGAAATTACCAGAAGCAGCTCACCGAAAAGGTCCAGCCCTTTCTAGACCTGATCCAGGAGATGTTCTACATGATGCCGAAAGCTGTCAAAGAGACTTTTGATAACCCATCTTCAACGACCGGGGGAACACCAGGAATGCCAGGTACTCCAGGGAACACTGGGCAAAACTTCCAAAGCCCAAGACCAATGTCACCGATGAATGCAGGCCAGGACCCAGGAGCCGACCCCCAACAGCCAACTAAGATGCTAGTCAAAGGAATGCAGAGTTTCAAGGTGCTGGCAGAGTGTCCTATCATCGTTGTAAGCTTGTTTCAGGCCCACCGGTCTTGTGTACACAAGAACGTGAAACTCTTCGTACCATTGATACAAGACATGCTGCAACTGCAAGCAGGGCCTCAAGAGGAAGCTCACAAGCACGCAAAGGCCAAAGGTGAGGTTTTTACAGGTGTCAGTCCTGCTATAAAAAATAGAGTGGCATTCGGCGAGTTTATAACGGCCCAGGTTAAGGTAGGAATATACCTTTCTTAACAATGAAAAAGGCTAATGGGGACTTGCAGACGATGAGCTTTTTGGCATATGTTCTTCGAGTTTACGCACAACAACTTCAAGACTTTTTACCCAAGCTCCCGGAGATTGTGGTAAGGCTGTTAAAGGACTGCCCCCGTGAGAGATCAGGAGCACGAAAAGAACTTTTGGTGGCCACACGGCATATCATAAATTTCAACTTCCGGAAGATCTTCTTGAATAAAATCGATGAGCTTCTCGATGAGAGGGTCCTGATAGGCGATGGATTAACAGTCTATGAAACCATGAGGTATACCCCCAAATAACTATGAATATCTTAGTCGGAAGCTAAAGCCTATATTAGACCTCTAGCCTATAGCATGCTTGCGGATTTGATACACCATGTTCGTGACTCTCTTGGTCGCGAGCAAATAGGGAGAACAGTTGAAGTGTACACCAAAAATCTCCATGATAACTTTCCAGGAACAAGTTTTCAGACTATGAGCGCAAAACTTTTGCTAAACCTGGCAGAGTTCATTGCGAAATTAGAAGACAAACAAGAGGGTAAGGCGGGCATTTTCGAATCCTTAGTTTTTTTGTACTGATCTTCGTGTACTCAGCCCGACATTTTCTCATAATGATACTTGACGCAATTGCCGAGAAGTTTAAAGCTATGAACAGACAATATGAAAATGCGGTGAAGCAAAGCCGACTCAACGCCCTCACCAAGGAAGAAGGGAACTCGGAAGAACCTTCGACAGACTTGGCCGCCCCTGCAAAGAGAGAAGAATATGACGAAATCGATATTTTTCTGGCAACCCCCATCAAAACCTCAAATCCAAAAGAGCGAGGTGCAGATCCTGTTTCAGGCAAGTATTTATTCTTCACTTATGTCTTTTATTTTACATATACTGACTACAATCGCCCTCAGACAACAAGTTTCTGTTTAAGAACTTGATGAATGGGCTAAAAAGTATGTTATTTGCACTACGATCGTGTAACCCTCCTGCGAAGAATAACGAAAACAATCCTCAAAACTGGAATGAGGTGGCGTATGGGTTCAGTGCCGAAGAAGTAAATATCATTATCAAGTTATTTAGGGAAGGTGCAAGGGTTTTCAAGTATTATGGCGTTGAATACGAGTCAAAACCTTCAGATCCCAACACATCGCCGGTAGAGTTTCTTACGAACCACTTTATGGTTCCGAGCGGGAAAGAGGAGAAAGAGTTGCTTGAGACATTTGCGACTGTTTTCCACTGTATCGACCCAGCAACTTTCCATGAAGTATTTCATTCAGAGATTCCACATCTCTATGAAATGATGTTTGAACATACAGCTCTTTTACACGTGCCACAGTTCTTTTTGGCCAGCGAGGCAACCTCACCAAGCTTCTGTGGGATGCTTCTTCAATTCTTGATGGATCATATTGAGGAGGTGGGAACTAGCGATACCAGGAAATCACAAATATTACTTAGACTTTTCAAGTTATCCTTCATGGCGGTCACACTTTTCTCTAACCAGAACGAGCAAGTTCTACTACCCCACGTCAGCAAGATTGTTCTAAAGTCTATCAGTTTATCGACTACAGCAGAAGAGCCGATGAATTATTTCTTACTCCTTAGATCACTATTCCGAAGCATTGGCGGTGGAAGGTTTGAACATCTATATAAGGAAATCCTACCTCTTTTGGAAGTACTCCTGGAAGTTTTGAATACACTTCTCATATCTGCTCGGAACATCGTACAACGAGATCTCTATGTTGAGCTTTGTCTTACAGTCCCCGCCCGCCTCAGCAATTTACTCCCTCATCTCAGCTTCCTAATGAAACCATTGGTTGTGGCATTGAGGGCAGGACATGAGTTGGTCAGCCAAGGACTAAGGACGTTGGAACTGTGCGTGGACAATTTGACGGCAGATTATCTTGATCCAATCATGGCACCTGTCATTGATGACCTGATGGCCGCTCTTTGGGACCACCTCAAACCATTACCGTATAGCCACGTTCACAGTCATACAACCATGCGAATTCTAGGTAAGCTTGGCGGCAGGAATCGTCGGTTTCTGACGCACCCGCCACCTCTACCATTTAAGCTATATGCAGATGATGCATGTAGCGTTAATATCAGATTACATGGAGCACCGGGGGAGCGTGCATTCCCTATTTTGTCTGCGGTTGATCTTGCTATTGAGAGGCTATTCGACATGAAACCTCCGAAGTCCGACCAGGATAAAGCTACAGATACATTCTACAAACATCAATCTCTACGTTTGCTTAGTGCCAATTTAAAGCTTTTCATTGGTTATGATCAACTACCCGAGGACTTTGCGCAATTGGTCCGGATACAGGCAAACGATCTTGCCGCAGGGTCCACAGATCTAGCCGCTGCGGTTATTGTGCCGTCAGACCGGAATAAGCCAGTTTTCAAGAAGCATGATCAAGAGGCAACACTTCGGAAATTATTGAGATCTATTATCCATGCGGTTTCTATCCCACAGTTGGAGGAGGAGGCAATGGCTTTGACCTACGATGTTTGCCGTCACTTCACTATCTTGGAGCTGGGGAAATCTGTTACGGAAATGCGACAGAAGACGCAGCAGTTCATGGTGAATAGTGGTGAGGGTCCAATGCATTTAGATAGCCGAGTTTTGGCGGATGCTATAGCAGACTGCTTGTCCTCCGAGCACGCAGCAGTTAGGGAGACGGCGAAGAAGGCGATGAAGGTCATCTACGATACTGCTGCTACTCTCTTTGGATCAAACGAGATGGTGCACAAGCTCCCATTCTTCCAATGGCTTGCAAAGACCTTTTGTCACTCTTGTTATGAAGAGGAGTGGTATCCAAAGTCCGGTGGGTGTTTAGGAATCCGGGCGCTTACGGAGGATCTAGATATGGGTGAAGCATGGATGGTGGAACGTCAACATGATTTCGTTCGGGCCTTATTATATGTTATTAAGGACATGCCACCGGACCTGCCAGCTAGTACCAGAGAATGTGCTCAGTCTACATTGGATCTGGTCCTAAGAAAATGCAATCAGAACGTTTCCAGGGAAGAAATCGGTACATATCACTCGAAAAGTTTTAACCTTTGCGCTTTGCTCATCTGCGAGATCTCGAATCCAAATAAACATGTCAGAGAAACAGCGCAAGCGTCATTTACCACTCTCTCCAATATTCTCGGGGTAGGCATTCATGCGTTAATGACACCGGTCAAGGAACGATTATTGACTCCAATTTTCAATAAACCTCTTCGTGCGCTCCCATTTGCTAGTCAGATAGGGTATATTGATGCCATCACTTTCTGTTTGAGCCTCCAGCCCGCATTCTTAGAGTTCAACGAAGAAATGAATCGTCTCATGATGGAAGCGCTCGCCCTTGCCGATGCTGATGATGATGCTCTGTCAAACAACCGGATACCAGAGCACAGGACTACTGAATCGGTCCTCAATCTTCGAGTCGTATGCATCAAACTGCTCTCAACCGCCATCACATATCAGGATTTTGCACAACCAGACAAGTCACACACAAGAGGTCGAATCATCGCTGTGTTTTTCAAGTCACTCTATTCGAAATCACACGAGGTCATAGAGGCAGCCAATTCTGGACTAAAGGGTGTTCTTGCACAAACTAACAAGCTTCCTAAAGATTTGTTGCAAAACGGTCTTCGCCCGATTCTAATGAATCTCTCGGATCCAAAGCGGTTGAATGTCGCAGGGTTGGAGGGTCTCGCAAGGCTACTAGAACTCTTGACAAACTACTTCAAGGTCGAAATCGGAAGTAGGCTACTGGACCATTTGAAGAACCTTGCGGAGCCCAATGTTCTACAGCAAACATCTTTCAAATTACTTGAGCAAAATCCAAATATCCGTGTCATTGCGTCGATCTTGAATATTTTCCACCTCCTACCACCCGCAGCGGTTCAGTTCTTGGAGGAAATGTTCAAAATCGTAATTGATTTAGAGGAAAAGCTTCGTCGGACTCAACATAGCCCCTTTCGTGCACCGCTACTCAAATTCGTGAATCGATATCCAGCTGAGACCTGGGGATTCATCAAACCGAAGATGACTGATCTGAGATATGGTAGGATTTTTTCTCAGTTATTAGCTGACGAATCCAGTGAAGCTATGCGAAATGTTGTGAGTTCAGATACCACAGGACTTCTTGGGGCAACAATCAACATTGAGGGAAAGACGGAAGAAGAAAGGTTCGTGGCACAAGTAAATGCGGTAAATATCGTTTACTCTATTGCTCGGCACCCTAGCAGTGCCGAGTGGTTAGTAAAAAACCGCGATTTGATGGAGAGACTATTGAGGGCTGGGGTGGAAATTAGGGAGAAGTTGAAGGAGGGGAAGGTACCTGTGCCGATCAGACTGGGGGTCGACCAGTCTTCAGAAACATTGCAGGAAATTTTTATGTTATATCTCACACATGCGGAGCAAGATTTGGAGTTTCTTTTTCATGTAAGACTCACATGTTCCTTTTTAGAGACGTGCTAACATTCTGTAGGTGATTGATGCACGGACATCCAATAAGCTCAAACGATCAAATGCTCTCACGCACTACATCTATACAAAAATCATTTGCGCGGGGTCTATCGAACACTGGAGGAACGTAATACACAGGTGCTTGGATTTGTACACTACCAAGGCTTCGACGCAAGATACCAAGACTTTCGCATTTCGCCATCTTGTCAACCCGATTTTAGCTATGGATGTTCAACGCGGGTCACTCCCAGTCAATGGCCAGAAACTTGTCGATAGGAACATGATTGAAGCCATACATGCAAAAATCTGGCGGCCTAATCTAGGCGATATTGGGGACGATGCATCTCCTGGTCTGGATCACTCAAGGATGGAATTGCTCCAAATGTCCGCTCTCCTTATCAAGGATCATAACTCTATACTGGCCGAGGCAAGGAAAGATGTGATTAAATTCGGATGGAATTACATCAAATTGGAGGATATTGTCAACAAACAGGCGGCATATGTCCTAATTGCCTTTTTTATAAAACACTACGACACTCCGTCAAAGATAGTGATTCAGATATATGTGGCTTTGCTCAAAGCTCATCAGCATGAAGGAAGAGCACTTGTTACGCAGGCATTAGAATTAATCGCCCCGGTGCTCAAGAAGAGGGTGCCCAATGTCAGCGATCCCAGATATCCTATTTGGGCGAGATGGCCGAGGAGAATTTTGTCGGAAGAAGGCCACAACCAGCAGCAGATGACGAATATTTTTCAATTCTTGGTAAAGCATGGGGATTTATTTTATGAGTCTAGGGAGCATTTTTTGAGCTGGATTGTTACATCATTACCAAAGTTGGTTTTGCATCTACCAAATCCGTCGACAGAGAACAAAAAGCTTTCCATCAACCTCATGATTCTTATTCGGGACTGGGAGAAACGACGATTTACCGAAATGCAAAGTCAAAGTCCTGACGCATCGCCCTCCCGTAAACGAAAGCTTCAGCAACCACCAAGTGACTCTCGGTCACCCTCGATAGGTGGCTCTCAGGGTATGGCGGGTAATACGGAGTACGCAGTAGCTCAGCCACTTCGTATCTTGGTGATTAAGCATCTCGTCACTTTCATTTGCAGTTTAAACGAAAAGTTCTCAACTAGTGATCTGTGCAGAAAAGCGTTGGGATTGCTAGCAGATTTCCTTGGGCCAGAATATTGGGGGGATCTTGAAATTGAACTGTTTCCGAAGATCATGGACCAGCATCTTGTCACAAATGATATCACTGAGGCCCAACACTTGCCCGGGTTTCTCAACGCTTTGCAGGTTCTGAGGGTCATCTTGGATCTCAAATCAGATGAATGGGTGATGCAACGCCTGCCAGAACTCCAGAGAATCTTAGAGAAATCATTGAGATCTGATCTGCCTGAAGTTCAGGAAAGCCTTCAGCCCGTTCTTGCTCGCGTGCTACAAGCTATTCCGGCGGAGAAGGAGGAAGGAGAAGAAGAGGAGGAGGACGTCAAAGACTCTCCGGCCACGGTATTCACAACTTTACTCACTACTATCGTCCAAGAAAATCTCAACACAAACTTGATGTCTAGCGTTCATATCCTGTGGACCCTCTCTCAAAAGCGACCTGCTGTTATTGACGATCATATTGCAGCTCTTATGAAAGCATTCCAAAAAATCGGGAAAGATCACCTTTCATCCACTGCAGCAACGCCAGGACAGTCCCTAGTCGTCAACCTGCCGAACTCGGTGAAACCGGAGCCAAACGCTGGTGGGAACTCTCAAGTTTTTGACGCGGAAACAACAACAAAGCTCCTTCGCATGGTGATTGATGTAGCTGCGTCTAGGGTTTCAGTTTTAGGGGATCAACGACGGCCATTTTTGAGTGTCATGGCACAATTGGTGGAAAAATCATCAAGTACAGAATTATGCACAAAGATTTTGGGAATTGTGAGGGATTGGGTATTTGGGTCTACGGAGTCTTTTCCAACTCTGAAAGAAAAGACGGCTGTTCTGTCAAAGATGCTCTCATTCGAGACACGACCTGATCCTATACTTTGCAGCAAGTTTTTGGATCTCGTTATTGACATCTATGAGAGTCCAGCTGTCAACAACACGGAACTGACCGTTCGCCTTGAGCATGCCTTCCTGGTTGGAACACGGGCGAAGGATGTTAATATGAGGAATCGATTTCTCCAAATCTTTGACCGGAGCCTTTCTAGGACAATTAGCAGCCGCATTAGTTTCGTTTTGGGTACACAAAATTGGGAGACGCTAGCCGATTCGTATTGGCTCAACCAAGCAACCCATTTACTTTTTGGATCTGTCGATATGGACACTCGGGTGGAGCTACACAGTGAGGATTTGAGAATTGCGACAGCCTCGTCTATATTCTCGACATATAACGCGGACTCAAGGAAAGATTCGCTTATGTTTGACGATAAATTTGAAGACCTTATGTATCGTCACAGAAAATTCTGCCAAAGTTTAGCTGAAGTCAAAGCAGGTGATATATTCCAACCAATTGCCCAACTTCAACATTTGGATGCATCGGTTGCCCACCAAATTTGGATCGCCCTCTTCCCGTTGTGTTGGTCTGCACTAGGCAAAGAGGACCGTCAAGATCTCTCGCGTGGCATTGTTGGACTTCTGGCCAAGGAGTGGCATCAACGTCAAATGGACAAAAGGCCTAATGTCATACAGAGTCTGCTTGAGGGGTGTGAGATAGCCAAGCCAAAATTCACATTGCCCCCGCATATGGTCAAGTTTCTTAGCAAGACGTATGATGCGTGGTATACGGCATTACATATGCTCGAAGATTCTGCCAACGTTCCGCCCATGGACAGCCCGATTGTTCGTGAGAGTAACTGTGATGCGCTTGCCGAGATGTATTCTGCAATCCAGGAAGAAGACTTGTTTTATGGTCTTTGGAGGCGTCGGGCCGAATACCTCGAAACCAATGCTGCCGTTTCCTTCGAGCAAAATGGCATGTGGGATAAGGCTCAACAAATGTATGAGAATGCACAAATCAAGGCACGAACTGGAGCGTTACCATTTTCAAACTCGGAGTACATGTTATGGGAAGATCACTGGGTATTGTGCGCTCAGAAGCTACAACAATGGGAAATCTTGAGCGAATTTGCAAAGCATGAAAACTACAACGACTTACTTCTAGAGTGCGGATGGAGATTACTTGAGAACTGGAATGGAATTGATGGTGAACGCATGGATCAGACTATCAAATCTTTGATGGACGCACCAACGCCTAGGCGCTTTTTCTTTGCTGCTTTCATGGCCTTGCAGAAGGTTCACCAGAAGACTGAGGTTCCTGCTGAGTTTTCAAGATTGTGTGATGAGGCAATTCAGCTCTCACTTCGAAAATGGCATAATCTGCCACGCCGAATCACCAATGCACACATACCCCTTTTGCAAGCATTCCAGCAATTGGTAGAACTTCATGATGCCAGCGTAATATACAGTAGCTTGTCAACAACAAATGCGCAGAACTTAGACGCGAAATCCCAAGAGCTCAAGCTTCTTCTGGGTACATGGAGAGACCGTTTACCGAACGTTTGGGACGATATCAATAGCTGGCATGACTTGGTCACTTGGAGACAGCATATCTTCCATTCAATCAACAACACTTACCTACCTCTTCTTCCAGTTCAGGCTCAAAGCGCGGGTGGTAACAGCAGCAACAATTCCTATGCCTACCGCGGATATCATGAGACTGCCTGGATAATCAATCGTTTTGCTCATGTTGCCCGCAAACACCAACTACCGGAAGTATGTATCAGCCAATTAAGCAAGATCTATACATTGCCGAACATCGAGATACAGGAAGCGTTCCTCAAACTCCGGGAGCAGGCTAAGTGCCATTACCAGAATCCCTTGGAACTTACGCAAGGTCTCGAGGTCATCAACAATACCAATTTGGGTTATTTTGGCGCTCAGCAAAAGGCCGAGTTCTATACATTAAAGGGTATGTTCTTGTCAAAGTTGAAGCAAAAAGAAGAAGCAAACGAGGCTTTCGGATTAGCTCTTTATCACGACCTGAAGCTTCCAAAAGCTTGGGCTGAATGGGGCTATTATAACGACTCTCTATTCAAAGAAACACCTGGGGAGATGCAGCCGGCAGGGAATGCTGTTAGTTGTTATCTCGAGGCTGCTGGCCTTTATAAAAGTGGAAAAGCAAGGAAACTATTGGGCAGAGTTCTTTGGCTGCTTAGTTTGGATGACGCTAGTGCCACGATATCTTCGGCATTCGATGCTTATAAAGGGGACACACCCGTGTGGTACTGGATTACTTACATTCCTCAGCTATTAACATCACTATCTCACAAGGAGGCTCGCCTTGCCCGGGGAATTTTGATCAAAATTGCAAAAAGCTATCCACAAGTAAGTTATGGAATTTACTCGAGATAAATACCCTGCTAATTGGTTCTAGGCACTTTACTTCCTTTTGCGTACCAGTCGAGAGGATTATCAAGTTATCAAAAAACAAACCGCTGCCGCTGCCGCATCCAATCGCGGGAAAGCAGGGTCCCCCATTGTTACACAGGCTACACCTCTTGTGCGTCAAGGCAGTGTTCCAAATGGCACAGATGCTGGAAGGGCATCCAGTCCCCAAGGAAACCAAAACGTTCAAACTCAAACAAACAGTGGGTTATCATCTTTCTATCCAATCCTATACTTGCTAACAAAATGTGAAGGTGCTGGATCGCCAATAGTCCCCAATGGACCAAGTGTCTCGTCTCCTGCTGCAGCAGTACCCAGCCCTCAGCCCCAGGTGAAACGCCTACCGTGGGAGTATGCCGAAGAGATCATGTCGGTTCTCAAGACAGCGTTCCCGCTTCTTGCGCTCTCAATGGAAACTATGGGTGACCAGATTCAAAAGTTTTTCAAGTGCCCTCCAGACGAAGACGCTTATCGCTTGATCGTAGCGCTTCTGAACGATGGCTTACAGGTAAGAAAGGCTAGCCTTGTTGATTTACCCACGCGTGACTTACCTCTTCAGTGGATCGCCCGTATAAACCCGTCACTTGATGACTCGAAACTGCCCCCTTCTACCGAATCGAATATCACACGATTTGCCGAAACGATCTTACCTGCCAATATTCGAGTCGCATTCGAGGCCGATTTCGTGAATGTGAAGCCCAATTTGTTCGCTTATATTGAGAGATTGCGAAAATGGAGGGACCGGTTTGAGGAGAAGTTGGATCGCAGACCGCCGTATCAAAATCTTGAGAATTACAGCCCGCATCTCAGTGAATTTAGGTTCCAGAAATTTGATGATGTCGAAGTCCCTGGTCAATATTTATTAGTAAGAATTAAATGCAATCCATCCTAACACACATCATTACTAACAAACTACAGCACAAGGACAACAATAAGGACTTTGTTCGTATCGACAGATTCCTCCCACGAGTAGATGTTGTTCGTGGGTATGGTGTTTGTCACAGGCGTTTGAAGCTCAGGGGACACGATGGTAGCGTACATGCATTCGCTATTCAACATCCTGCAGCCAGACACTGCCGTAGGGAGGAGAGGATACTCCAATTGTTCCGCATTTTCAATGGTGTTCTAAGTCGAAGAAAAGAAAGTCGTCGCCGAAACCTTGGTTTCCATCTTCCATTGATGGTTCCACTAGCACCTCATATTCGCATTGTTCAAGATGACTCCTCCTACATCTCACTCCAGGGAATATACGAAGATCATTGTCGACGAACAGGAATGAGTAAAGACGACCCATTGATCTTTTCTCTAAAGAAAGTCATTGCTTCGCTCGACCCCAGCAAACCTGCAACACAGCTTGTCAGCCCTAACATCAAATTGGAAATTTTTAACGCAATCCAGAAAGAGATGGTTCCTCAAGACGTTGCCCTTGAAGTAAGGCTTTTCCCTCTCTCTTTCCATTGTGTGCTTATGCTGATTATGATAGTTCTTATCCAAATCCTATCCTTCTTTTACCGAATTTTTCCTTTTCAGACGACAGTTCTGTTACCAATACGCCGCATTGACGTTCATGACTTACATAATGAGCATGAGCAATCGGTTTCCACATAAGATGTTCATCGCTAGAGAAACAGGCAATATTTGGGGTTCTGAGCTCATCCCTGCAATGGCGTCAACGAATGCCTTTTTCCACAACAATGAGACTGTTCCATTCCGTTTCACCCCCAATATACAAACCCTGATGGGACCAATTGCCATTGAAGGTATATTTTCTTGCGCTGTAATGGCAATTGCTCGCTGTCTCACAGAGCCTGAGGTATGAAGATTCTCAGACCTATATCCGCAGCTTACTCTAGACCGTCACTAACTTAATTCTAGTTCGAACTCGAACAACACCTCAGTGTCTTTGTGCGTGACGAGATGATTTTCTGGTTCACCCAGCAGCACCGTTCTGGACTCGGAGAACAACAGCTCCGTGAAAAAGTTCAAATGAACTCTGAGATTATTTGTAGAAGGGCAACATCTCTGGCACAGGCTGGGCAAGGAAACCTGCCTGCGAACCAAACCGTTATTGATCTTATCAATAAGGCCGCAAATCCTATAAATTTGGCGCAATTGGATAACCTTTGGATGCCTTATCTATAGGCAAACTTTATTTTTGTAGATGGGGTTGGGAAATAAAAGGATTTTTCGGGATACTTTCTTTCTTATTTGGTGTTTATGGCGTGTTAATTTTTAAAATTGTTTTTTTCCTATCTTTTTATCTTTCATTGGTTTCTTTGTTCCTCCTTCTTTTCCCTTTCTTTTCTTTATTTCTACGTATTTCTATAGTTTCTGCCCAAGGGCTCGGTGGGTTTCTTCTGGGGTTAATGATGGGAAAATTCTTGATGATAAAGACCGGGGGCGAATTTGTAACTTGATACTGGGATGGCTGTCTGCTTTATATTTTGCTTTTGCATTTCTTTTTGTACACCTGTGGCATTACTTTCCTGTTCCGTTTTGACTTGTTTACTTTACGTACGTAGCTATTGGCAATGATAGTATTCACTAGTATCTTTTTTGCCCTTTGAAAAGTGAAACCGTGACTTGAAATGTCTTATCTCTATCTAATCTAATCGAGTGACGAGTGATAGGAAACGATCCAGCGAACGTCCTTAAACCCTGCGCACGCCCATATATAAACACCTAATTCTATACACCTATATAATATATAGGCCTAACACACCCCGTACCATAAACTTGTGACAGTTCCCACTGCCAGCCCCATCGCCAACATGCCTGCTCCCTTCGGGTTCCTAACATACCTCCTATGTCCCCACCAAAACGCACCCATGTGGAATAAATTATACACTCCAATAGCCCTTACCACCAATCTTCGACTCTCAGGTATCTGTGAGAACAGTCCCTCCAGACACAGATACGACACTAGGGCCTCGCCCGAAGCCACCACTTGAACGAGTACCAGCGCGCTTGGGGACGGTGTACCCCCAAGCTTTGCGAGTGATGCCGATGGCGAGGTTAGATATAGGAGTGAAGACGTGGCAGAGACGAGGGATGTGAGCCCGAGGTATAGGTTCAGTGGTGTTGGCGCTATGAATAAACGGGCCCGGGGTCGGGGTGGTGGGTTAGCTATGCTTACCACTCTGGTAGTGGTAGTTGTTATACTAGAGGGGCGGCGTGAAGCCGAGGGAGAGCGAGAGGCCGGGGACAGACAGAAGATACAGAGTGTATTTAGGGGCTTCTGATTCGCGGGTTTGGGGTTTGGCTTGCCTGGTAATGATGAGGTTGCCATTTTCTCCGTTTATTTAGGAATTTGTTTATTTACAGTGTGGGCAGGTTGAGTCTTTAAGTATCTGCGGGGGGTGAGGTGTTTAAATTTTACGGGTAGGCAGGTACGTATGTAGGAGCGCGGGCTGTCAGAAACGTGGTTCTACGGCTGGCATTCGGTGTTTGGGATCGTTGGAGATTTGCAGTTTCAGGTGGTTGAAGGCTTCGCCCTTGTTATAGGTGGGAAGAAAGGAATTATTTTTTAACTTGACATTGACATGCATGATTCCTGCATGATCGATTCTACTCTAGACTGGTTTGTGGCAGGCGTGCAGCGGTTCATGCATCCGATCCAAACTTCAGAGCGAGTAGTAGAGAAACATATCAACTGTGTGCTGGAGCGAAACGGAAGTCCCGAGTAGTCGTAGCAAAATATGTTGGATTGGTTGATTCTAACTAATTCATATCAGGGACAATTGTAGTCAGCTAATGAAGTTCAGCCGTAACATACAATATGATAGGACAGCGATCATGAGCAGTATATAGATACAGCTACCTCAAAATACTCATTTTATAATGTTTATTAAAATAGGGGAGTGATTACCTGCATGTCTTCTTTTTTTGCAACCTGGAAATTCCTCCACCTGTTGATATATGTGTATTTAATTGCAATTAATGTTATTTATAGCAGAGCCGCAATATATAATTATTACCCGTGGTCTTTGGTTTTGACGTTCCCACGTATCAGGCATTGATATTGACAATTTATCAACATGTTAAAATGCCACAGATACATGTACCTTTAAAAACTAGCTTGTCCAGTAGTACACTTCGCCATAGTATAATTAAAACTTGTGTCTGTCCTGCGATCATTACCGTTGCCAAGTCAAGGTAACATCAAAACCGACGCGATGGCCTCTGCTAGCGCCCTGCCAAGCCTCAGGGTCTGACTAGTTTTAGTTGGGTTTTTTTTCTCTCGCAATCTGGCTCTGACTCTTTTTTCACACACAACGCCAACTGACAACGACCGACTTCATTGACATTATACACTGCCCCACATCTCATCCGTCCCACCCGCAAAACCTTGCCAAACCACAATAACAAGAAGATGACCACTCCCGGCTCTCCAGTTAAGAAGCGTCCGAGGACTCAGTCGCTCCCGTCGTTGCCTACGCTGACGGCTGAGCAGGCAGTGCCAATTGCTTCTGACGATAAGAGCACCAAGAGGCTCATTGTTGTGCTCGCTCAGGCATGCTTGGAAACCCATAAAATTTCCACCGGTGGCGCCAATGGCGGCGAAAAGTATGTTCTTCTTAACTCGGACGATCATATTGGTGTCCTCAAGAAAATGGGCCGGGACATCAGTGATGCCCGTCCAGATATTCTCCACCAGGTTTGTCCTTTACCCCTCCCGAATGTTTAGATAAATGGCTTTGTTTTTATCCTCTCATATGCATGAATCCTTGCGACTCCATGAGACTTGCAATTCCATGTATAAACAAGCAATAGATGGATGACTACTTTTGCTTGACTCCTGTTACTGGCGAGCGGTTCAACCCTCTCTGTCATGTGTAATTTGCTTCCCAAGCTAACGAGCACTTCCAACAAGTGTCTCCTAACCCTCCTCGACTCCCCTATCAACAAAGCTGGCAAGCTACAAGTCTACATTCAATCCTCTAAGGGCGTCCTCATTGAGGTCAATCCCGCTGTACGCATCCCGCGTACCTTCAAGCGTTTCGCGGGTCTCATGGTACAGCTACTCCATAAGCTTTCAATTCGCTCTACGAGCTCTTCGGAAAAGCTACTCAAGGTTATCAAAAACCCTGTCTCACAGTATCTCCCTCCTAATTGCCGAAAGGTCACCCTATCTTGGGAGGCTCCGGTCATGAACGTGAGGGAGTATATTGGTGGGTTGGGTGAAGAGGAGAGTATCTGTGTAGTTGTTGGAGCCATGGCGAAGGGTAAGGATGACTTTGCAGATGGCTGGGTGGATGAGAAGATTGGTGTGAGTAACTACTCGCTCTCGGCAAGTGTAGCTTGCAGTAAGTTTTGCCATGCAGCGGAAGACTGTTGGAATATCCAGTAAATGGAGAGATGTTCCTGCTTCTACTCCCTTGTCTTTCTCTTTTCATTTATATTCATTTTCAAGCTTCGGAAGCGTTTGATGAGAAACTTCTTTTTCATGTATTGTGTTAGTTTGGTTCCTTTCTTTACTCCCATCCTCCCCACCTTGTTTTACCCGAGAAATTCGGGCAGATCAGGCAGTTGCTGGGAGATTGATACTGGCGTTCAACAGGCAGTTTAGGAACCTGGTCTGTAATTTCCTTTCTCCTTTTTCCTACTTTCCTTGTATTTGTTATCTGTTTTTTTGTTTTTGTTTTTGCTTTTGCTGGTGGAAAACTATGTATGAATTATTTTTGCTTTCTAGGAGAGGGATCAAGAGGGATAGTAAGATGGTAAATGTACTAGGGTCTAGGATAGATACGTACTCAACGTATGTGTTTATTTACGCTTAATACAGACAAGTTTCTGCGTAATGTTGCTGCAATACTGCCCTGTCTGTCTCTTGAGGTTATCAGCTGATGAACTTAGAGACTTCCAATCCACCCCCGCAAAGCATGCTTAATTGGAAGGCTGGAAAGAGCCTTGTCTCGAACCAGGCGTTTGGGTCTGGCTCGAGACAAGACAGAGCCCAGTACCCAGGTACAATGGCTAATCATAATAATACCATCCTCAACCCTATTCTCGAGTCAGAGTTCATATTTTGGTGCTGAGACCGATTTCAATCATTTAAGACCCACCTTAATACTCTAGGGCTTTATTAAGTGCAATGCAGCTCTAGTAATTAAATATTTTAGCCAAGAGGGCAAAATGTCCTAACTCTTTATAGAAGACATAAAATACATAATAGATTCAATCTTCCGTAAACGCAGTAATCAAGAATAGTGGATGGATATATTGTGATCACTGATAAAAAATTAAAGCTCCCTTTAGGGCCGGATCAGACCAATAAACATTCTCCGGAACAACCGCCTATCATAATTACACCAAACTACATATGTGATTTTTTGCGAGTCATACTATCCGTAGATGCATGAGCCTGCAGTATGTACGAGCTATATGAATTACATTGTCCTAATAATCGCGTAGAGTCCAATCAACGGGACTAAACATAGGGCTTGAATCGGGCTTGAATCGGAACTGCTGAGTTACACGTTGTGTTTATATTCGATCGTGGTCCCCGTTATCTAACCGCGCCCGCCGTTCTATGTAGGTACATGTACATTCACTTGTAGATATTACACTCAGGGTATCCGATATTAGGGTTAGGGTTTCTATAGAGTAAATTAAGGCTATCCGGTCAATGACGCCATTAGTGTGGGGTGTGCAACCAGAAAAAAAACGCAGTGCAGTTAAACATTTCTAAGCAGCTTATATGAGCACTGGTAGAACCGCAGTTCACGACATCAAAAATAAAGCCCCTTATCTATACATCTATCTTACTTCACAATACCCAAAATCTTCTACAATATAGAGCTCTAAGCTCAGACATCCCATAAAAATGCTGGAAACAATCCCCCACGTCATCCTCGTAATTCGCCCTTCAGACCTCCTTGAGCTCCAACTGTAGATAGCACCTATATTAATGCATGGTGGACGTGCGCACTTAGGTTCTCTCCGGGAAAGGCGGTGTTGGTAAATCTTCAGTCACGGTCCAGCTCGCCCTCTCCCTTGTGCGCGCTGGTAAAAGAGTCGGTGTATTGGATGTAGACCTTACAGGCCCCAATATCCCACGCATGTTCAATGTCGAGGATGAGAAGATCCGACAAGCGCCTGGCGGGTGGGTTCCTGTGCGGGTGGGGGAGCGGGAAGAGGGGCAGGAAGATACAAGGATCCAGCTCATGAGTTTAGGGTTCCTCTTGAAGGATCGCGGCGACAGTGTAGTGTGGAGAGGCCCCAAGAAGACGGCCATGGTTAGGCAATTTGTTACTGATGTGCTCTGGGAGGACGTAGAGTATTTGTTGATCGATACGCCGCCAGGTAGGTTTCTCACTTTCTAATTCTATTGTGAAGAATGTAAAAGGCTGATGAGATGGGTTTAGGGACCTCGGACGAGCATATTTCCTTAGCTGAGCAGCTGCGCAATGTCAACCCAGACGGTGCAGTGATTGTTACTACGCCCCAGGCAATCTCGACAGCTGATGTGCGTAAGGAGCTTAACTTTTGTAAGAAAGTTGGGATAAACGTCCTCGGTGTGGTTGAAAACATGAGTGGCTTTGTGTGTCCTCACTGCAGCGAGTGCACAAATGTGTTCTCGTCGGGTGGGGGGCTGGTCATGGCAAATGAGTTTGGAGTTGAGTTCCTGGGGAAGGTACCAATTGACCCGGCGTTCAATATGATGATTGAGAGCCAGGGAGCTGGGAGGGTAAGGGTGGGCTAGTACAGAGGTATGGTGATAGTCAGCTGTGTGGGGTGTTTAAGGGGATCACTGAGAGGTTGGTTGTGAAGGTGAGTCCGCCGGAGAAGGGTAGGGATGAGAAAGCTTTATCAGATGTTTCTGGCCTGAATTGATGCATAAATGGGTGTTTGGAGCGCTTGATTGGTTGGGGATATTAAAATTTTGAAGTTTCATAATTTCCCGAGTGAGCGTGTATGATCGAAAGTTTTTTTGCGTTTCTATAGTTATCTTTCTACTTTGTTCAACGGAGACTTTCTGGATTGTGTTTTGTAATGTCTCCCTTTGATCATCACAGTATATAAAGCTATCAACCTTTCAAGCATCCTTACCATTGGTCTTTTATATAGATATTGCATATGAATGCATATACTTGCGGCCGCTTAGACACGTATATACATACATACATGAAGTACTTACAAGCACTTGTATCTCTAGTATATGTACGTGACCTCGCTTGTACTCTCTATATTCCACCCTTGAAACAACTCTGTCAATTATGTCAAACCCTATTCAGTCCTCCATACCTTCCATCAAACTCAAAGAAGGGGCCAGATATCTCCAGCCTTTCTCCAATCGACCTTGAATTCTCTGAGGCAATAAATTATATAAACAACCTCAAACACCTAGCCTCGCAATCGAAGAAGACGCCCGCAAGTGGCTCATCGATGCCGCGAGCTCCATTATTGGGTGCCTGAAAACTGAATTGGAGGGACTCTACCAAATCACCATTGAGGAGATTTGACTAAAGTCCTTCTTTAACCCAACGAAAGCTTGCCCATCTATATCGAACGCCCATCCATAGTATCGGAACAGTACGCCCAAGAATTCGAAATTAAGAGATTTCTAGAGAACCTCATACACGCCCACGGATTCTCAAGCAAGATACGGTTCATAGAAGCTGAAATCTCTTTCCGTATATATATATGGTTTCCCAAGGCTGGACAAGAGGGAAAATATACAGATCCGAAGGCCGGAGATACAATTTTCGATAAATCTTTCCAAAAGAAGCCCGTTGCCAATATCAAAAAAGAAATGCTGAGGAGCTGAGAGGATAGAGGTTAATTGGAGGTTAGGATTCCTGACATGCTTAACTCCAGTCTTTTGCTCATATTACTTTACACCGACTTAGGCAACCAAACACCATCTTCGCATAACAACCCAGCTTCTAAACCAATTTGAAAGGGGAGGAGATGGGTACATCTATTTTTAAAGGGTTATTTTTTTATAAGTCGTTGCCACGAACACCAAATATACATGTATTTCTTTATCCATCCATCCTAATACTTACTGACGCACTCGCGTCTTTCTGAATTCTACAATGGATGGAGAAATGGCTACCAATAGTGATTCCCTTTTATTGTGCCCACATAATCAAGGGTCAACGGATAATGTACCCTAATTCTTCGTCACATGTATACAACATACAGAGAATATAAATAACCCGAATCTTTAGTCATTACCTTGTCTATACTTAGAAGCTAGATTTCCGTTCTTATTAACCTCTTAATTGGCGAAGATCCAGGAGTATACAGAATATACAGCACCGGGGGTATGTATCGATGTCCCTCCGGTGAGACCAGAGGGCTACTTAGGCTGACCCACGGAACGACGAGCCCGGGCCAATATTTCACGGGCTAGGCCGGGCTAGTAAATTTTCGGCTCGGGCTTTCAACTAATTTGATAGGCCTGTGTGTTCCGTGTGTAATTCCAGATTCTGACTAAGATTAAAAGCTCCTTCCCATCAGTATCCAGGTAGCTCCATCCCTATATCGCCTCTTGAATAGAGCATCACAACCTTGAACTCATATAAAGTAAATTCGCACCAGCCCATAACTAAACAGGCTGGGTAGGTCTCTACCTATATTTGACCCAGGCCATTATTGCGAAAGTGGGTTCCCGTGACCCGATAGTCCTATTGGTTTTTAATTAAAAGGTTTTTTTTTTGCTGCGAGCACAGACCAACTAATCCTTAGCTCTGACTTTCGCAATAATTCTACCGAAAACTATACATGTGTGTATAGCGGTAGGTAATAAAACCCATCATCCCCACCCATTGACTAGAATAAAACTAACAGCGGCAGATCTTTACGAACACTTAGAGTACAATATGGAAGCCATATATGCTCTATCTAATCTCTATATTCCCTGTATATTCCCCCCAATATTAGCCTATTCCCCGGTATCTGCGCATGCAGATCCCACGAGTGATAAAACATGATTAACGTGACTATATCACAGACGTCACCCGGTAAAGCTAAAAGCAGATCTAAACCCAACGAATCTTTCCATTGATCAACACCGTATTTTACACGCGCACCAAAATTTGCCAACACTGCAGCCTACATATAGACGCCTTCACGGGGGTATGGTCAACACGGGGGTATGGTCAATAGAAACTTTAGGCCAACGATCAATTTTGAAACATGCTATTTGCCACCCATCAAAACGGTTCAATTTGCAACCAGCATTTTCAAAAGTGATGGCCTAAAATTTCTAATCTCAAATATATGCCGGAAAATGCAAATGCCCATTTTGTATCGCGGATCGGCGCCACTCCATACAAATAATCCTTGTTTTCTCAGTTGCATTTTCTGGATCTTTCCCCTACAGTCTTTTGGTTTCCATACAAAATCTTGGAATTGATCATACCCCCGTGAAGTCGCCTAGCTAGGTCCTTTGCATTAATCTTGGATGCCTAAAATCACACACATGTGACATGACACATAAACGCGCATATAAAAGCATACAAACATCAGCCTTGAGGTCGAGCCCAGTCAAACCACCCTCACTCCCTAGCCCATATATCACAGACCATCCATCATGTCTAATACATCACCCAAAGAACCAAAGTTCCCCGATCTCTCTCAAATCGGCCTTGCGTTTGCTCAGGCAATTACCTTCATCAACTACCAGCCATGCCCTGATTTAGATGAAAACGCTCGCCAGTGGCTTCTCAAGGCGGGGACGGGTATGATGGCCAACTTAAAGTCCGAACTAGACAAACTCAAAAAAAACAAAAATAACCACATCGACCTTCCCGCATGGGCATTGAACCCCGAAAAAGAATTGATCATCTACAGTTTTCAGATCCCATACATCCTAATTGTGTACAAGGATCAGTTCGAGACATGTTTGGCAAACCTATTAGAGGCCTGCGGTTTTGATCCCAAACCGCTCCGTTGCTATGGCTCTGTAGCTTTGAAAATTAGGTTTCGTGAGGCCGGCTTAAGGAGACCTACAGAAGCTCATAAACCCAAGGAGCTCTGTTCCGACATGGTTTTCATGAAGAACTTCTACGATACCATGAGCAAATTAAGGATAACGCAATGAGAGAAACAGAATGAAAAGAGGAAACCGATCGAATGTGAGTTAGGACCCCCAAGAACATTTTCAGGGACGTACATATATATGCGATTTATAGTCCACTCCACTCACATTATATCACTCACAGCAGTTAAGCAGTATCCTCCTCCTCCCTCCAGGGCGTCTCCTCAATCGTGAATTTTTTTTCTTTTTTTCTTTTTTTTAATTCATTAATTGTATGCAGACTGTAGTCTATGACAATTCCTCAATCGTGAATGTTTCAAGAGTACTGGGGGGAATTTACATTTTTTCTTATTCTTTATTCATATTTTTCGTATTGTTCTGGTATCGAATAAAAAGTTTGCCAAATAAGAAAAAAACAATCCTCCATTACAAAGCAATAATCCACCCAGTCACAAGGACAACCCCTTCAATCCACCATCCAGGAGCATTCCCAACCGCCACATTCGACGCTTGTGAAAAGGTTCCTGCGGTAATAGTTGATGTGGAAGACCGTGTAGTTGCAGCCGGCGAGCGAGTTTCTGAGTTCGTGGTAGTTCTAGTTGTGGACCCTCCAGACGATGTGCCAGTTGCCCCCGAAGCAGAGGTCGAAGAGGAAGCAGATGTTGTGGCGGAGGCAGAAGTAGTAGTAGACGGCGATGTTGTGGGTGTCGTCGCCACTGAAGCCCCCGACCGACTAGCAAATATTTCCGTAACGGTTGAAGATCCGGTTCCACTGGGAAGTGGTGCTGGTGTGTTTGTGCATGCCTCGATGAGATTGTCGTCTATGTTGAACCTTTCGCATTCGGGGACGGAGGAGCAACTACAAAATCCGATATCAGCACATGGATCTCAAGAAAAGTCCAACTGCAGGGCCATGTACTAGTACATACCGTTCAACGATATCGCGCCAATACTTTGAGCACGGCACAAGCACCTGGTCGTTTCCAATCAAAGGACACTGCGCACATGGTCCGTTATCCTGCGCATACACGGCCACACATAAAAGCGCGAGAGCGCAGAGAAACACATTCGTGATGCTATTCTTCATAATAGCGGCCGATGTAGTATACTGATAGTAGTGATGATGTTCGTTGTGCTGGGGTGTGGGCGGGGCTATATATCTGGGAGTTGTGTGTAGAGTAGTTTGGTTTGTGGGGGAGGAATATAAATAGATCGTGGGCTGAAACCCCAGAAAAACTCAAAACCCACAGACACATCACATGTGCATGTAACCATCGACTCACCATTTGGACCCAATAGAATGAAGGCTAGGCAAGGTGTGTATGGATTCGTTTATGTGGTTTCGTCTAACTGTCCTGGACATGGACGTGGTGGAGTTTACCGATGAGCGAGGTTCGGCAGTGGATCAATACACAGGAACATTTAAGTCCCGTATTAATTGCAACGGGAGCTCCGCTGTTGGTTTTTAAGTGTATAGGTACATGTATGTACACTGACCTGGAATGCAAGCCAAAATACGTACTACACGGCAGGTTCCACGAGTGAGACGCAAGAGGTGTACAGGTGACCGGGAATACAATGCGCTTCCCTCTTGACGAACAGAAAGATTTGTGGAACCATCGAAAGTCGATTTTAATTTTACCAACTTGTCCAGTGATAAATATTCGTATCGTGAAGCCAAGCAGTAATAGGATATGCGTGGGGGCGTTAACTATCCCTTGTTGAATACGTTTGTTGCCAAGCCATTATTATTAGTTCCCAGTTGGTTAGTAGAAAAAATTTCTCTTTTGGGAAACCCTGCTGTATTTGCCCAATTAATTGCAATATTACATAAAAACTTCTCCGTGCACTTGAAAGTTATATCTTTGTAGAATCAAAACCATTGGTCCCTTCCACTCGGTTGTGGTCTGCCTATTGACCATGGAGCTTGGGGGGGATCAATTGGCATATCCAAATACATGCAGAGGTAGTGCTAAATCAGGCTCTAGAAAGTAACAAGTCAGACTAGATAAGTACCGAATCACAGTCGATGAAGTGGTGGTATCGAAGTGCCGAATTAGAATCGATGAAGTAGTGATAACAAAGTACCGAATCAGAATGTATAAATCAGTATTGAAATACTGGTGATGTAGACAATTCTATGGGGTGTTGTGAATAAATTTGGTTGTGAATAGACTTAGGCTTGACATTACTGGGTCAAATACGTTACTGGTAGTAATGATAGACCCATTTTTCTTTCAGCAGGCTACGTACCAGCCGCAAACTCCGGGATGTAGGAAATAGATATTTGCGTTTTTCGTTTCTTTCTTCCTTCCTTCCTTGAAGAAGGCTTTTGGCCAATCAGTACCCGTCATTTGCGAATTCATCCTTACCTTTTATACTAGAGGAGACTAGAGGAGATTGGGCCTCGACAAGTATGTGTACCCACTGCTAAATCATAAAACCAATCCGAAAACTTGAACGCTCAGAGGCGCGAGGGACCCCTTGCACGCGTCCAATAAGATACGGCCATAATACTCGGATAGCCAATCTTCCAGCAGAATCCAGCGCCTCCGTCTCGTATCTTTTCCCCAACAGTATCCTATCGAATAGGCTATTGACAGAATACTTTGAGGTAATGAAAAGGAAGAGAGGTATTTGATGGCACGTTGAGTCGAGAGAATCACAATGGGTTCTACATGGGCAGCAGCCCGATTATTGGTGACATTGCCGTTGTCCTAACATGGGAATAACTCAGTGACGAACGGGGCCAAAGCCTACCTCCACTAAGACGGCATTTATATGCTCATCGAGGGCACCCCATAGCCTCTCTAGGGACAAACACACACCGCTATCCCAAGTAGACACTTTCGAGATGGGTAGCTATAGGTCTCCTGGGCATACTCCGTCCGAGAAAGAAGAAACAAATTCCGGCAAGGGTATCTTCCCTCTATCGCGCAGCGGGGCCATCAAAAGTCCATCTCATTTGCCGGCTGACCCTTACCCACGTCGACAGGAAGCCTGTGGCGAGAGAAATTAATATTTACGTGTAGCCAACCAGCAATCAACTATGTATGTAAAGTACATACCTCTCTCCAGAGCGCTCCATGCCCCACCAGCCCATACCGACAACGATATCTACCAGCATAGACGTTTCAGCCCTGCTACCTTGATCCGTGCAGCGTTGGTTGGGATTTCGAGTAATACTGCGGGTTTCGTCCCATTGTAATCGCGAGGTGGTTGTATGCATGTAGTGAGCATAGATAAGCCTAAAACTCTAAACTCTAAACCCTAAACCTGACTAACCAACCCACTCACGCATGATGGGGAAAGCGCAAGCGCCGAGAGAGGCTGAACTGAGAAGCAGGCTTCTAGAGGCTTCTTTCGGTCATGCAGATGCCGTAAACAGGGAAGGGGAGTTGTTGTCTGTAAGGACAGGGAAGTTTCCAAGGAACGTTGTTCTCCGGGGAAGCTGGTCTGCTAACCGGTCGAAATAGATTGGCGGAAACGAGTGATATCTCGTGCTTGGTGTTGGGCTGAGCGGTGGATGAGAGACTGTCAATGATTTGGGAGCTTACGCCAATGTTTTTAAGATTGCGACTTGAGTTATATTGCGTGTACATTTGCTGTAAGGCGTTGTCAGTAGACGTACCTCTGTGTACGAGTCCATGATCCAGGGTTGATCCTCATATCTCCAAGAGTCTGACTCGGGACTAAATAGTGTCGAGGAATGTTACCATCACCAACATACTTTTTCCATTTTACCTGGATTACATGCCTTTTTGTGGAGGAATGAAAGGGTCGGTTTTCCAAACCTCGAGGGCACATACACCGGATTCTCATTGGCTACCACTCCACCGCTTCCCACACCCACTTCTCAGCTTTTTAATTTATCTGGTCTGGTAGGGCAACACACGCCGCTCCATGCGTCGCCGGTCCAGTTAATGATCCTGCGGGGACACAACCAGAAAATCCCACAACCTGAACACTGACCCACAGACGAATCGGGTTCCTGCATCATGTCAAGAGGACTTGATTGCTATATTTAGCAACATCGCCGTTCCGCTTGCTCAATTCAAAGGTTTTAGGTTTTGATGGAGAAGTCTCAAAATCATCTAGCAAGGAAGTCCACCCGAAGAGTTCCACGTCTACACTTTCGCTCCTCTTCCCCCTTCCGGGTGGGGGTGCAAAAAAGCGGTTCTCCGACCAAGCCAAAACGCCCCGCCCGAGATAGGTCGATCATCGGGGCCCCGAGTCAACAAAAACTCCCAGTCGCTGATGATGGGCCAAAGTACCCTAACCCAGCCAGACTCGCTGACTCAATTGACTGACTAAACAACGATGACCCACCCAATCAATTGATCCAAACCACGCCATCACTTGACTTGACATTTCCGCGCACAAGTCCGCCGCCACCCGACGTTACACCTCCACTCCCGTGTTTTGTGTGGTGGGGTGGCTAAACGCAGACAGGGTGGTCATGCGGCATTCTAGAGTAGTTGTTGTAGTCATACCATATCACTCGTATGACGATACCTTCGGTACAAAGCCCCAAGCCAATAACGATAGAGTGCCCGGAAGCAACCAACCAAACGGAAAGGAACTCGCCAATGCTGCTGTTCAAGGGGCGGATAAACGGAACAAGGATAATCCTATATAAGCGAGGATCAATCCCCCAGAGCAGAGTAAAAAGTAGACTAGCACGCATAACCAGGTTGGGTGGATGGGTGGTTGGTTGAATGCAGGATGCCCGCTGGCCGGCGAGATCTCGGCCTATGACGGTGTTTTCCCACTTCCTGGTATCACCCACCTCCCCACTGGAAAACGAAGTTCGGGCTTCCGGCATGCGGTATGCAGGTCTGCCCTTCTGTTATGATGGAGAATTTCGTCATATCTAAAGAAACATGATCGATTGTGGGTTGCCTTCTGGAGTCGATCTTCATCTAGGATGGTGTTTGGTCTGGCCAACTGCGAGGGAACAAGCATTACACGTGGCCTGCATAGACATCTCGATGATTTTTCCTTGATTTTTGAGCATCGGTGAATGTGCTGGGTTTCAGGATGGTAGTTCTTGGTAACCAATGAGGCGCGCATTCGGTTGTCACAACAAGACATGTCAATGATAAACAGCACATTATTTTTTTATTCATTAATTTGTATTGTTCTCAAGCTACATTACTGATATCGGATATTCGCTCATGATTAGGGCAAAAACAAAAGAGACATTAACTACGTTTCCATCATAAAAGTTCCACCAAGTCCATAAGACCTTTACAAGAAAAACAAAGAACCGATGATAGCAAAGACACCAGAAAGAGCCATGGGGGCACCGTTCATGCAAGCAGCGCCGGCGGTGGCGGTGGAAGTAGGGGTGGTGGACTCAGTAGTAGTGGTGGAACGGGTGCGGGTGGTTACAGAGCTGGAGGATGTAGCGGAGGATGTAGCGGTGGAGGTGAGAGTGGTCGAGCTACCATCAGTTCCAGTGGTGGTGATAGTTGTTGTTGACTCTGCGGGAGCAGTGGTGCTGATGGTGGTGAGGGATCCATCACTAGCAGTGGTGGTGTACTGGTAGGCCTGGCCGGGGGTAACAGTGCTGAGATCAGTGGCAGAAGCAAGCTCGCTGGAGACACTGCTGGCAACAGAGGAGACGGCACCGGCGGCGGTGGAGGAGGCGCTCTCAAGGGCACTGGACGCTGAGGCAGAGGCGGAGGCGAGCTCGCTGGAAAGTGAGGCAGAGACACTCTCAATGGCACTGGATGCAGAGGCAGAGGCACTTCCGAGGACGCTTGATGCACTTTCACCGGCAGAAGAGGTGGCAGAGGCAACAGGAGCAACACCAGTGAAGGTGGTTACTGTTCCATCGGCCATGGTGGTAGTCATGGTAGCAACTCCTCCGGCAGCAGAGCTGGCACCACCAGTAGCAGAAGACTGTGTGTCAACGGCGGGAGGGTTGCAACGAGCGTAAGGGTCGGTGTATTGACGGTTGCAAGGAGCTACCATACAACTATTAAAATCATAACCATTAGCATTACGAACTGACATGATATGATTCTTAAAAGCCTAACTTACGCTCCAATAGCACCGTACCAACTCTGAGAGCATGGTGTGAGAACGGAGTTGTAGTTTTCGATGTTATCACATCCAGCACACTGGTCCTGGGCCATAGCCCTAGAGACAATTCCGACGGCGAGAAGGATGATTGAGTTCTTCATGATGATATCGTTAAAGTGTCGTGAATTCTTGAGGAATTGAGAGGATGGGTGGCGATGATGATGGAGCGACTGGATGATTGAGCTGGCTGAGGAAGTGACAAGAAGAGGGAGGGAGGTGCAGTTATATGTAGGCTGGCCTGTGATCGGAGGGTGCCAACATGTACCCAATACATAGTATGTTAACGATAGGTATGACGGAGAACTGCTATTCCCTGTCGGTGCGCATGCCCTTGCGCGGATGCTGTCCAGAGTGGAACAATAACACGGGAAGTTGGCTGGCCAGAAAAAAAAGAAAAAAAAAGAACTTGGGAACTGTCCCGATATCCTGATAGGGAAGAGTGCAAACACGTAAGACCCCACAACTGTTCAAAAGGATGAAATCTTTGCAGGACAGCCAAAAAGGAAAACGCGGAACAGGTCAAGCAAGGTATGAAAACTGAAGCTAAAATGTCCAAAACTCTTGTATCCGTACCTCATCGGTGAATCAATCAATCAATCTTGCTTCTACGAGAAACCCAGCGAACGAAAAATAAACCTGCCTTAGTTGCATGATGAACTACAAAGCACCCCATGTTTGTTGTCAAATCTTTCTCCTGCCAAGTCGAGGGTTTTTTCAAAATCCGTCTACCTACCACTACATGTAGTCCAGTGAGGGACACAGACCAGCCCTCCAACCTCTCGCTTTTGCGTTCCTATTTCCTATGTACGAAGACAAAAGTTCCACCTGCGGGGAGTACGACATCATTGGTTGGGTACCGACAGGCAGCAAGCCATACCCATATCGAGTCTTTGTCTTTTGAAGTGGCGGTGATAGTGAACGTGGTGGTTCATGCAGATGTCTCAACACAACTGCTCTTCTTACGCAACACTAGTAGATCCCTACCGATTTGGTAAAGCTCACTGGTCAAGCCACCCATCTATCCCTCAATCAGCTGTTTCTCCGGGTGAATGGCTCCGAAATATATTTACCACTAGCAATTTAGCGATTGGCGAGTTGTGGGGAAAAAAAGGGAAACAAAAAATAATTCAGCCTCCTGCTTAATTCTGGTTCGCTGCGAAGCTGGGCCGGAAAGTCATGGTGATGAGAAACTTGATCAAGGTCTCAGGCGTAAATTTCCATTTCCTTTTTCCTTTCTTCCAACGAACGAGACAGCATACAAGATTGCGAGCATGAGGGTGAATTTACTATATCCCTCCCGGTTCAACTAGATATTTATCAATTGACTGGGGGGTGTTCACCTCATGTCTTTGGGCGTGAACGGAAGAGAAGAAGAGAAGGGGCTCCCTAGGTTTGTCACTCTACCTACCCTAAATGCAGTTGTTACAGATCTTCCTGCTAATAGCAACAGAGAGTACGTGTGTGTTATGCGTGTTCACCTATTGGCTAAAGCCTGCACATTCGCTGGACTTTCAGAGGGAGACGGTTGTCAATGATCCTGATTCAGATTGTTGATGTGGTGGTCATTTTAGGCCAGGAACACATCCAGTTCGTGTAACGTTGCGCTAAATCTTCGATAAACATGTGGGCGGGCGCTGTATGCGTGGGTACCTGCCTTCATTCGCCGCATATTGATATCGTGAAAGGGCTGGCTGGTCTGTCTAATTGAACCCTTACATTCATTCCATTTTCTCACTAGACTACCAAATTTCAGAGATTCCTCTCGAATTTCCACAAACACACCCTTCGCAGCGCGTTGTAGTGGCGATTTCAGTACCCTTTTCACGACGAGTGCAATCGTGTGTTGTGCGGGAAACTACCTAAGCTGAAGATGGGAACTTCGGCTTGAACGCGTAGAAGCCCGGACATTGGCCAGGGCCCAATCAATTGGGTCTCGCAGGGGGACGAGACTGGCCAAAGCAAAATGAAGCAAGAGCCACAGACTAACCAGGAAGGTTAAAACTATCACTGCATAGCCACTCCTTAGCAGTAATCGCCACCAGCATGGCGTCAATCTGCCGTCACTCGTCACTCGTGCGTGCAGATCGACTGGCTGGAGCCTGGGGGTGAGAAGAAGCGTGGGAGAGTGGTGTGTAGTGGGCTCCAGGCCCTCACTCCTGGGATGCCTGGGGTTGATTTTACTAGGAATAGAGGATGCGCGACGTCACTGTTCACAAGGTTTAGAGTCGTTAAATTAAAAAAGGCTCGGGTTTTGGCTGTGTGGTCTAACACCTGGTAGAACAGGTGTCGCGAATGCCCATCCTTTCCTACTTTTCACGACTCCAAGAAAGCTTCTCCCGGTAGCGAGGGTTGGTAAACAAGATTTAACTTAATGGGCACATGGTGCGCAGGCATATATTTGTGCCGATTAATATTCTAATACCAGATACCCAGGCACTCCTCCGTGTTCTACGACCTGATCGGTCCTGAGGAGGAGTGGTGAGGCCGAGAGGGTGAGGAAGACCACCAGACGGAGGAGTTGGGGGCAGATTGAGCCAGAACCGAGGCGCTGGCTCGGTATAATCGATCGTATGGGGCCGGAAATTAATATCGACGGCGACGGGCACGGGGAGAACAGCGACATGGTCGATACAGGTCGAGATTGGAATCACAGAAGCCCTAGTCTTAGAAGCGAATTTGTCATTCCCACCACTAGCACAAGATCGTTGACAATCCCAGCAGAAGAAACCTCAGTAGCGAACGGCCTCGAAGGAAGGCACTGGCAGCGGCACTCCTCCTCCGACACCACGAGGTCTGCGACGGCGAGATCCATCAGCACCAACCACTCTAACCTCAATCTCGATCTCCCGGCTAGTAGGGCTAGTGGTGGGAAGCGAGAAAAACTGAAAACTCTAAAGGAAAACGCCGTAAACGCGTTGCGGCACAATGGCAATAGCGCCGGCAAGGGCAAGGGCAAGGGCAAGGATAACTCTAGATCTCAATCTCACTCTCCCGCCGCGGGCGGAGTCGGGTCCAGCGAGGGAGATGAGAACGTGGATGGCCGAGCAGAGGACGAGGACAAGGCCAGCTCGAAGTCAAATAACGCGGCTTCCCCGCGTCGGCAGTCCCTATCCTCCAAGCTAGCGCACCCTCGCACAGCCCTGAAGGCGTCCCTGGCCCACATTGTCGCGGGGAAACTATCCACCCTGAACGATCCGTATATTCCGCAGGAAGCGGAAGTAGAGTTCGTCGAGGCCCACGAAGAGCGCAATGAAGCTCTAAAGGATGGGTGTATGGAAGACGTAGAGGACGCCGAAAAGAGGATTGAGGGGCTTCACAGGCAGCGCAGGAACATGCAGGTGAACTGGACAATTCACCGGCATGTGACAAATGTCACAGTGGCTCCTACCAAACAAAGGATTATCGAGAAACCGCGCAAAAGCGACTTTATTATCAGAGATGAGTCCGGGAACCCAATTATAGAATTTGAAAATGGCGGCGAGAGAATAGACTACGTCAAATGGCTCGGACAAGTACGTCCCCCTAGTCCTACTATGTCTTTTCTCTCTTTCTTCTATTCCACCCGCAAGCTTCAATTCCTTCCTAGCTACAATTCTTTGGGTAGCCATGTAGAAAAAACATGTCGTTTTGTAGATTTCCGTCCATGTATGATTCTCAACATTTGGGACCCTATTATAGTACCTTCTGTACGCGACCCAAGATTATACGGCCCAATATATCGATTACCGTGAGCCCAGGTCCTTGAGCTTAGAAAAGGCGCGTTCTAGCATCGAGCGACTCTTTGTCTCGATCGCACCCTGGCAAGAATGGCTCCTCCACGTCTTCCGCGTTTATCGGTGGGGAAACCCATATGAGACGTTTCGCTGGCTCTGTCTCTACATGGTTCTATGGCACTACTCATACCTGATAACATTCCTGGTAAATATAAAAAACAACCTGCTATGCAAAATAAAATATTGGTGCTTGCTTGGTCGTGCTTTTCATACGTTTGAAAGTAGCTCTAATTCATGTGGGGTGTTTTTTTTCTGGGGGAGCTCCGTAGTGGTTCTGCGTTATCTACTATACACTGAGGCGATACATTTATCCAGAGACCGAAATTGAGGACCTCAGGGTAGCGCTTGAGAGGGTGAGAAACACAGACAGAAAGGCTTACGATCTTGGGGATGTTATCGTACACAAGGGACCGCAGGAATGGCTCCTCCCGCTGGCAGATACAATTGGGCCGTGGGCGCAGATTCAGCTGGGCGACCTGGCCGATCTACTTGAGATATTGGAGAAGTACGCAGCTCTCACACCAATCCCGCTTTTCTCACAATTTCAGCCCTCCCTTCCGAGAAACAAGACCTACCAGAAACTACCTCAGCAGCAGCATTTGAAACTGATCTCCCCTTCCCACCCGCAGCTTCTACGAATGGCGCAATCCGGTACTTACCTCGCTCTCGCTATCCCTCTTTACCAGTGTCTTCCTATTCGGCCTCATTGCGTCGCCCGAGTTCTGCCTCAAGGCTACATACTTCGGCCTCGGGGTTGCGTTCTTTGCGTGGTTCCCGATATCGAGTAGGTACCCCAAGTACCGTCTTGTCGTGTCGCCCGTCCGCTGGCTCTTCTGGAACATCCCCACCCACGCGGAATGGGCGTTCCAAGAGTTGAGCGCGGAAGCGGAGAAGAATAGAGAAAAGATCACAGCGAAGGACGTAGAGAAAGCATTAGTGAAGAACCAGCAGGCAGAGCCACCCGATTGTGTAGATAGTATCAATAGCGGTACCGTCATGCTTCCAGCCGCTGCCGCCGCCGACGGGACCGGGAGCCTCACCTCTACGCTAGCAGAGGAGCAGCGCGATACCGCCGTCCTTGCGGTCGCCGAACAGAAGCTGGCGCGCCCGCTCGACGCATATGTGCGCGAGTACGCAACGTTCAACTGCCGCTGCGGGCTGAACCTAGGTAAGCTCGTAATCCACCCCTCCGGTCTCCGGTTCGAAAGCCTGCGCAAGCGCAGGACAATCTGGGACCGCGCATGGATAGAGCTCGTAGAGATCAAGAAGGTATGTCTTACACATTTATCTACAATTACACGCGTAATGACGCTCGGTCATGGCTTATCACTCGTAACCATAGGTGAAGAGCTCTGAGCCCGTGGGGAGGCTGCTGTCGCTGGAGGGCCTGGAGATGGTTTTTACGGATAGTTCGAGGGTGAGGCTGGGGGATATGGTGGATCGCGGGGAGGCGTTTAAGTGGATATTGGGCTACTCGAGGTTGAAGTGGCGATCGAATAATTGAGGGTAAAGGTAAAACGTATATAAAAAATACATATCGTGGATCTGGTTGGTTGGCCGTTGTTTGTGCAACATTACATGTATGTTGCACCCTATCATATCGTGGATACACTACACGAAAACAATTTTAAATACATGTACTCAAGCGCCGGCCGGCCTCCGTGGACTAGCTGGCTGGCGTTGATTTCATTGCTAGTATTGCTACCTGGAAGGCAAAAGTTATACTTTCAAATCCTCTCTCTCCGCGCGCGCATCGTGAGGACTGAGCTAAGGACAAGATTTGAGCCAATACTTTAAATGGGGGCCAGTGCACTCCAGATCTACACAGAACCAACGGGCGTGAGAATAACGGTCTAATTTATTCAAAAATCTCCACCGTGACTAGCAATTCCGATAGATAATTTGCTAGTCCCGGGGGGTTCACGATGTATACTAGTCTAGAGTCTAATGCACAGGCGGGCACGGGCGCGGACGCTAGAAGTTAGTTGTATTTTTGTTGAGATCTCATCGTGGGGGGGGGGGGGGGGGACATGAGATATGCACGCGCGGTTAAGTTTAATCTGGCGATTATGGATTAATTTCCCAGCAGGAAGCATGGGCCCAGTGGGGTGCCAGTTATCGTTTATCTGATAGATAGAAAGCCGCGGCCGGGGTGGGTGATAAAAGATAGGGGTTAATTAAACCTACATACACTTATAGAGACAACGGGCGATAGGTCTAAGCTGGTGAGGTTACTTCCGGTCCTGATTTTGAATTTAGGAGGATTGCATGGTTTATCCTATCCTATACTACACTACAGTTGTTTGGTTTATTTGTTTGCAGACAGATGACAGGTAGTTAAGGGCATCTTTACAGTTCATCTACTTATCCAAAGTATTGGCACCCAAGTACCCACCGCGCGCGTGGGGGCTGTTTTACTACAGAGAGGTGAAAGTCGAGTCTATGGCCACCATACTACCATATCACCACTTCTCCTAGATGCAATTTTTGCTTCATCCCCATACTCTATACTCAGGGAATTGACGTGCACGTGTCTATGCCCATGGCCAACAGTTGGAATAGTAAACATATCCAAGCATCGGCCGGACGAAAGACAACTCACCAAAACACGACCGAATCGTATCGTCCAACCGCTCCTAATGGTGTTAGACAGGACAGGGGGCTGTTTACGGGGGATCCTGGCTTGTTTGCCGCGGGCCAGCTAGTTAAGATAGTGACAGCTGCGGCCGGGTTGTGTGCTTCTTGCTTGATGTTTGAACCCAGCATCCTGGATATGTGGCCGGGGGTGCTGTGTTGTCTATTGGGACTACCTACTCTACTGCTAGTGAATGTCTGTTGGTAGGATGGAGGGTTTAAGCTGGCTGGCTGTTTACATGGAGGAAGCTAGCTGGCCACCTAGAAAGCAGTTGCACTTCGGACGATATGGTCAGTTTAACGCGGAACGCTGCAAACAAAGCCGTAGCGCATGTCTCGGTGCTGAGAGACACTTATGGTTGTGCCGTTGGTGCTTCTAAACTTCCTATTCATAGAATCTCACTCACCCTACCCGGCTGGAGACAACGGAGAATGTCTGCAACACAAAGGCTCAATCCCGGGAGGGAGGTTTCAGGCACCGGATTTTGGGGGTTGTGTCCCTCCTGGCTCCCGGCCGTGGGTATTGTACCTTCCTCTTATTTGGCGGTTCTCTCCTACCCGCCATTCGATTTTAGATTTCACAGGGTATACCTTGAGCCCTGGATCTTGCTTGGTAGCGGCGCCGGGTAGGGTCATGGACCCGGCCGGGTGTTGCGGCCGGTGCGCTGCGGTACGGCCGGGCGTTAGTCGTGTTATCGCTCCGGCATACCTTTTGAAGCGCCCAGACTTTCGCTGGGTATGCGGTCCGACTTTCTATAGCACGGTGGGTGTCTGACTTGAGAAGCGGCGGGCGGCGGGCGGCGGGCAGGCGCTTTGGGATGAAGGGTGGGTGGTGGTTGTGACGCGGTGAGGTGATATGAGGTGGTTGAGGTGATGTCAATGATATTGTGATTGAGACCTAACCCTTGAATTGGTAAAATATATTTTTTTATCATAGCTCTCCTGGTTTAGGTGCATTACTATAGACAGGCTGTCTAGGAAGGAAGGAAGAGATGTCGTTGACAGCTTGACTATATGCAGCCGATGCCTTGGCACCCCTTCCTTCCTCCTCTCGCTCACTCACGCTTGATGTGGATCTGGAAATTGTATACTTCTGACTTCTAGAGGATGATGGTCTCTGTCAGAAACTTTTGCGCCCTGCATGTAGTCTCGGATTTCAGCTGCATATATATATGATTTTCGGGGTTTGGGGGCGTGTGCATATGGCCTATAACGGGTGCTGCTAGATAAAAGTGGAGATCTTCATAACTTACATGCTGGAGGAAAGGTATTATGCACCCTAACAGCCCTAGCCCATATTTACAGAGGGCGGGGATTCGGTCGTTTTAATTTGGCTATTATGAATAGGGCTAGAGAGGGGTGGAGGAGGGGGTGTTCTGGTGACTTCAATATAGAGATGTTGTTAATATTATTCTTCTCTGGCCCCGGGCCCAACTATTATTAGTAGTGGGAAAGGTTGCAATGATAATATCGCTAGAATCAGAAATCTTGTGTTTCCTAATGTGCCAACTCTAATACCCCCGTTAGTAGTTCCTTAACGCCACTATGATTGTACCCTTTAGATAACCACGGCTGTGCTTAATATATAATCTAGGGACCTCCCGTGGTAATTGAGCGGGTAAAATTGATAGTGGTGGGTTGGGCGATTTAGTGGGGTGTTGAGTGGGATGGATATGATGTATCTAGGCGTCGTAGCTAGCGGGATTTAGTTAGTAGGTTACAATTAGAATCAGTGTCAATATAGGTGTTGGGTGGAAAAAGATTTGTGCTTTAGAAACTACGTTAAGTGGAAGTCTTGTTAGCACATTGCTAACTCAGAAATATTAAAACGGAGTTTTGGTCTGCCAAACACGAGCTCAGTATTAATGAATTAAATAAACAAAAAAACGAGCTCAGTACTATGTCGGTGATTTTGTTACAGTTTTTGGTAGGGGATGTGTGTTGCAACGAGAAGAAGTAGGTCTGACCCAGCTTCTCAGAATTCAGTTATGTTAATGAGATTTCCTTAACAAAGTGGCTTGCCAAACGGGCCAACTTATCAGATAACGGGGTTTTGGGAAAAGTCCATTGCATAACGGCATTTGGGAGTCTTAACCTCCGTTTAGGTGGTTGCCAAACGCGCCCTAATGAGTTAAACCAAAAAAAAAAAAACAATGTCTACCAAACGAAATGGAGAACGAGTGATACCCTATGATTGAATATCATATAATCGACTGCGTGCGTGGAAATGGAAACAGATATGGGACATACCAATGATGGATCTAGATGGTATATATAGCCGTTTTAAAAAGTGCAGAGGTGTATGTATATGTGTATGTACGTGATTTGATATAGACTGAGATTTATATAGAGAAAAGACGGTATAGGAGATGTGGGCGGGGATAGTAACGATAAAAGGGAACCGTGTTTGTGCTTATGAATATTCCTCAAACTGGCCACTTGTTACACTAACTAGTACTCTCCGTGAACTGACGATATCGGTTTGATTATTTTAAGAGGTAGGGTTAGGACGTTATATATATGCACCAAATCTTGGGGGGTACGAACCTACAGGCGCTCTGTGGGGGTGTTTGTAATTGGCTTGGAACACTAGATGTATTTAACCGGATGTCTTGGTCCAACTAAAGTTGGGTTGCGATATCATCCAGCTAGATGGCTGGTTATCTTAGATATGATTACACTTTATATCGTTGCACCAAACAATATTGCTAAGCAAGTTATCACTACCTACTAGGGCTAGGTAAAAAAAAGCTTTTTTGATTCGTGGGTGAAGTGGAAAACAGTGGTCTATTCCGATTCCTATGCCTTTCTCGCCGAGCAGGATCATTATGAGGATTATCGTTAGGGTTATACGTTAGTTACATGTAGTTGGGGTTAATTAGGTTTAGGTAGGGCTGGTCCACCACCACATATAAATTGGAGGGTACGCAAGTCGTTTGGTGTGGGAAATGGCTGCTCACTTCTGTTTCATTTCTGTTTCATTTTTTTTGGAAATATGTTTTTGATGGGTTTGGGCCATTTTTACTAATCGAGGGGAGGAATTATATCACTAACACCTTTAGAGGCTGACTGTACTTGGGGTTGGTTTCACGGTTTAGGCCCTGCTTACATGTATGCTTTCTTTGTCACGGCAACTCTGTGCTTTTACTCCACAAAATAAGTTGAGGGTTCCCTATTGTCAACTACCAGAGATACAGGAACTATCCTCGTTGTGTCTTGCAGGATATAGTGAATGGCCTAACTGATGTAAGAACCTCCCATGTTTTGAAATTAGCTAGTCGCATATCTAGTAGGTCTACATCAATATGGATATAGTATACATACAAGTAGTTTCCGGCCTTCGGCCGGTACTATATGTATATCAATCAGTCCAATATACAGGCAAACCGCTTTTCGGCTTATTTCTCTATTTACCTGTCAGTCGGGGCTCTCAGGCCACTGCACGGCCCTCGACCCCTCTTGGCAGGCAAAGTCCATCACTATATCTAGATCTGCTCTGGTCAATATGTGCCTTTTCTGATATCCCCGATATATCAACGGATAGGTCAGACAATTTCTCCAGTTAAAACTACAGGTATATCCCTTTAACAGCCACCAAGCCGCTAAAATCGAACTACTAATCGATTCCCAGAACCAGTAGAAACCTTATTAACACTCTAACAACACTCAGCACAATACCCTATGTTAATATCCAACACATGTTTCAAGTGAAACAAAAACATCCCTCAATGAACCAATCAGAAGACTATAAAAGCACATTGCATATGCAGGTTATAATTATATACTTATTAGATATCTATAGTTGAAACACTACAGTATATATGAATTGCTGCTACCTTGACCGCCAGTCTGCAAAAGTGCTAGTAATGGACCGTGAAAGTAGAACCGGTTTGACCCACGCAACACCACAGATCTACGAACGATCGACTAGGCCCAAGTGATATATAGGTGCGTACATATCCATCCCAGTGTCTCTCCCTCATACTGACAACCCTTGTGACCAGGTCCCAAAATCCAACTGGTGGTCTCTCGGCGGGCGAGAAGGGAAGGGTGGGGACGCTACGGGTACCAACATGCCATGGATCTGCAGCTTTCCCAAGGCTCCTTACACGCATCACAATGGCAGCTACATAGTAATTGCACATGCATCGGGGATACGCAGTGCAACCAGTGGTGATGATGACTTCGCAGTGCGGCGGGGAGGGGGGGGAGGAATACTTCCCACAACCCTCTAAGATTATTTATAAGTACATCTCTGTGCTAATAGTGTAGGGCATACATGTAGTCATAATATATGGATTAGATCTTATGTCGATTTGGTAAACGTTCCTCCCATCCTTCAAGAGCCTTGAAGATCATTACAAGTGCTGCATGGCTGGCGCCAAGCCAAGGTAATGATCAAAAGTCCGATATGTCGACCCTTCGATGTTTCACACCCAAGCTTTCTCTCTCTTCACGAAAATAAGCAAACATGGGAAACAAACAATGCGACTTCACCCGTCCCCACGTCTATTTCTGAACAAGAGGAGAGAGAGAAAGAAAAGATAAAAACAAAAAGAAGAAAAAACCGCCCTGCCCTGTCCCCAACCCCGACCTACCTACTCACATAAGCCATAATAACATCTAGGGATTGAACCAGCGCATTTCGGATTTTTGTTGTCTAGCTTTTTTGGAATCTCAATTTGTGCTGTTCATTTCCACCTCCCTATGAATTTTTCCCCCGAGACCGCTCTCTAATCACCCCCCGTATCCCCGCCCTGTCTCTCCACCACCGCCCTCCCCACACCTCGGCTCCAGTCTTCCGTATCGTCGCACAACAAAATAAAGCAAGCCCAGCCAACCTATGAAACAAATTGTAGAACGTAAAAGAAATGAGGAGATAGCAAGAAAGTAGTAACACTCATCACGCATGTATCAATCACAACATCCCGGCCACGACCTAGAAACCATAGTGATGGGACGAACGCCGCCTAGTATTGCTAGGTGAAAGTGGTGGCCTCGAGTAATCCACCACTACCGCTTCAAGGGCATGGCCCAGAACAAATATGCTGGTGATGAGAATCGTGCACCTGACGTCATTTCTTTTGATATTAACCATGACAAGTCAGAAAGAAAGAACGCCCCTTGCACGTCAATCAATCAAGAAGCGAAAAGGGAAGCAACAAAGAAGTAATAGAAAGGAAATAAAATGTAACTTCAACAGAAACAACATGCCCAGAAAGTAGTATAAAAGATGAGTTGCCAAGAGCACAAAACGGAAAAAAATAAAATAATTTGTGATGCCGACATTTCATTTACTTTAACAGCAACAATTCCCAACGCCGGAAATTTTTGTTTTGCTTCTCTAGTAAAATGAAGGCTCTATGCGACACCTACCACCTTCGCGCCTTCATCCTGAATGTTCAATGCGTCCATTTGCCTCTGGCTTTCTCCGGTACTATCATCTGTGATCTGCATTGGCGATCCGCCTCTTACTACCTGCTGGCTCTGTGACGACAAGGATAGGGATTTACCATCACTTGTTGGTCGGGGTTTCCGATTCAGAGTTGCCTTCTCCTCCAACATTTTCCACACGCTCTCTCTGTCGGCGAGTCTTTGGGGTGCGGTTTCTTGATCGGTTGCATACGCGGCCGTGCATTCGTCAAAGAGCGTTGGGTTAATCTCCATAAATAGCTTCATGGCGTTATATACCATTCCATGGATTGTCCTAAACGGCCGTCAATAAGAGGTTTATTTAATTAAAAAAATCGAGGGCATACCTGTTCCAGTGACCCTTGGAGTTTTCATAAAGCGGTGCAAACATAATTGGTAAAATGACTTCGACATTGTCGCTCACCAAGTTACAAAAGTACTCATTGTTCCAGAAGTATAGCGCTCTCTCAGCGACCTAGTAGTATAGATTAGATAAACTGCGGCTTTTCTTTCTAATAATAGGTAATAAGAAGCATGCCTGGAAATGTGGGCTAGCAACGCTCTTAGCTAGTTGATGGAAAAGTGGTTCCTGAACTTTAGCAAACTCTGCCGGGTCCATCACTTCAAAAATATCCTCGACTTCGTTCAAGTACATGACCTCTTTAGTACTATTGACCTTGGGCCAGTATCTTAACAAACCGAGCACGACCTGTTTTATTATCAAGTCAGACCAGATCCATACTTATCACAGTAGGGAAAAGGATCGAAAATAATATACCTCCTCAGTCAAAGCCGCATCCTTCTCCAAAAACTGTACTATACAGTATGCCAGCTGTGGGTGGTACATACTCAAGCTCTTGACTTTGTGTAGAGGTAAGAGAACCCTGGTCAAGAACAACTTATGCTCCTCCTTGAGTGGCAGGGCAAAACCGTTGATAATACTTCCCAAGATCTCCAATAATTCGGCAATCCCATTGAAGCGCTCTGTCTCATATACAAACTGGAAAAAGACGTTGTTGATAGATCGTCGGATGTATGATCGGAGGTTGAGGAATTTCCCATAGATACGGTGGAGTGTAGTTTTCAAGAAATCGCGCTCTCGGGGATCCTCGGAGTCGAAAAGTTCAAGTAACTGTTTGCAAATATCAGTATTTAAAGGTTGCGCTTACAAAAGAGCTCGACTAACTTGGAGAACGAATTGGTGATCAATGTACTGTTTCGCAATGTTTGTATTGAAGTCTTGGCTTTCAATGAACCTCAAAAAGAATTCATAGACAACCTGAATATGCGGCCACGCAACCTCTAGAACAGGCTCGTCCTCTTCCGGATCAAAGGCGTCGCCCACAGGGTTCACCGGAGGTGGGATGGGTCTGAAGAGATTCTTGGCGAACATCTCTACAACTTTGGGGTACATTGGCTCATTGATGACCGAGCGGTTATTGGCGACATAATCAAGTAATTCATGAAGAGCCAAACGCTTAATTTCCTTGGACTTCATATCTGCGGAAGCATCGTTGAAATCAAAGATGACGTTGCATTGTTCAATCTTCTGCATGAACAAGTCTTGGCGCCTCTGAGGGGGTACCTCTGAATATCCAGATATTAGAAAGCCAGCCCAACAAATGCCCCAACTTTATAGGTTATAGCTACAAAGCGCCAATAAAACCTAGATAGGGACATACCATGAAATCCGGGCAACTTTTCTAGCTCCCTCTTCTCTGAGATATCGAACCTGGAACTATGCTGCCTCTTGGGCGTCTTCAGTCCCTCTGGGATCTGGTCTGCTTTGGGTGCTGTGTGTAGTCTGTCGAAAGCTACACCCTTTGCTCCAGCCTTTGGCGGCGCAAGGTCACCGGGCATGGTTTCAGCAGCACCTGGAGGGGGGATATGCTTCCAAACCAAGTCATGCATAAATTAGCGACCAGGCTCCCGAACCACCAAGCGGGAGGGGTGAGTGGGGGTTTGGGGGCGAGCATACAGGAGCTGAAGACGGACTAATAATGACTGATGGTGTAATCAGCCTTGACGGACTTGCTGCGATCTGTTGCTGTAAGTTCGCCAATGAAGCTGCCGATGATGATCCAGCGGGAGACTGGGTCGACGCTATCGAAGAGGCGGGAGAGGATGAGTCTTTGCTCTTGTGACTTGAAGCCTTGTCCCCATTTTCGTGACCATTACCCTTCTTGTCAGAGGTTGAGGATGACGAAGGAGCTGCCTGTCCGGGGGTAGGCGAGGTACCCTTCTCCTTCTTGGATGAGGTTTTGGACGAATCTTTGGTTCGAGATAACTAGTAATATCGAAGCAAATTACAGCAAGAGAAGGTTAGTAACAATGGGCCACTGTCCACCCCGTACCGCATGTTCATCCTGGAACAACGCAAGATCCAGGGAAATATGGGGAATGAGTGGAGGAAGGGGACATACACCCACTTTCTGCCTAAAGCTCTTCATCTTCGAATCCACCTAATGGCAACCGGGAGAGGTAGCAAAGGGCTGTTCTTAAAGCTCGAAAGGTCGGGAAGTTTAACAAACAAAGGAGCGACAGGGAAAGGAGGGGTTGCTGTTGCGTTGTGGGGCTCCGGATCAATCAATTCGTGAGAACCAGACAGCGGGAGAAGTCCTGATAGAGATGGTAAGGAGGGGGAAGAAGCGGAGGACACTGTACTGCCAAGAGGGACGTGTGTGGATTGGAGATGATTCAAGATGGGGGGTGTTGGGCGGGTTGAGTTGGGTGGGTGTGCCTGTCGTTGGATAACCACGGGGATGGGGGGGATTCGTAACGGGCGATAGAAACGAGACGTTTTGGCGGGACACAAACAACAGGATGACGGATGGTTGAGTTTGAGGGTGAGACCTTTTTTCTCTCCCTCTTTTGATGATTCAATACGCTATCACCTTCTCCCTTCTTTTTCTACTACTGCTTTTTTTTTTTTTTTTTTTTTTGCAAGAGGCTCGAGGGTGATTTATGATAGTTAGGGGTTGGGCAAGGACTGTTGTTGCAGTTACAGATGCTTGCTGATGAGTGCTTCTTCCTTTCCCTCTTGTTGTTATTGTTATTGTTATTACTAACTTGGCGAACAGATGTGCGAACGAGCCAACCGGGGAAGGAGAGGGGAATCCGGGGGGGGGGGGCGTATGCTTCAGTAAGATATTAGATCTCTCTTTCGTGGGTAAGGTAAGGTAGGAACTGCTGAGCACGAAGTCAGGGGCAGGATGGGCTCAATTGCGAGCGGGGCGCCAGCAACAGAGAGCTGCTACAAACAGAACCCAGGCAGCAAAAGAGATATGCAATCGTCAGAATGCCAGTGTAAACACAAAAAATGGTAGAGCTGCTCAGAGGAGCTGTTGTTGTACGTATGTAAGCCTACCTGAACACCACGCGCGGGGTTCGTGTTTGGTGGAGTGAGAAGCAGAAGCAGCCGTGTGTCTAATAACTGCAAGTTGGTTATCTCCCACTGATTCTCCTCCCACAGCAGCACATCCTAACCTGCAAATCGATCGTAGATGAGTGAGGTCGCGCTCAAACAGGGCACTTTAGCTCATGATGAGTCAGCATACTCCGCTAATTGTTTCAATAACGGGAATTATCATGAGAGCCCCCGCAGATCAAATAAGTCGAAAGGCATATGTAGAAAGAATATTATATTTCCTACACGAAAATAACTCAGATATCAAATATTACAGAGATTTCGCCACTCGTCTGCGTATCTGCGTTTTTATAACTTGCCGCCTTAACTGGTGGGGTGAGGTCGAGTGAGCAGCCGTGAATCACGTCACAACTCGCCTATCAATAGTATCGTAGCATCAAGTCTAGAAGTTACGTCAATAATCGAAAAGATAGGTCACAAAGGATATTCAATTGTCGCTCATTGGGCCTTTTTAAATTAATATTACAGAAATGGTCAACAGTTTTGTAATTTACCAGGCCCTCATCATGCGCACACGCAAACAAGCACAAAACTACTATGACATGCACTAACACTCGACACAATCAAAAATATTACCACGAACAACGTGGAAGAGAGGATTAAGACAGGTGGCTACCCATACAGAAGATTAATAAGAAAGATAAAAAAAAACAAAAAAACAATACGCCATTAGAATAATCGGTAGAGATAAACGCCCAGATAAGATCAGTTCACATCGCCCCCCCCAAAAGAAAGACCGCCCAAGTTACAAAAACCCTCCTCGTTATCTGTCATGTCAAATGAGAATCATCGCTAGAAAGGTGACAAAAGAAAGCGTGAGAAAGCGTGAGAAAAAGAGGTATCCTAAAAGATTGTGAACAAACATAAGAAAAAGTAGCACTTTTGAGTAGGTATAGTACTAAATGTTTACCAAAACACTGTAGACGTCGCATCGTTTCGCATGTACTCGTTAATCGTTAATTCTAATGGGCAGAATACTTATTGCAGTTGCCCTTTAACAATAGTATTCAAACAAGCGGCCAATTCCGTCATTTGGCCACAGCACCCCATCTGCCCTTTAACCCCTCCACCCAACGCCCATAGAGCACATCAGCCAGCTGATTACCGGCTGGCGTCGAACCCAAGTAATTATCATCATCGACCTCGTCGCCGAAGTCACTACTCTGCCTTGAACCCCTCCTCTTCTTTTTATGCGCGACATTGCTAGATGCTCGTTTGGTCCTTGTAATGACCTTAGGTGTCGGCTCCGGAGGCGGAGATGAAGATGCCGCCGTTAAGGTTTCACTAGAGAGGGAAGGCTTTGGTGTTATCATCTTTGCCGCTGCTTCTGCTGCTGGGGATTTCTGGAACGGCCTCGAGCTGGCCAACTGTCGAATAGGCTGATTTTGGGCTTGTGCTTCCGGCTGTGGCTTTGGTTGATGCTGCTGGAAACGTTCCATCATTGCACGCAAGAGCTCGTAACCACTCTCCGGATCTATGGCATCAAGTTGACTCCAAGCTTCGGCCAGGTTGGATGTTGCGGCAGCTGTAGCAGAATTGCCGTTCTTTATGGCTTTGTTTTCGACCTTTACTACCGTCAGAGTTTGTCTTTCCGCGCCAGGAAAACACAACTTACCTCAAGAAGCGTCTTCTGCACGACCTTCGAGAAAAGCTTTCTCCCCAATTGCCCCTCCTCCGTAGTTGGAATACTCATCACTGGTTTCTCACTCTCCAGCTTCAATTCCTTCTCCTGATGGTGAACCGCCTCATAATTCCTGGGTGTATTCTCCGGCGCCCTCTTAAACTGCCGAACCGTTGACGGCGTCTTCCCATAATCTGTTTCGGCCGTCATAGGCCGCTCCGGCCTAACAGGCTTCTGATTAGTCCTTGTAGGGGTAGTCGACTCCAACACCGTCTTTTCAGTTGGTTTCTTTGCAGTTGAAGATCGCCTGCGCTTCTGGTTATGGGCTTTGGCTGCAGATTCCGAGACCTTCCGAGCCTCAGTGACACTGACGCCGCTCTGGGGGGCGGCATTGAGGTTGAGCTTTTGCAACGCCGAGTTCATGCTACGTTCTGAAATAACTTCGCTGGCTCGCATGGCGTTCCTGTGGTGGTCGATTCGGATGGTGCCCGAGTGAGGGTTGGTGCGAATTGTGTCAAAGTCCCAACTCTCTTCGGGCTGGCCTCCAAAGGTGTTCCTATGAGCACTAAAGTAAGCAACTGCAGGTTCAATTGGGATCCAAAGGCAACGAACATAGTCTCTTCGTAAAGCCTCGGGTGTGATTTCGTTACACCCCGAGCATCCCTCTTCAACTGCCAAGCCTCCCTCCTCTCAATTAAGCTCTGCAGCTCTTCGACTCTTCCGGCGTTCTTAATGAACCTATGGCTCAGAAGCTCCCTCGCACTAGCTCTCTGGTTAGGGTCCTTCACTAAACACCTTTCCACAAAATCTTTGAAATCCCTACTCCAGCGATTACCCTCCAAGCGCGGTGCAGGCTCTTTTGGAATGAGAAACAGCACTTTCATCGGGTGTATTGTCGAATGCGGTGGCTCTCCATTGCACAATTCCATGGCCGTGATTCCTAGCGACCATATGTCGGCTTTGAAAGAGTACGGATTCTCCTGTGAGATGACTTCCGGAGCCATCCAGAACGGCGTGCCGACGAATGTGTTGCGCTGCGATTTGATATTGTTGAGTTGTGTAGCAACGCCGAAGTCGGCGAGCTTGACCTGGCCCGTTCCCGAGAGGAGGATGTTCGCCGCTGTTAAATCATGAAGTAAGCAATTGTTTCATTAATATTTATAAATTGAGGTTTACCTTTGATATCGCGGTGAATTTTCCCTTCTCTGTGTAGATATTCAAGGCCCTGCAGAAGCTCTCGCATAACGATCGCAATATGTGCTTCACAGAACGGCGCCGGTTTCAACTACCTCAACGTTAGCTACTACATATAGTTACCTAGCACTCTAGAGGTAGCAAGGAATCCTCGGCTTCACATACCAAATCCAGACACGACCCACCTGCCAAATACTCCATAACTACAATCATTATTAGCTTTCTTTCCTCTAACCACAAATCACCCAACACCAACGCCTATGATGTCAACAACAACAACGACAACACAGCACAACACAACTTACTGATCCATAACTTGAAGCCGCGAACAAAGCTACCGTAGTATTGTGTGACGAACGGGCTCGCGCAACTACTTAATACCGAGATCTCCTGCTGAATCTCCCGGATGTCATCTGCGCTCGACTCGAGATCAATCTGGAAAAAAAAGCAATATATTGTCAGTAGGCTAAATCCTCGTTTGGGTTTGTGCTCGTGGTGGTGTGCCACGTCAAAAAACAATTAATGTGAGGGATGGGTTGGGTTGTAGGTACAGTACATGTTTGATTGCGACGATTGTGCCAGACTCTTTCTCAATTGCTTTGTACACGACCCCGAAACTACCGCCTGTTTAGATTGGTTAGTAAAAAAAAAACTTTAAATTTATTTTTTTATTTGATGTTTTTATGTTTTTTTTTTTTAATTGTTATTGTTTGATGGGATGGATATGGGATTGAGAGTGTTTTCTGGGGGGGTCTTGTGTAACTCACTCCCAAGTTCCTCCAACACCTGGAAACTGGATGCTAGAACATCAACCGACGTGTTTGTGTAGTTGACGGGCATCCTACTACAATCTCTCTCTTTGACCGCGCTCTTTTCTCGAGGTCCCCCCTGGGCGAAAGGGTTTGAGTGTAGTAGGTAGGGTTGGGGGGGGGGGGGGGGTTGTGTGTGAGTGTGGTGGTGGTGTGTTGAATGAGGAAAAAGAGAGGTATAGTGTTGTTTCAATCAAACAAACAAAAAGTATATGAAGGAACACCGAGCTCTGGAAGGAAAATGGATATAAAGGTAAAGTAGGTAAAGTAGGGTTATGTAGGGCGATTGATATGAGAAAGTGATGTTCAGACTGGGGACTGGGGGGGGGGGGGGTGTGGAGTGTCAGTCAGTCTAGTTAGAGTGTGGGTTAAAACGGAAGGGTAGGTAGGTTAGGTAGGGTGTGGTAGGTAGGTGTTGGGCTGGGTTGGGTTGGGCTTCCGAAAACACCACCACTACTCGGAGTCTCTAGAGTCTGCTATCTTTTTTTTTTTTAGCTAGAGACTCGTTCGGGAAGACGCATCGTGGTGTTGTTTTGATTAAAAAAAATTGTGACGCTGTTGCTGTGGTTACCTTTCCTGCCCTTTGTTCGTTCGTTCATCCTTTTCCAGCCCCCCAGCCCAGCCCAGCCCAGCCCCCAGGCTCGCTCACCATCCAGTAGACTCTAGAGTACCCATGCAAGGGGCGGTCCGAGGCAAGAGCTAAGCTTCCGATTTGATGCTTGCTTTGGGGGGGGGGGGGGGGGTCTGGGCAGTGTTTTTGGCTTTCGCGGATCGCGCATCAGTCTGGGGGTGTTTTTATTTTTTTTTTCGTCTGATGATTTGGCGATTCCTACTCTACCTATTCTAGACGCGTTTTTTTTTCCGTGTGTGTTGCTACATATTCGATATCTGTCATGCCCGCCCGCCCGCCCGCCCGCCCGCCCGCCCGCCCGCCCGCCCGCCCCCATGATCCAGATGCAGCCATGGATACATGTAGATACGGAACGGACAGACCAGACGGGGGCGCCGGGGCGTTTCAGCTCGTGTGCTGATTGTTTGGTTTTCACGTTTGGGGTTTAGTGCTTTTTTGTTTGATACTCGCTCATCCCCGTCCTCATCCTCAACCCTATCCCTGCTGTGTCCCCCCCCATGGGCCATGGCACCCCGGTGTGAGAGCAGAACATGGAGTAACCGTGGAAGGGCTGAAGACCAATGATCTGCGCTAGCTACGTTTTGGGAACTAGCTAATTAATATACTCTACCCTACACGTATATAACAAAGCAGGCATGGGTTGTCTGTACTCTGCTTTGGCCGGGTGCGGGTTATACTCTACTCTGGGGCAATTTCGTGAAGAGTGATTACCGTATGGGGACATGCCATTGATAGGGAAGTGCAATGAATGAATGAATGAATGAATGAATGAATGAATGGGGAAGAGCATGAGGAATGTGAAGTGCTCTAATGTAGAGATGCAGCTCCCAGCCACATGGTGCTGTGGTTGAATTTGTGTTGTTGTGCTCACGTCAATTTTGGGGCCCTCACGCATGCAGGGTAGATGGGGAATTAAGGGTTGCTTGAAAGTGCACTTAAGTTGTGGTGTTGCATATGCCATTGCATTGGACCTACATGGCATAGCATAGCGTATGTAGGTAGATACGCAATTAAAGTTTTATGGGGAAAAAAAGGGTCTGCTCTATATAAGCTGGGCAATATCTCCTGGGGCCCACGATTATTCAATGGACTCAACATTATGGAAGAGTTTCAAGTCTACAGTAGCTATGGTCTAGAGTTATTTACTATGACACCGGCCAGCGACAAGTCCACAAGTCATCCTAATTCTGCACCCTATATATGTCACCACACCCCAATTGGCCAAACCAAAACTGCACCCTGTTCCGGAAGGCTTACTGCCTAAATATTTGAAATTTCTGTTTCAATCCCCCATAGAAAAAGAAAAGAAAAAAAGCTACGTAGAAGATGATTATAAGAAAAGGAAACAAGAACAAGAACAAGAGAAACCAAGCTTTTTTATAACCTCAATTTGTCCCCCGCGGCCCCCTCACCTAACCTAAACTAAACCTGACCTAACCTAACCTAAAGACCCCCCTTCCCCCCTCCCCTCCGCCCTCTCCCCACAAACCACCCACCATTCCACCCGCCGCCATGCCACGCCATGCCATGCCTTCCCAAACGCCAAACAGACCAGACCAGACCAGACCAGACCAGACCAAGACCCAGAAAGAGAAAAAACAGAAGAGCGAAAAAAAGAGAGATTAGAAAAAACCCCATCTCTTGCAATTGCCTACGTACGTAGCTAGCTAGTAGAGAACCCGCGACCCAGAGACCTAGAGAACAGAGAAACTACCACCGATAGTGCATATTCTTCGGCGACCCCCTCTTTGTATTCGGGTCGCCCCACGTCGGCTCCGGGTCCTGCTCCGCATGGGCAGGCCTCGGCTTGCGCTGCTGCTGCTGCGGCGACGGCGGAGCTGCAGGGGGGGCGTTATCGTGCTGGTGATGGTGCTGATAGCTATTCCCCTGCCCCTGTGCCTGTGCCTGCCACTGTCCATGGTTCTGTCCCTGTCCACCATACCTCCCGCTGCCGCCTCCTCCTCCACCGCCGCCTCTCCCACCACCACCGCCTCCACCACCGCCGCCCCTCCACCCCCTCCCACGATACCCACCACCCCCACCCCCACCACCCCCACGATACCACGCCGCATTCCCACCGCCGTTCTTGCGCCCCTTATACCCACCACCACCACCGCCCCTCCCCTGCCACTGCCACTGCCCCCTGCCCCTGCCCGTGCCCGTGCCCGTGCTGCCCATGCTGCCGCTGCGTCTCCTCCCGCTCCTGCTCCTCCGGCCCGGGACACTCCCCCAGCACCGGCACCACAAACGTCTTGACCCCCGCCCACATCAGCGCATCCACCTCCTCCGGCAGCGCCCTCGCGGCCGGCGGCGGCTCGTCCCACCCGCTCACGGGCGCGGCGGGCGCAGCAGTGCCAGAGCCAATGATCTCGAACGTCTGCGCTTCGTGTGCGGGGCCGGAGGCGGAAGATGGGGAAGCGGCGGCGGAGGCCTCGAGCTCCGCGATGTGTTGGGGGGCTTCGAGCTCGGTGGCGCCGAGAGAGGTGCCGCTGCGGTAGAGCGTGTCGAGCCAGGCGATCGTGAGGTGGTATTTTTCGGCGGATTTGCCGGTTTCCCAGGCGCAGGGGGGGCCGGAGGTGGTGTTCCAGTCCCAGACCATGGGTGCTGGGGGGGGGGGGGGGGTTAGTGTGGAGGGAGGGGAGAAAGGGGGAGGGGGAGGGGGAGGGGGAGGGGGAGGGAGTTACAAGTTGAGATGGGTGTGTTTCTGCTGGGATAGGGTTGGGGGAGATAGCTAGGTGGGGGATATATAGAGCGGGGGGATATAGAGCTGTGTAAGGGTCAGCGATTGAGGGATGTGTAGCTGTGGTGGTGTTGAGGGTTGAGTGTTGAGTGTTGAGCGTTGAGCGTTGAGTGTTGAGTGTTGAGTGTGCGTAGAGAGAGAGACGTTGGTGTTGAGGGATGGATGAATGATATATGGGACGGACAGAGCGAGAGGGTGAAAGACGAACGGGCGAGCTGTTGCTGCTGCGTACTATGTGTGGACGACGGTTGCACAGCACAGCACACGGGCCTAGGCGTGATCAGGCGTTCACTCCTCCTCCTCCTCGCAGTTCTCACGCTCGCTCATGATCCGTGCAGGTGCGGTTGCAGTTGCAGTTGCTGTCACTGTCACTGTACTGTCACTGTACTGTCACTGTACTGTCACTGTACTGTCACTGTACTGTCACTGTACTGTCACTGTACTGTCACTGTACTGTCACTGTCACTGTACTGTCGCTGTCTAACCTCTGCCAGTGTTACTGTGTGGCCCCTCCCAGCGATCAATGATCCCTCCAGATGACGCGAAGAAGCCAACCCCAGTGCTGGAAGCGGACTAGCAGGCACACGCTAGCAATCCCTGCCACTGCTCTCTCTCCGCGCCTTGCAAGGTTTCGCGGAGCCGCACACGCGCTGCCCAGAACGGCTAGAGTGAGTAGCGAGGTCACACACACACACACCCCACGGGGTCTGAGGGGGAAGAGCGGGGGACAGAGAGGGACAGAGACAGAGAGACAGAGAGGGACAGAGGGACAGAGACAGAGAGACAGAGAGAGAAACAGGTACAGAAACAGAGACAGAAACAGAGACAGAAACAGACAGAAACAGAGACAGAAACAGAGACAGAGACAGAAACGCTCGTCACGTCTTTCCCTTCCCTTCTCCGTGCACGGTGCACCATCACCACCATCCATAACCCCTCCTCACTCGCCCACCCACACTCCTCCACCACACATCACTCGCCCCCCCCCCCCCGCACCACGCAATGGCCTCCCTCCCCTTCTCCCTCACGCACCTCACCGACCTCCTCGACACCCTCGAATCCCTACACACCAAAACACCCCCCCTCCCCGCCTCCACCCTCACCCAAAAGACCCACTCCCTCATCACCTCCTGGTTCACCTTCCACCACCCCACCCTGCACAACCACCCCCGCACCCTCGCCGCCCTCTACTCCCTCCTCCTCCCCCACCTGCGCGCCGACCGCTCCTACGCCCTCCGCGAGTCCGCCCTCGCCCGCATCATCGCGCGCGCCCAGCTCCTGGGCGCCACCCGCGCCGCCGCACTAAACGGCTGGCGCGACTCCCGCGTCGACGGCGACTTTGCGGCCGTGGTGGCCCGCGTGCTGGCGCAGGCGGAGAACCCGGCGGATAGGGGCATCACCGTCGAGTATGTCGACGGCGTGCTCGACCGGGTTGCGGCGAAGAGCCGCTTCTCGAGCGATGGGCTGCGCGCGGCGCTGGAGGAGGGGGAGGGGGAGGGGGAGGGGGAAGGCACCAGGGCTGACATCTTGGTGGCGCTGTATCGGCGATTGACGAGCGTGCAGGCAAAGTGGGTGACGAGGGTGGTGCTCAAGTGTTTGGCGCCTGTGGAGATGCCGGGTATGTTTCTTTCTCTCTTTCCTTCCTTCCTTCCTTCCTGCTTGCTTGCTGCAGGGCTAACGATAGCTGCGATATCCATAAAGAGAGCTACACACTGTCAGCATACCACTTCCTGCTGCCACACCTATTCCGGTTCCAGCAGGACCTCTCCAAAGCCTGCGCGCTCATCTGCGCGCCCAAGTACCGCGTCCACGCACGCTTCCCGCCGCCCCAGGAGCGCGAGCACATCCTGCGCTCGCTGGCCGCACAGATCCTGAAGCCCGAGATTGGCGTCAAGGTCGGGCGGCCCGAGTTTGTAAAGGCGCGGGTAAGGCCCTTCCTTTTATTATTACTACTATTTACTACTACTACTACAAATATACTACATAATATATAACAGATTGACGCCCAACAGAGCTGCAAACACGCCGCCGCCCTCGCCGCCAGCCGCACCTTCTCCCTCGAGCGCAAATACGACGGCGAGTACATCCAGATCCACATCGACACCATGCGCCCCTCGCGCGACACCTGGCTCACCCTCTTCTCCAAGAGCGGCCGCAACTCCACCGATGACCGCGTCCGCGTTCACGAGTAAGCACCCCTCCCCATCCATCCATCTGCATCCGCATCACAAAATCTCACTCGCACAACCAACTAGCACAATCCTCACCACCCTCACACTCCCCCCGCGCACAACCGCCATCCTCGAAGGCGAGCTCCTCGCCTACAGCACACACACAAACAGCATCCTCCCCTTCCACCACCTGCGCGCCCACATCCACCGCGCCGGCACCTACATTGGCGCGCCGCCGCGCGAGCGCTCATCACACCTCATGGTGGTGCTCTTCGACATGCTGCTGCTCGACGGCGCCTCGCTTCTGCACCAGCCGTACCGCGTGCGGGTGCAGCATCTCCGCCGTGTGCTGCCGCGCGATGTGGCGGGGCGGGTGCAGCTCGCGGAGCGCACGGAGGTGGATTTTGGCGTAGGCGGGGGCGCGGTGGAGGTGTTGAGGAGCTGGTTTGTAAGGGGTGTGGTGGCGGGGTGGGAGGGTATTGTGATGAAGCCGGTGGAGGGGGCGTATGTGGATCTGGGCGCTGGTGGAGGAGGGGGTGGGGATGTGGGTGTGAGGTCAGTGGGGCATGTGGGTGGTAGGGAGGCGTGGATTAAGGTGAAGAAGGATTATATGGTGGGGTGTGGGGATACGGGGGATTTTGCGGTTGTGGGGGCGAGGGCGGAGGGGGCGAGGGGGTGGCGGCTGGGGGGTGAGTTTTGGTTTTCTTTTTCTTCCCCGGCCCTTTTGGTGGGGAGGGAGGGAGGGAGGGAGAGTGCTAACGGGTGTATAGTGGGTGTAAAGGCGCTGACGGTGTTCCATGTGGGATGCTTGACCAACAAGGAGGAAGTGAAGGGCGGGCGCGCGAAGCCGAGGTTTAAGGTGGTGTTTGAAGTGTGCTACAGCGTGCCGAGGCATGACCTGGAGGAGATCAATCGGCTGGCGCCGTTTAGGACCGTGGCGTATGATGTGAGTGCATTATCTATCTTTTTCTCCCTTTCGTATAGTTTTTCCCCCCCTATTGGAATTGTGGATGGATAGTAGTTGTGTGCGGGCTTTGCTTTCTTTCTTGCCGTTGGTATTGGTCGTGCTTGGGTCGATCGATGGTGCTTTGGCTAGGAGGGGGTTGGGGGTTTTGTGGTTTTGTGGTTTTGTTATCGTTAACCCTGTATCCCCCCCCCCCCCCCCAATCACCCCTCCACCCAAAAAAACCCGCCACCTCACACACACCCCACTAACTCCCACCTCCCAGTCCACAACAGCCCCCTTCACCCTCGACCCCCTTCCCGGCCTCACAACCCCGACACACCTCTTCCCCACCCCGCTCGTCTTCGAGCTCACCGGTGGCGGCTTCGAAAAGCACGCAAACACGCCCTACTACGTGCTGCGCCACCCGCGCGTGTGCAAGGTCTATTTTGAGCGCGACTACCTCGACGCCATGACGCTGGAGGAGCTGCAGGATGCGGCGAGGGCCGCGGAGAGCTTGGGCGGTGGGGAGAGGGAGGAGGCGGAGAGGGAGAGGGCGTGGGTGGAGAGGATGTTGGCTGCGGAGGGGGAAGGGGTGCGGTGAAGAGGGGGTGGTCGGATGTCGGGAAGGGGGTGGGGATAGGGATAGAGGAGGGGAGGGGGGCGGTGACGGATGCGGGGGTGGGGTTGGTGGAGGAGGTGGAGGAGGAGGGGGCTAGGGTGAAAAGGGCCAAGTATGAGGTATCTCCTGAGCCCGTAGAGCAGAGATCTGCAGAGCAGAAGGCCGTAGAGCAGAAGGCCGTAGAGCAGGAAGCTACAGGACAGAGAGCTACAGAACAGGAAGCTGCGGAGCAGAAAGCTACAGAGCACAAGGCCATAGAGCAGAAGGCCGTAGAGCAGAAGGCTGCAGAGGTTACTCCAGAGGTTGGGCGTAAGCTCCAGGAAGCGTCCCCCCCACCAGCACTAATAGAGGGTAATGATCAAAAGTCTGGAATTCCAGAGACTGCTGAAGGTGCGAATGTGGTAGTAGCAGAAAACCAGCGCGCAACACCCACACCTACACCTACGCCTACGCCTACTCCTACACCTAAGCCGACAGAACAACCAAGTTCAAATTCAGCAGTAGTGGCAGCTATTTCACCAATAAAGGTAAAAGAGGCTGCGGCGCCGCCTGTGCTTCGGGAGCTTTCCCCAAAGGTGAATCCACAGGGACGAAGGCGCTCCTTGGGCGGAAATATGCCGTCAAAAAAGAATCTAGTAGGGAGGAGCTCTGCCAAGGAATTTGGTTTGTCTAAAAATACAGCTAGTGGAAATGGGAATGGGCCTATGGCTACGGTACTGGAAAACGATGAGAACCAACAACCAAAGATACCAGTACTGAAAAGTACGCCTAGCCAACTAATCGAACAGCAGCTCATCCGTGAACAGCGAACCCATCGCACCACCCCGCCGCCAATCCCTAACTGCGCTACTACCCCCCCCAGAAACTACAGCCTTAGAGCTCAAAAACGGGCACTCGCGTATATCCCCTTTGCTTAACGCAACGGTCCTGCTCCCCCACTACCTTTTCAAGTTCCCTGAGCTCAAGGCCAAAATCACCGCCCACAAACCCGCAGCGGTGCACGCTCTTCCTGCTGCCGCCGAGGGTATACCCCCGTTGATGCCGCCGAGCAAGAGGTGCGTCGTCTTGGTTGAGCCGAATAAAACTAGCTTGACGAAGAAGACGCTGAAGGCCTTGGCGGCGGCGGTGAAGGCTGTGGAGGGCGGCGGGTATGGCTTTGAGGTGTATGATTGGAGGGTTGCGGGGAAGGTGCAGCCGGAGGAGGCGTGGGAGGTGGATTGGAGCTTGTATCATGTTTGGAGCATGGTTTGAGTTTTTTTGTTTTTTTGTGGTATTTTTGTATTATTGATATGCCTGGCTGTTGTAATTATTCCCATTCCTGGTTATCGATCGATGATCAATAGTCCCAATGCAAGTATATTTGTATATCAATTAAGGCTCCGCAGACGCATCCCGCTCCCTATAACCCCCAAAGAAGCGGACCCTACTACCCCCGTTTAGGACCTTCAACTTTGCCCTCTCAATCTCGTGCAAACTCGGGCCCTGATTCACAGCCGACCTCTCCTTCTCCCTCTCCCTCTCCCTCTCCTCCCTTTCAAAGATGAGGCAGTTGCGCTCCCATCTCTCTTCGATTGGGATATATGGCAGCCCAGCGCAGTTGGTCTGCAATTGGGCGGTGGATTGTGCTGCTGCTGAAGAAGACATTGTTTTAGCTTGGTTAGCTTGGTTAATTAGGTAGTGGTGAGATGATGAAGGTGTTGATTAATTGTGGAGGTTGCTGTGAGGCTCTCAGGCCGGGTAGATACAGCATAATGACACAAAGGAGATGCTGCTTTCATTGTTCTTATAAACATCTGCGGGTCATGACTTGAAAGGCCGTCTTGGGATGGTGCATGTAGTGAATATAAGCGTTTTCTTTGAGGATTTCCTGGTCACGTGAAGCTATATTAATATATCGAAATGTCTCACTGCAAAATGTTAATTCGAGACAAAGGTTCGAAGCTAGGCCATATGACAAGTGGTTCGGCCTCCATATATAGCCACTTCCACTTCCTGTTTTCGGCCATGGTTAATAGTTAGCAGTGTAGTACGCATAAATGCAGCGATTCTCGGGAAATGATGGAACAATAGGATGTGTTGGCTTTTTGCGTATCAGCAAGATTGTAAGTAGGGTGGGGTGATAGTACTCGAAATATTAGCTAGCTCTGGAGGTAGGTCTTCTCATATCTACAAACCCCCTGTCCCACAGAACCAAGCATTTCTCACGACACTGGAAGCTTGATATGTTATCAAAGGCTAGGTATTCCATCAACTCAGAGCAACCTACTTATAATACTTCTAGAACGCAAGAAGTAAGGAACAAACAGGGAAGAACCAGTTACTATAAAGGATGAAAACCCCGTTCCGCCGCCGCTAAAGTAATTATAGTTCGATATTCCTGAAGGATTCGTAGTGACCTTAATGGCGGATATATTATTCAACTAGTAAGCTAGGGAGGTTATTACATGTATGTAGCGATAGGCGGCGGTACGACGGGGTATAAATCTGTGGTCTCAACTAATTGAAACCCGTGGTGTTGGTTACATGTACTTCCCACGGAAGGTGGTTGTCGCTTCTGTCATCAGCTCGACCGAGTGATCTGCTGTGATTGAGATTTCGGTTCGCTCCTCGGCACCCCACCACCCGGCCCCACAATCGCCTTCTCTCAACTGGGTAACGTTTCTACTGTCTCTACCCCCCAACTTTCTTATCTGTCATCACTTTCTTTACTAAACCCCCACTCTTCAACAACGCGTTTCACTGTTTTCGCACGTACAATCGCATATATGTAGCCGGCCACAAGTCGATGGGAAAGGAAAATGTCGCCGCCGGGAGAGGCATTAAAGCAGAGATGACAGAAAGATCCAACCTTCTCCCCGCATATGCAAAAGATCGAGACCAACTAGAAGGTACCAGGATAGTACAGGTCAGCCACCGGGTATCTGTCTGGATAGATCACATATCTGGATATGAAGAGATGTAGATCATTGAGTAAAGCATCCTGATAGTCACCATCCATGTCACCTAGAAAATCACTTTGGTCCCACAGGTGTAAGGGCCAGGTCGACTCACACATACAGGCTTGACGACCTAGTTATCAGGGTCCCAATCATCTCCTGCAAGTAGATCTCTGCAACCATCACATACCCTGGAAACGAGTAACTCCGTAAGACTGGTCGTCACCAATCGAGTGATTCCTTGTGCGCCAAGCTATGCAGTAGCTAGCTTCAATACGAGACTAGAAGTCTGGAGGGCCGGAGTAACTTCATCGTTTCCTGATTCTTGCTATCTTCATAGCTCGTCTGATATTTCTCTCACAAGAGATATACCTATCGATATGGACTAATAAATGCGGAGAGTTCCAATGGAAAGCGCGTTTGCGCAAGCAAGAAAGGCACCGGCAAGAAAAAGAACTAGTGGCCCGTTAGAGATGGCCCACGCTCAATACGAGGGATTCCACTATTTTTGGAAAAAGTGTTATAGTTGAGATGAAAGGAGCGATCTGCGTTATCCATCGAGACAACCCGCGGACAAAGTGCAAAGACTTGGATGCATAGGCCAACAACATATATGACTATCGAGGCGCAGCTACAAATAAGGTTCAAAAGGACCAATAGTCAAATGAAGAGATATGCCGGTCTAGAAACATTACAGGAGACGACGTGTCGGCCCATCGAGGACACCCTTAGGAGCGGCGGATGCCGTAAATGAAGCGGTACCAATCGAAATACAGGATAAAAAAAATCACCATCCCCTTCTCCTTCGGCTTGAGTGAAATCATGCAATAACAATCATTTCCATGGACGAGGATTGGAACGGTGCCTTTACCTATCCTCTGCCTTGGACCCTTAAGGCGGGGGAACCTTTGTCTGTGTCACATGCACAATCAACCCTACATCGAAGTGCAATAAAGAACCTACCTGCTACAGGGATTGGGGGCGACGCAAGCTTACGTTCCCCGATCTTACAGATCACACAGATATCGTAATTGGATAGAACTTAAGGTTGTGGGGTTAGCCTGCATCATTGTATAACAATGGAGGGACGAGCCAATTGCAAGCGGCTGGGGCACGGAACAGGTTTATATCCTTGCTGTTGTGTGAAGTGAAAGTTTTACTTTTTTGTCGGGATTGGAGGGATGACAAGTTGGGTCACGGATTTTTGAACCAGTCAACGTTTGAGTTTATCGGGGAGTGACCCGTGGAACACTGGGAGATGCTCCAAAAGACACATGCCTCCATCACTCTTTCCTTGTGGGGCAGTTATACATGACGTGGTTGACTTTCTTCGGTGGAGAGATTTTATTGCCAGGACATTAAACCCAGCCAGCCAATGTCTATCACAGCATATATTACACTGTGTGCCTCATGACGATCAACAGGCCTAGTATTCTGACAATAGCTGTAAGCAACCAAAAAGATTCTAACCTAAAAAAGTGCAAGAAGTTAAATCAACCACGGGGCCAAGAACCACAAGCCCCAAGTCGTTTGTGCTGGGAGGAAAGATCGATTTTGAGACATTCACCAAGATTCCGAGACTTGCGTTGATGACTGAACTTTGCTACTACTGTAGTCACAAGCAGTAAGTCAAATTATATGAAGAAGACACATATATCTTGGTGGAGTCGTTGCAAGAAAGCAAGGCCTGCTGAATGTCTCGGTTGAGATCACCAGAAATCACTCGCAAGAGATCTGGATCCTATTTAGTTAGCTAGCCACGAGTTGAGTAGTTTGTGTTCGTCTTCCGGAACCTATCTGTACCGCTCATGGTGACATAGATTTAATTATTCGTAGATATCTAGTATCGCATATCAAAGTCTACCAACTTATGGAAACACAAACACCCATTATACAAAACCCGGCGGCCCACAAGATTGATATAGAAAGAAGCAACCGCCATGTGAGCACGCAACTTATTTGCATCGCATAAATGAGGAAAATAGTCGTGTAAAAAATACAAATCATAAATAGATCAACGAGGGTAAGAAAAAAATAGGTATCATCATTAGGGATTCTTTTCATATTACGTAAGATGAAAAGAAGTGAGCAAAATGAGTGAAGCTCCACGGTCTACAATCTTTGGGCAAAGTGAAAAAAATCCCCCAACTCCACTTAGACAAAGCCCTAGTCATTACCAATTCATCGACACGTTACAGTTCCATAGATAAAATATCGTCGTCCTCTGCCTCGCACGCACATACAGAGTACCTACCCTGCCAACCTCACAGCACTTAACCAACAGTATTAACGATCTCAGATGCTCTGGTCAGCGACTCAACCATCTGTTGGCACTCCTTCCTTCTTCGAATGGTGTAGTCGCTCTCCTTAAGCAAGTTGTCTAGTTCATCTGACTTGTAAAGATTCTCTAAAAGTTCACGTTGCATCTCATCTTTCGTCAATCTGTTCAAAAAAGATATGTTAAACCTCTGGGTATGTCTAGGAGATGAGGATGCTGGTACATACTGGACCAAGTTCAGCATAATAGCTTTGGGTACCATGTCAATCATAGTCCTTCTAACGATATTGTAGTAAGAGTTGATCAAAAGCTCTGTGGATCATGTATTTATTAGTTTCAAGTTCGGATGCCTCTTACTGCGGGGCCAAAGGAACATACTGATGACCTCAACCTCAATCCCTTCTCTTTCAGACAAGGTTCCAGATGCCTTCAATGTAGCTGGTGGGGGCTCCATTGCGGCCATCTTCTTCTTGTTTTTGCTTGCAAAGAAACTTCCAAAGAAACCGCCGTTATCAGGGCCTGAGTCCAGACTTTGTGGGTTTGGCGAATCCCTGCCGCCTCCTGGGAGTGGTTTCCCGGTCTTTGGATCGACTTGTACAGGCTTGGAAGAATTATGTCTTTCGTTTACAATAGCCATAGCCTTGGGTATCTGTTAGCTATACTTCTTATAATTGTACGGGCATAAGGTGACTTACCCTGTGTCCATTAAGAAAGTCGGGATGTCCGGTATTGATGTAGCAAGACTCCATAGAAACCATATCCTGGACCAGTTTGTTGGTTGGCCCCATTGCTTTCTTGAAAAAGGCAATAACGACCTGGTGGAATTTCTCTTTAAGGCCTGGGTATCTCCGGAAAAGCTGTATTTACGATTTTAGAGTGAGTATGATCGCGTTACTACGAGAGTTAGAAAGCACAAACCTGCTTTTGAAGAAGCTGCGTCAATATCCTGACCAACTCGTCATATACAAGACTGACGCACTTCAAACTAGGGTCCTCTAGCCGTTTGATCTGCTGTTTTACGATAAGTTCGAAGGCAGTAGTTCCTACAAACAATGCCGGCGAGGATCCAGATGAATTGTAAAGAATAGTTCTTATGTCGATATCCTTGACTTGGTCGAATGGATCTACAGCCTTTACACCATTTGCGTACAACTCATGGAAAACAAAACTAATACGCGCCCCGCCAGAAAGCTCAATACTAGAGAGCTCTTGGTTATTGCCATCAAGCACAGTCCGATATTCGTTACAAAACTCTGTAATGATATTAAGAATGATGTTGGCACTATTACCAAGGAGTGAATCTCCAAGTGTTGCGAGTTCAGCTGAATATTTCTGGAGGGAAGACGAAATGCGAGATTTGATATCTGGAAGAGTCTGCTTGATGTGCATCATCAAAATCTAGAAATTTTAATTTTGTTAGCTCGGACGCTTGATGAGTTTTTTCCGAGTAATGCTTCCTACCATATTGAGCTTCCTGGCAAGATAAGGCGTTCCGCAATAGGCATGCTTGTTCCTATACGCGCTATGATTCTCGAAAAACGCCTTCTCATGTTCCAAGGCCGAAGAAATGAGCTTTCTGTTATCAATATCACGCTGGCCACGGTTGACAACTGGCACATATCCTAGTCGCAAAGGAATAACTCTCCCAGCAAGAATATCAACAACGTTGGTGCCCTCGTCCATCAAATCAATCTTCGTAAGAACACCAATAGTCCGTTGACCTTCGGGATCAACCTCCCTTGCAAGCTTCAGACCGTCGGAGTTCGCCAAATCGGTGTTACCAGCAGTGACTGCCAAGATAATTGAGTTTGTCTTGGAAATCTGCTTGAGAACCATGTCCTTGATCTGTCTTTCAATGTCCTTCGGTTGATCACCCACAGGCACCTTTGTCAGCCCTGGAAGATCGACCAGGGTCAAAGTCAAGACATTAGGAGAGTAGATCCGGAGACCGATAGGCTGAGGTGAGATTCCCTGATTCTTTCCTGTTTTCGCATCGGTTTCCCGTACGATCTCGTCTCGAATCTTGTTGAAGTCGTAGAACTTCTGGCCTGGAATGTGAAGAAACTCTCCCCACTCGTCGAGGTTTGCCCCCACATCTGATTGCTTCATCTCGTCCTCCTCCTTGTTTGCGCCATTTGTTCTGTTAGTAGTACCGGGGCGGTTGATAAGTTGCAATACCTGCCATATAGTTAGATATAGCTCATCCGAGAAATAAGTCAAACATCATGCTTACCAACGGCCTTCTTGTAACGATACCGGTACCTCGGGGAAGACTAAAAGGTTCAATATATTGGTACTAAATCCCTACATTAAATTATGGAGGGTAAATAGGGGGGCCTACAAGTCTCTCCCGACGATATTTTCTAGCACCGAACTCTTACCGCTCGACTGGGAGCCAACAACTACGATCTGAGGCAAGTCGATGGGATTTTGGACCTGTGAATATTGCCAAGTCAATGTTAGCTACAAGTCCCCACGCACCCGAAGATAGTGGATAGGGGTGGGAGCGCAGAACTACATACTCCTACAGTTGCAAATACATCTTGCAACTTATTGACTAGTGTGATTAGCCCAGGATCGTTGACGTTGATACTGGTTCTACAGCGGGGAGGGTCAGCGGGTAAAACACTTTGACGAACTTCCAGCGCAGAAGCAACCAGAATGAGGGGGGGTGGGATAGTTACGAGGGCTGTGCCATCGCGGATCAAGACGAAGCACGGTGTATAAAGTATAAAGTTTGAAGCTGAAGGGAAATATTCAGAGATGAGGAAACGGGGATGATGATGTTGGCGTAGATGCCGGTGGAAGAGCTGATTGTGGTGGGTAGGATGAGGTGGTTACGAGTACAGTTTCTGGCATCACACAAAAGAGCTGCAAGGCTTGTTGTTTCAATGCCATCGCTTATGGTCACGTGATAGGTTGAACTCCATGAACTTATTTGTTTTCGAGATTTTCTTTCACAACACTGATGCGAACTTTTTAGGGCATATTTATCTAAAAATTTGTGTATTTTTGATATCGTTATCATTTCCCTTGTACGCAATCCGCCTGCTGGTGGACAAGCTTTCGAACCTCCCGCAAAGAACATCCTCAAATTGACAGTCCTGTTGTGAATTCCAGGTAAACGTTTGCGCCTCTAAAATAACCTCCGACGGGTTTCGGCCCGTCAAAAGCTCAAACACACACTTTTGAAGCTATCGTGGACATGTGAAGCCACCACTTTTTCAGGATTTGGCTTGTTTCACCTCCATGACTTCTCTACACATGTGTACCTCATCCCCAGTAAGAATGCCGAACGCACATGTGTCTTTCCTCATTTACCGTAACCTTTCCCTTAGCCTGTATAGTTTTCAACTATATATTTTTGTCGACAAGTTGCTCTAATCGAATAGCCAGAGTTACATGTACTTAAGTACATTCATTGCTTCTTTGTGAATAACAGATACAGCCCCCCGGAAACAAGACCAATGATCAAAACCATATGATATAACAAAACCTCTATTATCTCAATATAACCCATACCCAGCCCCGTACATGTAACTTGCCCAATAGTAAATGAGGAAGAGAAGCCTACGCAATCTCTCTACTCCCCTCATTCTCGAAATAGCAACCCAGGCCTGCCAATCGATAGATGTGAATACCTAACTCCATTATCTAAACCACCGTCAATTCATCCACGATGATGCCAGCTGCAATACCCTTCAATTTTCACTTTGTAGTAGCGAAGAGACGCCAAACGTCTCGTTCTGCTTTGTTCAGGCAACTACAAGCTCTTTAGAGTAATGGCCGGGATCACCATGTTAGAAGTTGCCATAGTCAACAGCCGGCCCCGCAGGGATGGGGAGGTCCACCTGCTACAAACCAAAGAACCAAAATACCTTTGTGTATTTGGTTAAATTTGGAACTGGCCCCCTTGATGTCACTGTATGTACGCACTTCTCGCCTAGACTATAAGCTTGTAACATGTTGAGTAATATGATAGTTGTGTAAGAGCTCAGTGCTCATTGTGGTCTATCAGAGCATGGCTTAGATCTTGTCGAGCGGCGAGCCCCTGATCTTCAGCGAGGGTTAATCTATGTATTGCACAAACGGCATTCGCGTAGAGGGGGGCATTGTTTGCCTGCTTCCAGCTTGAAGGAGTTGGGGCGCTCAGGATATTGTCGTGCCGATATAGTAATGAGTAGACAGCGTAGTATCCGTATCTAGCCATATTTATTTTCGGTACATTGCAATTGCTAATGAGATTGATGTCAGGCCCAGGTAGGTGTCTAGATAAACGGTTGCGTAGGTACGACAGAACCAGAAAAGATGCAATTATCCTGTCAGCCGTGTTTTTGGCGATTTTTTCCAAATTGTTATAAATTTCCCACCCAGTGTGGAAGGAGAGTCAGTCGTTCCAAACAATTGGAATGCACTAAGAGCGATTTTGAGGATTAAAAAAAAAAAAAAAAAAAAACGATGGGAGCACAAGCGATCCCGTCGCCGCGAACACCTACGGTACTGGTAACTGAGTTGTTGATATGGGGTTTTGTATCCGGTTAGACGCATGGTATTTGTTGTGGAGGGAGAGAGAAGGCCGATCACACCGAGGTCTTTCCTTGTAAGGCTTGCCTTGGGGAAAGGTAATTGATCACTCGTGATCCATCATCTTTGCCGTGGCCTGGTTCTGGGCACGCACAGTTCAAAAGTCGCAATTTCGCTAAAGGAAGAAAATTGTGTCGACCACGGACGAAGATCCGCTTGACGTTAAAGCGGATTTTTAAACGAAAAATAGATAGATATTTTGCCGCTGCGGATATGTAGGTCCCACGGCTTTGAGCAAGTGACTGGAGAATTCCGCTGCTGGTAACGAACAGGTTGTGCAGTATCGAGGTATCTATATGTAGGCATGAACGTGGATGCCAGGATCCTTTCCTCGCCTTGCTGCTGGGGAAAAAGGCATCATGAAGTTTGAAGAAAGATATCGATATTTCACCAGCCTGCTTATGAGCAACTACGCCCGACTGCACCGTACCTGGCGATTGTTATTTTAACGTTGAGGCTCCGATGCAAAGGCACGCAAGTTTGAAACGTAAGAAGATGGCGGAGATCTTTAGCCGCCCGTCTTTTAGAAATGGATGTCGATATCACATCTAATATTTCTTTCCGTATCCAAGCCCCCACATAATAATGGGTATCGTCTTATGGTATTTCCTAGAGTAGTCAACCACACTCACATCTTGCAGCCTCGCCGAGAAGAACAGAAGGAGGGGACCCGCTGACTGAATCCAGTTCGTTGACTCGCTCGGTGACCTGCTCAGCAATCAACGGCAGTTCGTTTGGTTTCCCCTGTCAATGGTTATCATTGGCGGCGTCCCTTCTTGCATAATATTATGACTGCAGTTGCTTTTTTCTGGTACTTTTCTTGAGGCCATTTCTTTGCAGGTAAGTAAGTAGTTACTAATGTAGTAGGGTAGGTAACGTAGCAAACTAATACCAACTACTACACAAAGCAGGAAACACCCGAATAGCACTATCACTTTACTCACTTTGAACGGTGATCGGGTCCGGTTGTAGAGAGGCTTATGGGGAGGGGGGCTCAGCCGGTGGGACTCGACACGCCGCCGCAGACGGGCCAGGGCTGCCCTTCCCCTCCACTGGCTCAGAAGAAGTGGTACCCTTGATCCAATTAAAAATACCCGGCCTTGCGTGTGCGAGGGGAGGGTGGAGGGGGTGGTGGAGATGTGGGATCACTCACTTACATCAGTGGTACATATGTATTCTACACATGTCTAAGGTGGTTTTGTTAGTTGATGGAGGGTTAATAATTTAAATCATCTGGTTGCCCGCCCACACCCAGCCTAAAGGAATTTCGCACCCTTTCAAACTCTCCAGCTTGCCAACCTGATTGATACATTCGTTTGAAGGAACCAAACTTGCCAATCGCTTTGTTTGTCGGATGGGCTCTCTCGGACTCTATAAATTCTATGACACTTACGATCACTATCCCTACGACCGAGTCTGACCGACCTATCGAAATGTGTCCCAGCGACGACGGAGACGAGGTTTTTGACAACAACGTTTTGAGGGAAGATGCGGGGTTGGATATTGAGTTTATCGAGCCATACGTTACTGCGAAGGAAGCACTATGGCTTGTGCCTGGGATCGACTATATTGTTCAGAATACGTTGAGGAGGATGGAGAAATCGTTCGCCTACAATTCGGTCTACTTTTTGAAGGTCATTCTTGATCTCCAGGTCACCTACTTGGGCTTGGATTCGTCGCCTCTTCCAGATACACTGCTTAACACCAAGCTGGTGTTGCGTATCGCTGAGCTGATGGCTGGGAGAATGGCACAGAAGGACAAGGACAACGCATCACTATCGAGGGAGCTTCAGCTCCGCACACTTGTTTCGGCGTTGTCACTGTTGTACCAGGTCAGGCCTAGGATCGAGAAGATCGAGAACGAAACATATGCAAAGCTACTCAAGGATATATCGGAGAGAGACACAGACAACCGTGCAAGATTTGAGGCAGGAGATGACGAGAGGCGCAATAGTGGTGATATCGAGTTCCTCGTTCGATACGCTTGCGATCTTATCAGGTGTTTGCCGAGTGATATCCCGAGTTTCAACGATTTAAACACGCCAACAATACATTTCCTTTTTGCGGCGGGTTTTATTGTAAGTTATTTCGTGTTTTCAGCCGTTTCTTAAACTCGTGTCCTAATCTCTTCTTTTTGCATTAAGAACCAACTAGATGGTGAAACAACTCCAGAAGCCCTGGACAGTATCTTTGCCAGAATAAAAGCACCACCATCAGAATGGCACAAAGACATGCGACATCTTTACGAGGGGACCGCGGGTGCGATTTCTCTCCAACACCAAGCGCAGTCTAGAAATCCCACACGGGCATGTCAGTATGCACCTGTCTTAGCGGCGGATATCTCAAGATCGATCGTGGAAAGGGCCGAACAAGAGTTGTTGGCACTCATCTCACAAGACGAAATTATAAGCGAGCCAATCAGCACCCCTGCTGGGGTACTTCCAAAGCATGAAGCCCATCTAATGATATCGGGTCTTTTGGATTTACTAAACCAACTAGTCTCTGCGTTTCTTACTTCGGAGGAGATTGTAGAGCAGGCGAGAGGCCTATGCATGAAGATAATACAAACCTCAGAGAGACCTGCATTCAGATATAAGGCCGTAAGTTACTTAAAGCAATCAGGTACATTACCTTACATATGTAGTTGCTAACAAGAAAAAACAGTTTGAGATCATTATATCATCTACCATAGGCTATACTGAAGCCGAATACTTTGGGATGATGCGCGACCTGGACTTGGTAATTGAACAGTACTTTGGTGTTATTAGCGGTCCGGTAGCAAGTGATGAAAGAAACCTTCGGATTGAGGAGCTTAAAATAGAAAAACGGGAAACTATGGAACGTTGCGAAGAGAAGACCGTCTTGTACAAAGGTGCGGTCGAGTCAATGCAGCGTCGCATTGAGATTCTGCATTCAGGCACAAGATCTACTACTACTCCCTCTTACCGAAATACCAATAACAACAATGAAGTTATGCGTAGTGACACTTGGGGGCCGATGGACGATAATGCCCGGTCTACTACCACAGCGAGTCCAGTTCCAAGCAGTATTCCCAGTCAGGCTCCAACTTTATCCAGTATCGCACCGACTTGCGACTCTAATGTTAGTCCTACA